TGTTCGATTCCTCCCGTCGATATGCATGCCGCACCTGTGTCCGGCATGATTCCTGGAACGAGTCTTGAGAGTAACGATCTAGTATGAATTGTGTGGGTTCGTCACTGTTGAATAACTTGATGCCTACTGAGAGATCCGATGATGGAAAGCTTCGTTGGACAGAGGTCGCAGCAGCGTAGAACGATTCATAAGGGTCAGAGGAGTCAGAATCATCGGATTCCTCGGTGCTCGAGTCATCCTGATCCTGTGATTCCCCTTCATAGTCAGCCAAGAACATAGCATACGAACGAGATTGACCGTGGAAGCCTCTCTCTCGTAGATACTTCTCTTTGGCTGCTTTTCTCTCGTTTTCAGGATGTCTCGTTGAGAAACAACCTTCCTTGCCGCAAACGTAGCATTTCTTCTTCCAATTTGGCTGACGCCTTTGTGATTGACCTCTTGTTCCGCCGGAATTTCGCTGAAATTTGCGATCCACGAAGTGCTGATCATGTCCTCTATCCAGGTCTTGGGGATATTGGCCACTGGGTTGTTCAGATCGTTCATCTTGCATGGCAGATAGCGATGATCGAAGCTGTGATGCCAATCCCTCAAATGTAGGTGCGGGAGAGTATATCGCGAGTCGGAATTCAGGCACACCACGGCACGCCCTGAGCGTTGCATCGATCAGGCCACCTTCGCCGCCAGACTTATCCCCGAGTGCTCTCCTACAGAGCCGCAATTTCGTAAGAAGGGCCTGGAGGACCTCGTCAGATGACTTACCGGGCATCTCAGCCCGAAGTCGGCTGAAGGTGAGGGTGCTCCAGTGGGTATGATACATCTTCTGGTTGATTTCGGTGTCAAAGTGCTCTTTCATCTTCTGATACATCTCAGCGAAGGTTAAATCAGTGCTGATTTCGTGTAGAAAGAAGGACTGAGCTTCCTTGGCCAGAATCGAAGGGAAAACACCATGGAATTTAGACGGAGGAATGTTTGCTTGACGGCACACGCTCATGAATTTCCGGATCTTGTCATCGAAGATATCGTATGGTTCGCCGGTATAGGCTAGTTTCTTGTCCCATATCTTAATGAATCTAATCGTGAGATCGGCCTCAACTTCCTCGTTCTCGAATCGAACAGGTGGAATGCTCGTGTATGCATCTCGGAAGTTGGTAGTCCGTACGGGAGCGTCTGCTGATACCGAGGGGATTCGCGCCATTGATGCTGAGGCTCTTGCTGAGCGGGTTGATGGGTCTCAATGATCTGAGGGGATTCCGGTTCCGCCGGTCGGGTAATAGTTGGCTGCTGGATTACTACCGGTGCCGGTGACGATATAGCCGCTTTAACAGTTCCTTGGAGCAGCTTCTGTTTCACCTTATATGCCACGGTGTTTTCAGCAACCTCTTGACCAAGCAACTCGTTCTCATCCCATTCAGGAAGTTCGTTACTTGTTAGAAGGCCACATAAAGCTCGAGAGATGCTAGAGTTGGCCTTGCCCATATAGATCCCCCTAATTCTGAGAAGCGTCCGGAGTCTTGATCTAAGGCGTGGGTTGATTAGTTCGAAGTCATCATAGCTCCATCCCGTGAAGTCGTTATACAGATCCCAAGCAGGGCAATTCCGTGGTTACGTTTATCCACCGTGTATGTTGCCACACAGCCTAAGAAGAAGCTGTTGCGGTGGACAAGGGAGGAGCTCTGGGTGATAGGTTCGTTGAGGAAATCCGCGTCGAAATGCCTGATCGGGAGTGAAGGGAGCTCCACGATCGTCAGGTTCCGTTCAACGAGTTGCCTGTCTTCGAGAGACACGTTGGCCGGGGTATCCTGGGCTGTTGCCGGGGCTAGTGCGGCAGATGAATTGTCAGACATATTGACAGGCTGTGTGCTGAGAAACAGGGCACAGGGTGTCAATGAGGTTATCAATGTGCGATAGGGCACGCCTAAGGGTCGCTGATGACAGCAAAGCTTAGGCACGGTTGGATAACTAGAGTGGGCTCTGATGCAGAGTCTTCGTAGCAATCCGCGCGTTGTAGCAACTATCCTACCGTCAGGAGCTCGCTTTGCAGAGCGTGACGATAGGTTAGCTCTCTTCCGTCTTGCTGTTCTGTGTCACCTTTGCCGGGCGACACTGATCAGTGTGGACAGGCTCTTCACTGCAGTGAGGTTATTCGAACTGGTTCAATTGGTTATATCTTGTGTAACTAGGGAAACGTGTCCCATACAAACTGTGTGCAAAGACCTTCCTCCCTGTGTCTCACCTCTTACTCGCACGTGACTAGCGCGGTCGATTAGTTATACGTGCGCGATCGGTGCCTAGTGCACAGGTGGATCCAACATTGCGGATCATTATGAACTATGCAGGGCACCAAAACCCGTCTTCTCAGCTGACGTCAACAAGACTAGACAACGAGTAAGCCATTGCGCCAAATCGTGTGCGAAGTCATGTCAACTCTCCAAGTAAGTATAGGGTCGAGAACAACCAATCAAGCCTCAGCCACCTGGGATGACTTGGGATCCCCACACCCTTGACAAGAACCAAGTTACATCTACGAAGTACGCCCCAGGACGCGGGCTGCGTTTGCGAGTCACGATAGCCAGTGGTCGTGGGATAGCCATCTGTGTATGATTCTGAGCAGATATGTGTGGTTTAACGACTTGAAGAGAATACCGGGGAGAGGATCGACGGCGTGAATAATAACCTTGTTACGTGTCGGAACGACCGCCGCACCACGCTAAAGTGTTTCGCGCACCTTGTTATGGTACACGGCCTTGATGTTCCTGATATACGCTGTTCCAGCATTGAGCGTGCGTGTCGGGAGTTATATGACTCTCCAATCCCTCAAGGGGCTTAAGTCAGGAACGTCACGCTGTCCACCCAGTACGATGGTCAAACACTAGGGAGAACGGGCAGCTTGGTTTGCTTGGCCTTACTCAGTCAGTTTAGATTGACTGCCCTGAGCCCCCTGACTGTTGGAACTTCTGCTCGTTCAAGAGGCATATCACTAGAAGTATCACCAAAGATGACACAAGCCGCTGCTGAAGCGCGATAGCCACTCTTCATCACGGCTCTCAGCAACTTTAAGCCGGTCCCCAGGACCCCCTGCGGCAATGACGGCAGACAATACGGATACTAGATCAGTCCAGATCCGTCTCTGCCGTGCCGTCCGGAGCACACGAGTTTAGCGCCGCCACTACCGCCGTCCCTATTCCGCGTTGCCTGTTTTAGCCAGATCCACCGACAAGCTGGAGGCGGGTCCGGGGCTACCGGAAACTGGTTGTCTCTTGTCTCGGCCTGAAACTCCGATTCGCATGATTTCACCAACTCATGCTCAACTTCGAGTTCAACGGGGCCTTGACCCTAGCCGAGCGCTCGCGTCTCTACACGCCGGTATACGCACGCCTTTGGATGAGCGTGCTACTGTTTGACTGGCATTCTCTGCTCCGCTCAACCCTCCAACTTCCAAATCGAAATGCCGCGGCTTTCTTGTCTCCGTACTAAGAACGGCTCCCGCGCACCTCCGTCAGGCTGGAGGGTCCAAAGGCCCTCTAAATTAAGCCGTCGGTAATCTGGTGGGCTGTCCTACGTGCCACTGTTTAACGGACCACGCCTTAGAAGCTAAACACAATCGGTTTCGTGGCCATTTATGGAGCATAGGACTACGCGGCCTGCCTGCTGCGGCCGCTTCAGAGACGCCCATCCACAATTTGCCGTGACTAAGTAGACGCAACACTCGGAGGGTATAAATAGAGGCTCGACTTCCCCTGGAAACAGTTCTGTGGACAAGAGAATACTCACCAAGCACCGAAAGAGTCTCCATTATCTAGTAAATCCCCTTGAATTTTTTCAATATTGCCCAAATTCGTCACTATGAAGGCCAGCGCCGTCGCCTATCTCCTCACCTGCCTCGTCGGCACCGCCCTGGCAGTGCCAGCCGGCGATCAGGCCTGGGGACCGGACAAGCGAGAAATCACCGAGCCCAGCCACTCGCTCAACGCTAGGCGCACTGAAGACATTGCCAGCGTGAGCAATGCCAACGCTGCCACCAATGGAGCTGCTGATCAGGCTACCGTCGAGACCAGGGATCCCAAGAAGAAGAAGAAGAAGGGCAAGAAAGGCGCCAAGAAAGCCAACGCCGCCCAGGCAGCTGGTGCAAAGGCAGCCAAGCGCGAGCTCTCTGGTGAAGACGAGGGCTCCCTTCAGGCAAGGGACCCCAAGAAGAAGAAGGGCAAGAAGGCCGCCAAGAAAGCCAATAAAGCCAACGCCGCCTAGACAGATAGTGAGAACCTGTTGCCTACTGCCTAGATCAACACGACGCGGGACAGGACGCAGCTGGAAGACACCGTGTATATATGATGGACTGAAGAGCAGTATAGCATTTTAGCTTGCAAGTAGCTGGGTTCCATGTATACTATGTCTTCACCCCAATGCATTTTAGTATACCGGTAGAAGTTGTATAATTATTCAGTCCGAAGGACTTTGCCTTGCCTTGAGGAACGAAAGGATTTGTTGTTCACACCCGTGGACTAGGAAAGACGAAATGAATGATCTCTTGATTATGATATATCAGCTACAGAAGAAGTGGAATGCTAGGCCTTATATAGACATAGCTGACAAATGTCCACATGGTCATAGAACCTTCTAGAGACTACGAGTCTCTTCCAACAGAATGAGTCTTGAAAATCCTTGATATCGGAAATTTTGATATTGAACTCGCCAAATGATGTTTGTTGATCCTCAATCTATAGAACCCAGATGAAACGTGAGCTTTTAGAGTCGCTGCTTAAGGCTTGTGGGAATTTCGCGTGGCTATACCGTACCAGTAGTCCCAGGAAGCCCTTAAAGATGGCATGTACCCGCAATACGTGTAAAGTGTTCGCACTCCCCAGCGCGAATGACGTGGACACTCAAGTCACTACAGAATACATCCTACTTCGTTCTTCATAGCCGCCAAATATTTTCTTTTCAAGTACTAGGTTTGTACTCTGGTTTGTTGAAAAACATCCCAACCTCCACTCGCCACCATATCACGCGACTGCAAAGTGAGCTTTGTCGGGGAAGCAGTTAACGACAAAGGCTCGACAAGTGGTAACCGCAGCGCGGTTCACCCTTCGTTCCTCAAGGCACGGAAGGGGCGGAAAAGGGATCCTTTCATCTCTTCGTTCCTCAAGGCACAGAGAAATCTCGAGCATGCTTCCTGACACGGAAAGTCCAGCCGGAGGATCTTTTCTTCCAGGATCCCAATAATCTTGACCATTCTGTTCAGCGTCACTCGCTACAGGTGTAGGTGTGATTTGAGAAGAGTTCTCATAGGGACCATATCCACAACCCTGAGGCGCTGCATAGGGGGTCGTCCAGGCTGGGGAGGAAGACAACGCGGTGGAAGACGCTCCGGTGGGGTGGACGGCAATAGTCGGAGGTGCTGCATCCCTGCCCTTGTAGAGGGCTGGGCCTGGAATCACATAAGTGGCAAGACTGTTGAAGATATCAATTAGGATGCCGGGATCGGTTGGTGTGTAGAACTGGGTGGCAGGAATGCCTTTCGGTGTAGCAGTGCCACCACCTGTCACCTTCAAGTTGAGGCATTGCGGGTAAGCTTGCGCACCATTGTCTACCTTTGCGAGGTGCAGTGCAATGATCTCATGACGAAGAACATAATTGCCTGCTGCAATGTCGGAAGGGATGTTGACCGTCCAAGTATTGTTGGCAGCCATGAGCTCATCGCTGGCCCATCTTCCGGGGGACTTGCTGTTGTCGAGAAGACCAGCCTCTTCAATTTTGAAGAACTCAAGTTCGGTCTTGTTCACAGAAGCGCAGCTCCCATTGCAGTTCGCAAGGTAGCTGATGACCTACTCTGTGTTAGCATTCTGATTGGATTCGAACAACTTCTGTTGCAACGTGATCCTGGGTCCATGGTCCGCTCCTGCTCCACAAACTTACCGGACCGCGGTGATCTTCGAACCATTTGTTCCAGTGAATCGTCACCTTGCCTCCAGCAGCCACCTCGCCAGCGAGAGAACCAGGCTTGGCATCCTGGTGGCAGATAATATTCGGCTGGTTGTAGTCAAAGGTTTGAACAGGGCCGTCCTGAGTATCCGCAGTTGGCCACGCGATAAGATCAGGGACGTTTTGTTCATGAGGGAATTGATCGACCAGGAATCCACCATAGGACTTGCCATCAATGTCGATACGATCGATGTGCCCATGAGCTGCGGCCAGACCAGATGTGCCTAGGATGAGCCATGCGACTTTAGAGAGAGACATTGTTAAGTGAAGAGTGAACTTCAGTCAATGAAGCAAAGTGAACGATTGATAAGAAGAATGAGAAAATGAGAGAATGTGTAGAACAGGATGAGGGAGAGAAAGGAGGATTTTGAGGGGAGAAGAAGGGACTTTATATGTGCCCGAACATAATGGGTTCTTTGCGGGCAAGCAGCACAATCTACGTACACTCGCCATGCGTCGCACAACGACTACGCTCTTCTTTTTCCAGCCGTTTCGTTCTCAGCCCGGCAGCAGCACTGGTCGGTTGACATGTTCCCACATCAGCTGAAAGCGCTGCATTTGCAACACAGCCCCTTTCCCCACTCATGAAATTGAATGGACCTGCCCTGATTGCCTGTTACGATTTGACTCTATTCGCCTCCACTGTACCTGCATTGATCCAGGTTTGAGCAGGGCTCCTAATAGTGCAAACCGTTTACACTGATAGTGCTCACTGGGTCGTCAACGCCTGCCAAAAGCAATTAATGTTGAATTTTAACTGGCGGAAATAGGATCTGGCCTATTGGATACCGGTACTCTCTAGATTTGCTTTTGATCTGAGCTGACGGCTCAGTGTGCACTATCAGTGTGAACCGTTTGCACTATTAGGAGCCCTGCCGGATTCTACGGGTTACATTTTATCTGCTCTTCCTCCGTCATTTCTCACCTTCTTGCTTTTTATTGACACGTAGTGCTGCACGACATGACACGTTGGTGCCCGCTCTCCTAAGATTCGCCCCCAATCACCCTTCGCACGATGCAAGCTACTGCGGGAAGGAATTCTCGGGCAGTGACGCAACCACCACAAACCTTCAAATATATAGACAGATAAATCCCCCTCCAACATTATGTTAACTCAAACCTCAAACTTTCGTTCCTCAAACGCGCCTTTGTCTTTATGTTTCAGATCGCTTCTCTCCCTTCCGTATTCCGACTCTGCGTCTTGAAAAGTTGGAAGATATGGTTGAAACACGAAAGGTACGCTGTCACATCATCACAAGCAATCTCAATCGACGCATGCCAGTGACCAATAAACAGCATGCGTCTTCACCCGTAGAGGTCGACCAGGACAATCCGACAAAGAAGGCTCGTACGACAGCCAAATCCAAGAATGCCGTCAAGAATGTTGGCACTTGCTCGATGGACAAGAAGCAGATTGGAGACCGCGTTAAGGCAGCATTGGCTTTAAATAAGTACTCGCTTAATCGGACAGTGATAGATGCAAGTCACCACCTTGTTTCCATCGGACACAAGCTAAGACCTGACAGCTCCAAATGGACACAGCCTTCTTCCGCACCTTGTTCGTCGATAACGACAAGCTGAGCAAACCACTGCCGATTACCCCTACAGAGTTCGACGACACTACCCCCGTGGTCGCCGTGGATCTCATCCATCACCAAGCAGGCGAATTGCTCGGAGTCAGCAAGGTTAAGGGAGGAAATAGGTTGGCCACGACGCACTTGGCGGCTATGTGTGTTGTGTTCTATCCGAGTCGAGGCACGGCAAAGATATGGCTGTCTGTGTAGTGTCTGGACTACTGCATGTGGTGGGTTTATAACTTCTGTGCATATAGAGCGTTCTGGGCGTGCAATGGCATGAGCAGCTGCCAGCTGCAGTCTGAGACTTCAGCGGGACATATGTCGTGACTCCGCTCGGTACTATTGCCTATCCCGGCCGGCTGTCAACGAGGAGAAGGTGTCGTAGGCCGGGTGGGGTTTTGGTGAGGCAATGTGTTGTCGGAATCTGCGTATACAACGGTACCAGTCGCCTCTAGCGGAGGTGGCCTACACCTCCACTTTTGGCGGCTGGTACGACACAATGGGAGTTCTTTGCTTCTGTCCAACGCTCCTGTAAAAGGACTGCGTCCGTATTGCTCAGAGTCGTCGAGTGTGAGGGCGCAGTCGTGCGTCGGCGGGATCTTGCCTCGTTGGCCTGGAAGACCCGGAAGGTCTTGTTATCGTCTCGTTCCGGCCGCGTATGTCTCGTCAAGGGCATGGCGGTGAGGGGTTGTATTGGCGCTTCTTTGCTGGGAAGCGGATTTTGGCTCGATAGGTTCGGCTTACGGTTCTCGGGGGTAGAATTTCGACTCGACCTACGGTACTCGACGGCGCCAATTTCTGCGAGGCTATCGTTGAGCTGACATTTTGTCGCTACTGACTAGCGGGTCTCAGGAAAGATGTATATGAGGCTATAGAAGAAAGGTCGGACTTGAGTCCACCGTGCCCGCAGAAATAGGTGACCGTGTGGACACGGTCTCCCAAAGAACCTCCTCTAGATACTGCCCTAGGCCTATTGTGGGTGGCCTCCGCGACACATTTGTCATCCAGGTCTCTCGAGGCAGCAAGTTCACTACAGTGTGTAGCCGAACTGTGCCAAGTACTGCCACTGCGGGGTAACTTCTTGGAAGGGACAGCGGCGGCGGCCAATACATGCGCCCATGTATTGGCCGCGGCGCGGCACGGGTAATGCCCGCCCCACTTTATTGGGATTCGCCTTGGTTCCATCTAAGTGGGGCGGGCAACGAGTAATATGAGTCCGCCTTCCCCCTCACTTTGTCTCCCCTCTCTTCAATCAGCTATAACCTGTCTGTCAAGTGTAATCGTCTTCGAAATATCCCACGCAGCTATCCTTAGAAACTCACAGCCATGCCATCCTACGAGTACAAGAGCTCTGGCACCAACAGCAAGGTTGGGCCCCCTTTCCTCCCCCATCCACATCCGCAACACCCAGAGCACGATATCGACGTACTGACGCGGAACAGGGCAACCACTACTGCTCTCGTGACTACGGCAGCGGCGCTTCCAACAGCAACTCCTATCACTACTCCAACTCGCACGTCTCCCCTTGCCTTGACCCCTCTGAACCCAATCCCCGCGATCTACTAACACGTCGACAACACAGCAACGGTTCATACTACTACTCCAACCCCAACGGAAGCTCCTACTACAACGACGGCCAAGGCGGCTCTACCTACAAGTCTTCTGGCGGTGGTAGCGCCAGTGGCGGAAGCAAGAGCTCCAAGGTCGGCAACTAGCTTTGCCAACGGGACGTGGTCATCTTTTACCCAGCTTGTCGGCAGAGGGTTTCGTCAAAGACGCTCGCAATAAGTCAATGCCAAGAAAGTAAGAGTACAAGGGGAGGTGCTAGCTTACGGAGCTGGTGAGGAACGAACGCGAAAATAAATGGGGCGTGGGACGGGTCGCCATGTGGCTCGTGTTACGGAGGGCTCGGAAGGAAGAACCTTTCGTCTCTTCATTCCTCAAGGCAAAGTGAGGATGACCATTGGCGTGTTGCACGTAACTTCTAGTAGCTGTTGTTGAGTCGTTGACCATTGCCTTACTAATCGAGTGCAAACTTCATGGTTTTTCTGATGACTGCTGACTGCAGGCTACGTCCCTAGTACCTTCTTGTCCTTCTGTGCTTCCCGAATAATGTCCTTCATTGTTCGATATAGTTCCGGCGCCGGCTTCTTCCACCTCTCACCGTTCGGAAATACCTTCCTCCTCAACCTATTGACCCATGGAATCAATGCCTGGTAGTATGGCGTGAAAACTTCCTCTGAAGTTCTGAGGAAATCGTCCTCGTCATCAATTACGCCCTTTTTGGACCGAACCAGCTGGTTATCGCTTTGGTAATTCCAGCTCTCAAACTCAGTAGCTCCAACGTCTTTGCCTGGCCCGTTGTAGTGAACACAAATCCAAAAAATCACCCAAAAGAATGATTCAAGGTCGTGCATGAAGGAATGCTGCTCGTTGCCTAGCAGTGCCCCGATGGCCATGAATGCCCTTGTACCGGTCTTCCCTTTTGCTCCCGAGGCACCTTCTCGTTGGGCTTTAATGGCGAGGTCAAGGTCGATCAGGAAAGCTCGCCGGGAGGGGTTTTCATCGTCCTCATTGATCATGAGGTTGTTGATGGAGATGTCTGTGGAGAAAGTCCGCTTTGTACAACGATTGGTGACCTTCTATGCAACCCTCCAGCGCGGCAAGCATGGCCACGGGTGAGCTTGCATTGTATATCGGCTTTCCATAGTCGCGAAGAATGACCCGCCGATGTACACGATTTGGCTGGGCTTCGACACTTGCCTTGACTGGAGATGTCGAACCGGATCGTTTGCTCGGCGGCAGGATGGCGTCAGTTTCGCTGGACGGTCGCTTCACGCCGGCGCCGCTGCTTTGCCCTTTGCGCGACATACTGGACGCGCTCGCACTTGATGGCAATATCGCACGTTCCGATCGATAATTCGTAGCTTTGGTAATGTCCAGTCCCTTTCGAACATTGTTTTGGACGTCGTCATCCGCACAGCGGACGCGAACGTTCCCGTGGTGGTAGTATCGGGCAACATTGATGACGCCTTTCTCAGTCGCTTCTTGGACAAGTATACCCTCTTCGTCACGGTCCGTGTACTGCCAGGAGTCCTTAATAACAAGCGGCGTCTGGGGGTCTTCTTTGCGATGTGCTTTCCAACAGATTGTCGCCCGGCCAGCAATGCACCGTGCTCGCTTCATGACATCATCAATGATGAGACGCTCTGTTTTGCCGTTTCGTTCGATCTCGATGTACTGCTGGCCGCCGGATATTATCATTGTAGGGTCAAACCCAAGCATCCCCTTGTTCATCCGCAGAAATCCCAGGATTGCCGTCACAAACTGCAGCCCACCATACTTCTTGTTGATGTCGAATTGTTCGGAGGCGATCCCCCCAAGCCGGTCAAACTCCCATACCCTCATAAGAGATCCGCAGAGACTAAAGCCCAAGACGAAGCGACGGGTGTCTTGAGCCGCGAATACCTCTCTCGCATACCTTGCGAGATCAATCCATGCAATCGATGCTGTGTCGGCCTTCGGGTTGCTTTTCAGTTCGCCAGCAACGAGAATGTGGGACCAACGATATCTCAAATCCTCAGAATTAGGATTATATGTGATGTCGCTATTGACGAAGCTAATATCCATACTGCGCTTGCCTGTAGAGCCAACTAGTGGTGTCCTCGGCTGCGCCAACAGCTTTCGCCGAGCCGCGGGAGAAATCCGGTCGCCTGCGAATTCTTCCAGCTTCGGGATTAGGCCGCCAAACCAAGTCAGCACGTCGCTCTCTTTGGCGCATGCCGGCCATCCACTCCACCCGTCCTTGAAGAGTGGATTGTCGCCTTCTGTGCATCTGCGGAAGACTGCCTCAGAGACCATGTCGAGGTCTGGCACGTCTCCAAAGAAGGCTTTGTGGAAATGGGGAAGCCCGACATAGAGATGTTCGAGCTCCAACTTGAGGATTGGGTCGACATTCTGGCGGCATTCTGACGAGTTCACGAGGCCGCTCGTGTTCTGACTCAATGGCGTTTGTTGGATCGACGAGAGTATCGGTCGGGGAGGCGGGGTGGATTCGGTGACGGCGCTGTAGACTTGGTCCCAGATCTCATTGTCAGGCCGCTTTTTGAGGACTGCGTCGAAGAGGGGCCGGATACGATCGAAGTCGAAGTCATCGGAGTCGACGGCAGAATTCAGTTTCAGAAGGTCGGTACGGAGCGTGCCACTGCCTATCTTCGAGCGCAGGTGACGAAGGGCAGGCAGAATTTGGAGTGCTGAGAGAAGATTGAACACAATATCCTGCACATCTGCACACAAGTCAGAAGAAATCCCTGTATTCTGGCCAGACGTACCTTGTCGGTCAAGCCGATCTAGTATGTCCGAGTGTGGCAGGCTCCGATCTTCACAAGTCGAGCTGAACGAAGCAAGGAAGGCGTCGAGACCATTCCCAATAGGATATTTCTTGATGAGCTCCGACCGATTCTGATCTGCCATGGCGGCTGGCCTCGTCCGTGATGTCGTGGAAGGATTTGCGCGTCGTGGCGCGTTCCGATCGGTCGATGAGTGAAGGGAAATCGTTCAGCGCAACCCTTCGCAGCCCAGCGCCTTGGAGAAACCCGACCCGACGAGTCTGACGGAAAAACAAGTTCCGAACACAGCGGACCAATCAAAACTCGGATATCTTAGTATCCCTTTGAGTGCCGCAGTGAGCACGCAGGCACGGGACCCACATTACGTAGCTACATGTAAATTTCAGCCCAGGTCCGGCGGCTAATGCTAATGCTATTTATTACGCCCGGAGGGAGTCCCGGCGGCCAATACATGGGCGCCCGGGTGCGCCACTAAGAACCGCAGACTGTCATTGGCCCATGAACACACACACGTATGGATCTCGTCACCGCCCACTTTGCTCTCACCCCGGCCCAAGCGTCACGAGGATAAGCGAAGACAAGAGAGCCGAGCACGCGTTGGACGAGTGGTTATGCATGACCAGGTCCTTGTGATGGCCACGTCCCGGACGGTCCCGCCATGGTCTCGGGTCGACTTGGCGGCTGCTCAGGCTAGGCGATGCCATCGTGGATGCATGCGCCAGAGAGTAGAGACGAGTGTTTCCGTCTCTCTATTTCTGATTAAGGTTGTTTGTTCACCCTGCCATCAACTCAACAGGACTCTGCTGCGGGTCGTCCACGTGGGTCCCAAGACACGGTGTGGTTTGTTGCACCGGCACGTGAAACTGAGTCAAATCAGGCCTGCCGCTCTGCGGCCGTTTCTCTGCGGGGAGCCAATGAATGGGGTGGGGGCTGCTGTTGGTCCTGGTGTCTGCCGACGGGCGCTGCCAACGATTTGGCCCTACAGTACCGGGCATACAGTGTGCTTGCCGGCTTCTATCTGCAGTGATACCGTCGCATGCGTGCAGGCAGAGGCCCTCTGGCGGGCCACGAACCCAGCCTCGCCGTCCTGTACCGTACCGTCCGCATCCAAGCATCGTCAGGCTGAGCGGCGGCGGCGTCTGACTGTGGACATGAGAAGCCCTCGACCAACAGCGCCGGCCTTCTCCGGCTGGGAATCATCTGGCGGCGTGGGTCTGCAAAGCGTTCTCGACCCTTTTCCCCGGCCTGTTTCGCGCCTTCAGGCCAAAAGCACCCTGATCGCCTGGACTCGCGGGAGGTTTAGGGTCGTCGCCACTGCAGCCCCGAGCTTATCGTCATCCCCTGTTGGCCACGCATCCACGCTAACAGCAAAACGCCAACAGGGCTAAGTGGGCTTCGAACCCTCTCAGAGACCCTCTCAGCGCCTCTCTTCATCTCGTGTTGGCTGCAACAATTCAGCATGCCGCGGAACCCGCGCCCGCCAGAAACAACACAAGAGGGGAACGGGTGCCTCTCTCTCCCCATCCTCCTCCTCCTCCTCCTCCTCCTCCTCCTTGCCCCGCTTCGCCTCCACCCTCCTCCCCCGGATTCGACTCCTGGCGGCCTCACCTCTGCTACTGGCGCCTGGACGCCTCTCCATCTCCTCACAGGTAGTCGCCGCCGGCCCAGCCTCTCCTGCTCCTCTGCCTCCGCATCGACCACAATGCGGCTCCCACGCATTCTCCGTCTGGCCACGGCCGTCGCCATGGCCAGGCTTCTGCCCGCCGCCCGAGCAGCCGGAGCAGCCAATGCCACCGACGGTAACAGGGCTACTCCCCAGGGCGGTATCCTCGAAGGCGCCAACCCGTCCAAATACGATCCCAGCAACCCCATCATCCTCTTCATCATCCAGGTCTGCCTCATCGTCATCGTCTGCCATGCCCTCCATTGGCCCCTCGCAAAGATTCGACAGCCCCGTGTCATCGCAGAGGTTGTCGGCGGCATCATCCTCGGCCCCTCCGTCATGGGCCGAATCCCTGGTTTCCGCGAAGCCATCTTCCCCGCCGCCTCACTGCCTAACCTCAATTTAGTCGCCAACCTCGGTCTCGTCCTTTACCTCTTCCTCATCGGCCTCGAGACCGATGTCCGCTTTCTAGCCCGCAACTGGCGCGTTGCAACCTCCGTCGCCTTTGCCGGCCTCGCCCTTCCCTTTGGCATTGGCTGTGCTCTCGCTTGGGGCGTCTACAACGCCTTTCGCGATGATGGTTCCCTTACGCCCATCCGCTTCAGCGTCTACATGCTCTTCATTGGAATTGCCGTCGCCATTACCGTGCGTTTATTCTCGACCCTGATCCTCGTTGCCCAGTAGGCCCTTTTGCTCATCTTCCTCTTCTCCAGGCTTTCCCCGTCTTGTGCCGCATCCTCACCGAACTGAAACTGCTCGACACCTCGGTCGGTGTCATTACGCTCTCGGCCGGTGTGGCCAACGACGTCGTGGGTAAGTTTGTCACGCACTCTTCCCCCATTGTCTCCTGTCTCCCACGTGCAAATGCTAACGAATGCGACTCCAGGCTGGGTGTTGCTGGCGCTCTGCGTCGCCCTCGTGAATGCCGGCACTGGCCTCACCGCCCTCTGGATCCTACTCTGCTGTCTCGGCTTCATGCTGCTGCTCACCTTTACTGTGAAGCCTGCCTTGATATGGCTGCTCCGCCGCACCGGGAGCATCGAAAATGACCCCTCTCAGAGCGTCATCTCCCTCATCCTCCTCATTGCCCTCGCCTCCTCCTTCTTCACCGGCATCATCGGCGTCCATCCTATCTTTGGCAGCTTCATGGCCGGCCTCATTCTTCCCCGCGAAAATAGGTTCAACATTCGCGTCACGGAGAAGCTCGAAGATCTCATCGGTGCAATCTTCCTACCCCTCTACTTCACCCTCTCCGGCCTCAACACCAACTTGGGCCTGCTGGACTCGGGAACCGCTTGGGGCTACGTCTTTGCCACCACCTTTGCCGCCTTCTTCACCAAGATCATTGGCGCCGCCCTAGCGGCTCGTGCCAATGGGCTGGTGTGGCGCGAGTCCTTTACCATTGGCGTGCTAATGAGCTGCAAGGGCCTCGTCGAGCTTATTGTGCTGGTGAGTCTTGTTCTTTATTCTCGCAAGGAATGTTGAGGAGGAGGCTGTCCAAACTTTTGGTGTCGGACTCCTCGCTTTTCACAATGCGACGAGTGACCATGAACTGACCGACAATCGCGCAGAATATTGGCCTCCAAGCAAAGATCCTCAGCACGCGCACTTTCACCATCTTCGTCGTCATGGCGCTCCTCACCACATTTGCCACGACCCCCATTGTCTCCTACCTCTACCCGCCCTGGTACCAGATCAAGATTGCGGCCTGGAAGCGCGGCGAGATTGACTGGGACACGGGCGCGCCCCTCCCCTCGTCCGACTCGGACGACAGCAGCCAGCAGAAGTCGGGCTCTGTGCAGCGGGTGAGTCGCATGCTTGCCTACATTCGCCTCGACAGCATGCCCGCCCTGCTCAACCTCGTGTCCCTCTTCGGCGGGCCCGAGCCGGCGTCGACGGCATCGGAGCAGACAACGAACTCGGCCAACCCCAAGGGCCCCGATGTCTCTGCCGGCTCAACCGACGGCCCCCGGAGACCCGTCTGGGTGCACGGCATGCGCCTGCTGCAGCTGACGGACCGCGACTCGTCCGTCATGACGGTGTCCCAGGTGGCCGACTACAGCCGTCATGACCCAGTAGTCAACACGTTCCGCACCGTCGGCCAGCTCCACAACCTGGCCATGTCGGGCGAGGTGGCCGTCATGCCGGAGGGGCGCTTCGCCGAGGCCCTCGTCAGCAAAGCGGCCACCATGGCGTCGGATCTGCTCCTCATCCCCTGGAGCGAGACGGGCGGCATGGGCGACTCGCCCATCCTGTCGTCGGCCACTGTCGCGGACCGCATGGCGTCGACGTACAGCGCCTTTGTCCGGTCCATCCTCGACTCGCGTGACCGCAACGTCGGCGTCTTCTTCTCCCGCACCGACGATGCCGACGCCATCGCCGACGCCGCCACAAAGGGGTCCGGCCGCGCTCCTCTCTCCCGCAAGTACTCGTTTGGCGTCCAGGGCGACGACGTCCCCGCCGCTGCCCTGCCCACCAAGCCTTACAACATCTTCCTCGCTTACTTTGGCGGCCACGACGACAAGCTGGCCCTGCGCCTCGTCCTGCAGCTCTGCGTGCAGTCCAAAGCCACCGCAACCATTGTGCGCATCTCGGAGACTTCTCACCTCTTGGAAACGGCCAAGTCCTCGCTCTCGACCGACACGGCCTCGCGCGTCAAGTTCGAGACGAGTTCGGGCCCCACCACGGTCGAGGACCTGCTGCAGCTCGCCCAGCCCGCGTCCGGGCGGCCGCACACGCCCGGCCCCAAGGCCTCGACCCTCGTCGTCGTCGGCCGTAGCAGCGGCGCCCAGCTCGACCAGGGCAAGGCCGGTCGCGCGGCGCGCGAGGACCTCGTCGGCTGCCTCGGCCGCGTCGCGGGCCACTTTGTCGCGGGCGGCTTGCGAGCAGACTTGCTCGTCGTGCAGGCCAAGCAGAGCGCCGAGGCGAGCTAATTCGCTAATGATCAACGGATGTTTGCTGTATCATGACGGGACAGGCTCTACCATGATGCTTTGCATGGTGCCCTCCTGTTCCCTTGCTTGTATACTCTCCCTCTACGAAGGTGGCGATCAAAGGAATTTCAACCTCTTGAGGTCACAAGGGCCCCCTGCCACCGTATTACCTAGCGCTTACATACTGTAGAACAAAGAGCTACCATACCCCACCCCCCTTTCGGTAGCACAATTGAACAAATCCCCACCAAAAGTCTTAATATTTCACTTACACCAATTCCAGCCAACTTTGAATATATTCGCAAGTCGTCACTTGAAGCAGATAGAGAATTGACCGAATTCTACTTTTTGGAGGTTAAATGTTTGTACAGGGCTGTGTGGTCTGTGCGTACCTTGCACGCGAAATTACCATCCAGCCCCCTAATCTCCCTCTGCCTCTTGACGGTGATTCTTCTCGTTATTCCTCCACCACATGGCCAAAATGACCTCAAAACGGCCTCGGAGTATTTATACAGAGGATAGAATGGCAAATGCGATAATAGATGTCACAAAAAACGGCTTGTCGCAGTACCACGCCGCCCAAAAGCATAATGTTGACGTGGGCGTGAACGCGAGCAATCAACGACTCTTCGGTAGGCGTAAGCTCGGGCAACCGGGCCGGCACAGGGCCAAAGTCGAGCTGATTATCCGCAGAGAAGAAATACGGCTCGCCGGGGCCGCGTTTCGCATCCTTTCGATAGCAACGCGCACAAATGCCGTCGGTATCGATCTTCAACTGAAACCAACTCTCTTGGCATCGACTGCAAAACTGCATTTGGTCATTGTCCAGCTTTGTCCTGAACTCGCGGAGGGTGGTCTTGTCGCGGTCAGTCAAGGCGCAAGCGTCGAGGTCGCCATTCCACGCCGGATCTTGTGGGTGAAATACCGCCGACTGTTCAGTTGGAATCATCACCGGGCTCCGAACACGTCGTGGCGGCCTCGACGGTCGAGTTTGCCTTCGAGATTGTCTCGGCCGCCCTCCTGTACCGGGGGCAGGACCACGGCGGCCACGCCTTGGCTGTGCCGAATGCTGCCGCATGCGATGGCGAAGAGGGCTTCCATCCACGTACCATGCTTACCCCCCCTTCTGCTCACCCCCCCCCCCCTTATGCTCCGCAAAAATGTTGCCGCTCCATACAAAGGGGGTGGTTATCCGTACAACACATTTTGGTAAATGTACAACAGAAAGTGGAGTAAACGTGGCTTGGGTGTACCTAATACATGGCCAAAGGTCGTAGGCATGCAGGCATAGCACTTACACAAGGCCACACAGGCAGAGGTTGCAAGGCCATAACAGCCAGACGTTGTGAAGCCTGCAGAGTGTTGCAAGGCTATACAAGAAGAGGGCACACAAGCAGAGGCCATACAAATCAGGCGGCTTGCAGCCTCACAAGGCTATGCCTTGAGGAACGAAGAGACGAAAGGATCCTTCTTCCGATTATATATATATATATATATATATATATATATACTTCCGATTATATATATATATACAGGAGACCGGCCCCTTCCAGGGTCCGCCAATGCCTTGAGGAACGGACTAAAGCATTAGTTGGCCGGCGGCAAGTATCAACGCGCCCGGCAGTGCTAAAGGACCCCCGTTCCCGAACTTGGTCAGTATGCCTATCTTTCGCAACCCTAATTCTCGTACATTCGTCTCGTTTCTACGGCCAAGTTCTTAAGTCTCTGCATTCCATCAACTATGGCCTGATCCAGCCCATTGCCAATGAAATCATGCTGTCTCACGGGACCGAGAAGCTTGATGCCCCGAAGCGTAGTGCACCTGGACAGTTGCACATAGAGGCTCGTAAAATTGCATTTGGAGGGTTCCCCATTGGTCACACGATTTCCACGTAGCTCCAAAGTACTTCGACGAACGTTTTACCCTGGGCCTTGTAATCGGTAAGAACAAACGCTGGTGCCACGGGTAATCCACGTCGTGTGCATCTTGCTGACAAGAATTTGAAGTGAGAGTTAGTCGAATCGAGCGTATGTGACATGGGTCGGATGAGCACGGTCCCCAACGGCAGGGACGGTATCGCCAACGTTTTCGTCTCTTGAGACTGCAGAAGAATGCCTAGCGGTGGCCCGAAGTGGATTGTCACGTCATCTGCCAAGTAGTATCCTGGGTGATTGGGATCGAGTATAACGTCCACGGCAGTAAACTCGGCTCCGTTGACAACTTTCAAGCCAGTATAGATGTTCTTGTTCACAACCACCGGCATACCTTGGGCGTAGAAAAGACACCAGGGACTTTGCAGACAGAGTCATCACCTTGTCCAATGGTTTGTGCTATGATGTTTGGAGAAAGCGTGCCGTTGCGCCAGGTGTGAGTCGAGATAAAGATACGGATATGTTGCTTGTTGAAGCGCGCCCAGCCTACGACAGCTTCCATGTTGAGGGCCCAGCGGGTGCGGTTCAGCGGCGTTATAGCACGCAAACCATTGTCGAAGGTGATTTGGGAGCGTCCTACAATGTTGGCGTTGAGCAAGTCGAGGTCTTGCCGTGTCTGCCGCCCGTCACGAACTCGATCCAGGAGTGCGCCGAGTTGGGGATCGTCGCGTGCCCGGACCTGGTCTTCGAGGAGCACAACGGTTTTGAACAGATGCCACAATCTACAGCCGCTATGGTGAGAGACGGTCGCTTGTCGCAGAGGTGCCTGGGTTCCGTCCGGCGGTCTATTGATCAGGAGGCTTGTTTCCCGCACAGGGGCGAACTGGTAGAAGTCTCCCATCAGCAGAACTACAGGCATCCCACCAAATGGCTCGTCCGGACAGTCACGGAGTGCCTGGAGATGACGACTGACGTTGTGCAGAGTGGCCCCCCCAAGCATACTGACCTCGTCAATCACGAGTACCAGCTTCTGTTTCCAGATCCATTTCTTCGCCTCCGAGAAAGGGGAGGCGGTTTGTTTGGATCGCGATGGGAATCTAACCCACAGGCCGAGTGGATCGTCGTGCCGCCAATCTGGGCCGCCGAACTGCCCGATGTGCCGGTTATCTGCAGAAGATGTGGCTGGTTTCTCGCCGCGAACACGTCCTTCAGGGCATCGATGATCCTCGACTTTCCCGTGCCACCCGGCCCGCCGGTATACTGGAGATGTTGGCCAGCTGAGTCCGGATTAGCCGTATACCTGTCTAGAAATGCGCAAACGAGTTGAAGGGCCATGGTCTGTAGATAGTTCAGTGTGAAGGTGGCTGCGGTGGTGTGCCCCATCTCCGCGAAGCTAGTCGCCGGAGTGACGTCAACGAGCATTCGAGGGCCTTGTTCATTGAGGTCACTGCCTGTGAGCGCAGCGGCGGTGTCCATATCGCCGTAGCGAGCTAGGGTATCGTCGATGTCGGCGCCATTCGTGGATAGTACGGTGCCCTGAGAACCACCCTCGATGTCGTCCAGCATTCGAAGATGCAACAGGTCTTGGGCCTTGGCTGCTGCTTGGACATCATCTCGAGATAATATTGGGAATTGGCACAAGGTGTCGCCTTGGTCGTGGGGTATATTGAGGTACAGATCCTCCTGACGTTGGACAAAGGGTTGTCCTCCAGCGAGGTTCCCCTTACGCACGTCGCGTATTAGATCCAAGAGGACGAGGAGTCCTTTGTGGCGTCAGTATTTTGCACGGAATTCCGCAAAATCTGGAGTAGAGCTGTGTAAGCCTGATGTTGAGCCATCGCTGGAGGCTCATCCTCGTAGTGGCCGTCGTCCAGTGGGTACTCAACGTCAATTGTGTCGTCACCTCCGATCGACTGGCCCAGAGCTTCGTGTCTTTACGCGCGTCTTCGGCAGACTTTCTCAAAAGACAAATGTTGGAGACATGGAAACGGAGGCGGGGACAAAGCCCGGCCCGATGCCTCGTCCATATGTCGGTTATATCGCCTTGGCTTTCAGAAACGAAGTTTTCCCAAGGGACGAATAACGCCAAATGTAGGACCGAATTTCTGCACAGGCTGTCAGACGGGGCCAAAATGTTGCTGGGGGGTTAGAGCGTACCGCTTAATATACACTGGGTGATCGTCCTCATGGTCGTCGCTGATGTATCCTTGGAAGATCGGGACGGCGTACTGGTCTGGCCGTCGAAGCTTTTGCATCCAGCCGTCACAGTCGGAATCCTGCCCATCGAGAAAATGTGAGTCGTCTTCACTCCGACTTTTTCGACGCATCAAATGAATCATTGACATATAGTCGTACAGGCATAGGTCTCGTAGAACATGGCCCCGGTACGCGTACGCGTCCAGGTATAAAAGGGTTCGCCCTCCTTGCCTCAGACGGATTGTCTCCGGGGGCTGTTCAGCGTCCGTCAGCTCGCCGGCCTGATGGCGGAGATGTGCCCATAGCCGAAAGATTGCCCAATAGAGCGCCGTCAGGTTCAGGAAAGACCAATGCGGCACGTTGGTAAAGTCGGTGTCATATCCAAGGAGATGGTAACAGACCTCTACGGCCGAGAGTTGTCGCTCGGAGAAGATCCGATTTGCCGTTCTCATCAGGAATTGACGGCTTTCATTCAATACTGCCTGCTGCCTGTCGTCGGGCAGGGTGGGATCTGGTGCGCGAGACGTCGGACGACCGGCTTCGCGAAGTTGGCGGGCAACCTCGGCGGCAAGAGCAATGCGTTTCCACATCGGCGTATCCAGTTTGGTGGCGTAGTTCGTGATGTAGTACACCATGGCCAGGCCCTTGGTTTTGGTCAAGATCATCGAGACGTCATGGTTATGACGAAGGCCGACCGCCAATGACTTGTTATACCGATTGACGAGTGGATGGTTGCGCCGGATCTGAAGCAAGCCGTCCTCTGTGAACCCTGTCTCGTCGACGATCTTCCACGGTGCTTTGAAGCGGCAGGCCGTCCGTCTCTGTGGATCTGCACCCTGTTCAACGATCCCCTTCAGAGAATACTTGAGGCAGGTGTACGTGTGGGAGTGCACTTGGCAACAGTACGCGATGAAGTTGGATTCGTCTTCGAAGGCCGCAGTGAGAGCCGAGGTGCTGGTCATGACCTCCTCCACGGGATGGATGGGCTTCCTCTGTTGTCGCAGGGTTTTTCCAGCATCTTCATCTAAACACTCGTGAAAGACAGAGTCTACGTACCGGGTCACTTGGGCACGGTATCCTTCTTCCGCAGGATTGGCCATATCGTCTACCAGGTTCGGTAACCGCATGTTGCCGTCCAGCCAGAGGAGTCCATGTAAGTGGAGGCTGCCTCGCTCGTTCGTTTCCACCGTGGCGTAGTAGTGGCTAATCTTTCCAAAGATCGATTCCTGGCCCGTGTTCACGTACTTGTCAAAGAATAAGGATATTTCTCGGTGGAAGAAGATGGCCGAGCTAACCGGATCCATGGTGCTGAGGGCGATTCTGTCGTACCTTTCACGGAGATCGGCTAAAAGCTCCATTGCAGAGTCATAATCGTGCAGCCTATGAATGGCAAGTTTCATCTTTATCGGATTATTAATGTCGTTGGGACTGATGGTAATCCAAACTGCAGGCATACCGGCCCAAATGTTAACAGCTTGTATCTTCCTCCGCATAAGCAAACGGGATTCGTTCGAGAGCGGCTGTGCGTGGCCAAAAATCGACAGCTCGCGAAGCAAGACCGATATGTCAGGGTCCGACGTGGTCCTTGCCTCCCGCATCTCCGCCTCGGCTCTCTTCAGTCGGTCCTCGTTCAAGTTCGCATACGCTTGCTCGAGCCTGTGGAAGGAATCTTTAGCGACACGAACCATGCTGATGCGGCGGTTGGAGGAGCGAAGGAGGGTGTTGAATACTAAGAAACAAAAGACAGGATGGGTGGCAAATCGGCCTCCGTGCCGTCGCAATACGTATCTGGCCCAGTAATTAAGCGAGTGATTCGGACGACGGTCGGCAACAACGCTTTGTCGGCTGTGACTCGAGTCGCCCTTTGATTTCGGGCCACCCTTCGGAAATGTTCGAGGAAGAAATCTTCGTGCAAGTTGTCTGCAAAATCCGCACCACGCTCTACTCGGACAAACGGCTGGTCTCCGCAGTTTGGACCTGCATAACGCACGGCACAGAGTTGCCATGTCGATCCGGATTGGCGTTGACGATGTCGGCCAGAAACGACAGTTTATCGGTCTCGGCGAAGGCAGCCGGTCCATTGAGAGGAAACATGCCGGAAGCAGACATCTCACAGACGGCGTCAACTTCCAGGCCGATGGCAGCCGAGTCGGGGACAAGAGTCGCCGGCTCACCAGGGATGGTTGAGTCTGCTCGGGGACAGAGTACGATCTAAATCGCAGGATTCAGCCGCAAAAGTGGGGTTGATCGAGTTCACCAGTTCATCGATGCTTCTGAAGCTGTTTTCCAAGCCTCGATCAGTGTCCGGGACTATGTGGTCCGTTTGTGTCTTCTCAACGGTCGACGGTTCCTCCCTTCGCATGCGGTCCATGATGACGGTCGGAACAGTGGAGCCGTCGGCATACTGCCAGCCATCTATCTCTGCTTGGTTAATTGCGATATCCTCGTAGAGCGGGTTGTTCCTTTGCAGCCATGCCAGGGCAGCTGCCACTCGAGATTTGCGCACTTGAAGCAGGTGTCTGACGTCTGCGGAGCCAGGCTTGCCCGGACCGCTCCAAGAGACGTGGATGTTCTCAATGGCCTGCAGTAAGGGATGAGGAAGAACCGTGGCCACAAGATCATCCACTTTGTTCGGGAAGACGACGATGTGTCCTTTCACGTGCTTGCGGTAGCTGATTCCCGAACGGGTCTTGTTGTCGACCGTGAACTTGGTGATATAGCCAAAAGGTGCATGCAGGGCAATGAGTCTCTCTTCAACGGGGGAGAGGTCATCAAGCTCTTCGGGGTACCGATGTTCGCAACCGATGGCCATGTTGTTGACCGAGCAGGCTTTGGGCAGCCGTCCACTGTCGAAGCCGGCGCGACACTCGCGGCACACGTCAACTCTGGCGCCCTCGTGTGACGGAAGGCACGCGCCACACTCTTGGACAGTCTTGGTCGCCTGCAGCATGGAGGGCGACAAGCGATCCCTCCACTGTATGGTGGCGAGTTCGCAAGGCGGTGTCTTCCTATAGCAGAAGACGCAGTGGGAAACCGGCAACGTCCGTTCCTCGGTAAACGCTTGGTAGAAAGATTTAGCAGCCTCTACCTGGAGGGCAACCGGAACTTCGTTGCACCAGGATCTTGTCGATGATGCCTGCTCCTTGACGCGGAAAGTGGCGTTGTAGTGATGCAGTATGGATTCGACAGAGTCTCGTTGAAGTTGAACGGTTTCTCGCATCGGCCGGGGTCTTTTGGGGAGCGCCTTGGCTGCGTCGGCGGCGGAGTGAGGCGCTTGCTCTTGTCTAGGTCGTTTCGGTGATGGAGTGGCGGGCGGCGGCGTCTGTGCAGCAAATCGGGATTGAGCTTCACGGCGGCGGGTTCGGTCTTCGGCGCGCTGGCGGTCCATATCTCGCAAGACACGGAGGATCTCATCGTGGGGGACTCTGGCAAGCGGTGAAGGGCGTTGTAAGGACCGGCGCCGATAGGACGCCTGCGATTCAAGATCCTCAAGGTGCGGTGAACCTCTTCGGGTGCGACAGTGGCTGGGTGTTCTCGCGGCATGGTGCTGCGAACGAGAGCTGGGACGAAGTGGGAGGAATGATCTGCTATGGCGCCCAGCAAGAATCCGGCGTTGGAAGATCAGAGGGCTCACGGAGTGCGTAGGTCAGGGTCAAGACCCTTGGTCCCGCTGGTTGGTAGAAGAATGGCGGTCACGAAGTGAGGGGCGAGCCGCCGACCGGCCGGAGCATGGCCGGAGCGGTCAGGCGGCCCGGGGAGAGGGGCCGGAGCGGGCAGCAGGAAGCAGTGGCTCTGTTTGGCCGGAAGTAGGTGGCAGTGAAGAGTGGCTGGGGAGCGCACGGGGCACCATGCGGTCCGTGTTTACGGAAGGGGCGGAAGGAAGAGCCTTTCGTTCCTCAAGGCATACAGGAGACCGACCCCTTGCAGGGTCCGCCAATGCCTTGAGGAACGGGACTGAAGCATTCGGTTTGGTTTGACACTGACAAGTCTGTTGAAAGGAAAGATGAGGCTTGCTCCCGATAGTGTGGCTGCTTGGACGCCGTTTTACCCCGCCACAACACGATAGGCTTAGGGCGGGGTAAGGACGTAATGGAGCCTTTTCAGGAGCCATCATCTTGAAGGTCGAAGGAGTCCGAACCGTTGCGAATTATGCAGTGAAGGGTAACAATTTGTCAAGAATCGACCCAATGCCTCCGATTGATTACTCAAAGTGGGACAACATCGACACCGATTCGGAGCCAGAGACATCGCCCCAGCAAGCGCCAGCGGCAAACCCACCCGCCGGCCACGCATGCCTCGCCGCCGATGGGTACGTCAGGTTTGAGGGAAACGCACAGCAAGTCGGGGCATGTCGAAGCTGTCATTGTCCGATGCGAGGCCGAGAAACGCAAGTTTCCCCTCTGGTCTGCCACTACAATCCCTGCGAATCATGATATGTTTTCGCAGTCGGTGCCCTCCGTCCCAGCGCTCATCGAGGTCCCGCTGGTCCTCTATCGGACGGGGACTCAGTCCGTCAACGAGGCAGACCTCGACAACCAGATTGCTACGTACCTCAATATTGATGCCGACTCCGGGTTTGCACCTCCAGAATGGCAGTCACAAGTTGGCACCGTCGTGGTCGCGCGCAAGGACAGGAGGCCATTTTATCCGCAGCATCTTGAAGGAGTGTGGATGTTCTGCGACCATATCCTCGACCTGTTCGGGGAAGGAGAAGGGCCGCCGAGATGGCTTTACAGCCACCAGGCGTTCGAGAAATGGTGGGTAAATTATTGTGAGGAGCAAAAGCGCTTACGTCCTGGGAAGGGAGGGGAGCGAGATCCGGATGATTGGCGTGCGGCCCGGTCACCTTATCAGGTGTGACTCTTCCACGCACGAAAAGGCGTACATGAACGATCGGATTGACCAGTGTCACTGCTTTTCTAAATCGCCACCCTCATATGCCCGTCTCGTTTGCGCCGCCAAGTTTGTGAGTCTGCGCATTCCATCAAGCATGGCTCGATCTAGCGTATTGTCAATAAAATCCTGGTATCTCACGGGACTGAGGAGTTTGATGCCATGGAGCGTAGTACACCTGGACAGTTGAACATAGAGGCTCGTGAAATCGCATTTGGAGGGTTCGCCATTGGTCAGACGATTTCCACGCAGCTCCAAGAGTACTTCTACAAACGTTTTACCCTGAGATTTATAGTCAGTGAGGACGAACGCTGGCGCAACGGGTAATCCACGTCGTGTGCATCTTGCCGACAAGAATTTGAAGTGAGAGCTAGTCGAATCGAGCGTATGCGACATGGGTCGGATGAGCACTGTCCCGACCGGGAGGGACGGTATCGCCAAGGCTTTCGTCTCCTCGGACTGCAGAAGAATGCCGAGCGGTGGCCCGAAGTGGATGGTCACGTCATCTGCCAAGCAGTATCCCGGGTGATTGGGATCGATTATCACGTCCACGGCGGTAAAGTCGGCCCCATTCACAACCTTCAGGCCAGTGTAGATGTTCTTGTTCACAACCACGGGCATGCCCTGGGCGTAGAAGAAGACGCCGGGGACTTTGCAGGCAGAGTCGTCGCCTTGTCCGATGGTTCGCGCTACGATGTCTGAAGAAAGCGCGCCGCTACGCCAGGTGTGAGTCGAGACAAAGATACGGATATGCCGCTGGTTGAAGCGCGCCCAGCCCACAACAGCTTCCATGTTGAGGGCCCACCGGGTGCGGTTCAGCGGCGTTATAGCGCGCAAACCATCGTGGAAGGTGATTTGCGAGCGTCCTACAATGTTGGCATTGAGCAAGCTCAGATCTTCATGGGTCTGGCGCCCGTTACGAACTCGATCCAGGAGTGCACGGAGTTGGGGATCGTTGCGTGCGCGGACTTGGTCTTCGAGGAGCACCACGATTTTGAACAGATGCCACAATCTGCAGCCGCTGTGGTGAGAGATGGTGGCTTGTCGCAGGGGGGTCTCTGTTCGGTCCGGCGGTCTGATGATCAGTAGGCTTGTCTCCCGCACGGGGGCGAACTGGTAGAAGTCTCCCATCAGTAGAACGACAGGCATGCCACCAAACGGTTCGTCCGGACAGTCACGGAGCGCCTGCAGGTGGCGACTGACGTTGTGCAGAGTGGCTCCTCCCAGCATACTGACCTCGTCAATCACGAGCACCAGCTTCTGTCTCCATACCCACTTCTTCGCCTCCGAGAAGGGGGGAGGCGGCTTGTTTGGATCGCGATGGGAATCTAACCCACAGGCCGAGTGGATCGTCGTGCCGCCAATCTGGGCCGCCGAACTGCCCGATGTGCCGGTTATCTGCAGAAGATGTGGCTGGTTCCTCGCCGCGAACACGTCCTTCAGGGCATCGATAATCCTCGACTTTCCCGTGCCACCCGGCCCGCCGGTGTATTGAAGATGCTGACCGGCTGAGTCCGGGTTGGCAGTATACTTGTCCAGAAACAGGCAAACGAGTTGAAGGGCCATGGTCTGTAGATAGTTCAGTGTAAAGCTGGCCGCGGTGGTGTGTCCCATCTCCGCGAAGCTAGTTGCCGGACTGACATCGACAAGCATCCGAGGGCCTTGTTCATTGAGGTCGCTGCCCGGGAGCGCAGCAGCGGACTCCGTATCGCCGTAGCGAGCTAGGGTATCGTCGACGTCGGCGCCATCCGCGGAAAGCATGGTCCCCTGAGAACCACTCTCAATGTCGTCAAGCATCCGAAGATGCATTAGCTGTTGGGCCTTGGCCGCTGCTTGGACATCGTCTCGAGATATTGGAAATTGGCACAAGGCATCACCTTGATCATGGGGTATATTCCGGTACAAATCCTCCTGACGTTGCACCAAAGGTTGCTCCTCTTCCGCCGGGTTCTCCTCGCACAGATCGCGTATTAAGCCTCCAAGGACGGGTGAGTCTTTCGTGGCGTCCGTGTGCTGCACGGCATTTCGCAAAATCTGGAGTAGAGCTCTGTAGGCCTGACGATGAGCCATCGCTGGAGGCTCCTCCTCGTAGCGGCCATCGTCAAGTGGGTACTCGACGTCAATTGTGTCGTCACCCTCCGATCGACTGGCCCAGAGCTTCGCGTCTTTACGCGCATCCTCGGCAGACTTTCTCAAAAGACAAATGTTGGAGACGTAGAAACGGAGGCGGGGACAAAGCCGCGCTCGATGCGTCGTCCATATGTCGGTTATATCGCCTAGGCTCTCAGAAATGAAGTTTTCCCAAGGGACGAATAACGCCAAATGTAGGACAGAATTTCTGCACAGGCCGTCAGACGGAGCCAAAACGGTGCCGGGGGGGGTTAGAGAGTACCGCTTAATATACACTGGGTGATCGTCGTCATGGTCGTCGCTGATGTATCCTTGGAAGATCGGGACGGCGTACTGGTCGGGCCGTCGAAGCTTTTGCATCCAGCCGTCACAGTCGGAATCCTGCCCATCGAGAAAAATGTGAGATTCATCTTCACTCCGACCCTTTCGACGCACCAAGTGAACCATTGACATATAGTCATACAGGCATAAGTCCCGTAGAACATGGCCCCGGTAGGCGTACGCATCTAAGCATAGAAGCGTTCGCCCTCCTTGCCTCAGAGGGATGGTCTCCGGGGGCTGTTCAGCGTCCGTCAGCTCACCGGCCTGGTGGCGGAGATGTGCCCATAGCCGAAAGATTGTCCAGTAGAGGGCCGTCAAGTTCAGGAACGACCAATGCGGCACGTTGGTAAAGTCGGTGTCATATCCAAGGTGGTAACAGACCTCGACGGCCGAGAGTTGTCGCTCGGAGAAGATCCGATTTGCCGTTCTCATCAGGAACTGACGGCTCTTGTTTAAAACTCCCTGCTGCCTGTCGTCGGGCAGGGTGGGATCTGGCGCGCGACACCTCGCACCACCGGCTTCGCGGAGTTGGCGGGCAACCTCGGTGGCGAGCAATGCGCTTCCACATCGGCGTATCCAGTTTGGTGGCGTAGTTCGTGATGTAGTACACCATGGCCAGGCCCTTGGTTTTGGTCAAGATCATCGAGACGTCGTGATTATGACGAAGGCCGACCGCCAGTGACTTGTTGTACCGGTTGACGAGCGGATGGTTGCGCCGGATCTGAAGCAAGCCATCCTCTGTGAACCCTGTCTCGTCGACGATCTTCCACGGTGCTTTGAAGCGGCAGGCCGTCCGTCCCTGTGGATCCGCACCCTGTTCGGCAACCCCCTTCAGAGAATACTTGAGGCAGGTGTACGTGTGGGAGTGCACTTGGCAACAGTACGCGACGAAGTTGGATTCGTCTTCGAAGGCCGCAGTGAGAGCCGAGGTGCTGGTCATGATCTCCCCCACAGGATGGATGGGCTTCCTCTGTTGTCGCACGGCTTTTCCGGCATCTTCATCTAGACACTCGTGAAACACAGAGTCTACGTATCGGATCACTTGGGCACGATATGCTTCTTCCGCGGGGTTGGCCATGTCGTCCATCAGGTTCGGCAGTCGCATGTTGCCGTCCAGCCAGAGGAGTCCATGCAAGTGGAGGCTGCCTCGCTCGTTCGTTTCCACCGTGGCGTAGTAGTGGCTGATCTTCCCGAAGATCGATTCCTGGCCTGTGTTCACGTATTTGTCAAAGAATAGAGATATTTCTCGGTGGAAGAAAATGGCCGAGCTGACCGGATCCATGGTGCTGAGGGCGATTCTATCGTACCTTTCACGGAGATCGGCCAAAAGTCCCTTTGCAGACTCATAATCGTGGAGCCTATGAATGGCAAGCCTCATCTTTACCGGATTATTAATGTCGTTAGGATTGATGGTAATCCAGATTGCAGGCATACCGGCGCGGATGTCCAGAGCTTGTATCTTCCTCCGCATAAGCAAACGGGATTCGTTCGAGAGCGGCTGTGCATGTCCAAAAATCGACAGCTCGCGAAGCAAGACCGATACGTCGGGGTCCGACGTAGTCCTCGTCTCCCGCATCTCCGCCTCGGCTCTCTTCAGTCGGTCCTCGGTCAAGTTCGCATAGGCTTGCTCAAGTCTGTGGAAGGAATCTTTAGCGACACGGGCCATGCTGATGCGGCGGTTGGAGGAGCGAAGGAGGGTGTTGAATACTAAGAAACAAAAGACAGGATGGGTGGCGAATCGGCCTCCATGCCGTTGCAATACGTATCTGGCCCAGTAATTAAGAGAGTGATTCGGTGACGGTCGACACCATCGCTTTGTCGGCTGTGACTCGAGTCGCACTTCGATTTCGGGCCGCCCTTCCCACGGAAAAAGCTTCGGAAATGTTCGAGGGAAGAAATCTTCGTGTAGGTTGTCTGCGAAATCCGCACCACGCTCTACTCGGACAAATGGCTGATCTCCCGTAGTTTGGACCTGCATAACGCACGGCACAGAGTTGCCATGTCGAACCGGATTGGCGTTGACGATATCAGCCAGAAACGACAGCTTATCGGTATCCGCGAAGGCAGCCGGTCCGTCGAGGGGAAACATGCCGGACGTAGACGTCTCACAGACGGTGTCAACTTCCAGGCCGATGACAGCCGAGTCGGGGACAAGAGTCGCCGGCTCACCAGGGGATGGTTGAGTCTGCTCAGTGGACAGAGTACAGTCTAAATCGCAAGATTCAGCCGCAAGAGTGGGATTAATCGAGTTCACCAGTTCATCGATGCTTCTGAAGTTGTTTTCTCCAAGCCTCGATCAGTGTCCGGGACTATGTGGTCCGTTTGTGTCTTCTCAACGGTCGACGGTTCCTCCCTTCGCATGCGGTCCATGATGACGGTCGGAACAGTGGAGCCGTCGGCATACTGCCAGCCGTCCATCTCTGCTTGGTTAATTGCGATATCCTCGTAGAGCGGGTTGTTCCTTTGCAGCCATGCCAGGGCAGCTGCCACTCGAGATTTGCGCACCTGAAGCAGGTGTCTGACGTCTGCGGAGCCAGGCCTACCCGAACCGCTCCAAGAGACGTGGATGTTCTCAATGGCCTGCAGCAAGGGATGAGGTAGAACCGTGGCCACCAGATCGTCAACCTTGTTCGGAAAGACGACGATATGTCCCTTCACGTGCTTGCGGTAACTGATTCCCGAACGGGTCTTGTTGTCGACCGTGAACTTGGTGATATAGCCAAAAGGCGCATGCAGGGCAATCAGTCTCTCTTCGACGGGAGAGAGGTCATCAAGCTCGTCGGGGTACCGATGCTCACAACCGATGGCCATGTTGTTGACCGAGCAGGCCTTGGGCAGGCGTCCACGGTCGAAGCTGACGCGACACTCGCGGCAAACGTCAACTCCTGCGCGCTCGTGCGGCGGAAGGCAAGCGTCACACGTCTGGATAGTCCTGGTCGCCTGCAGCAGGGAGGGCGACAATCGACCCCTCCACGGCATGATCGAGAGCTCGCAAGGCGGGGTCTTCCTGTAGCAGAAGACGCAGTGGGAAATCGGCAACGTCCTCTCGTCCGTGAACGCTTGGTAGAACGATTTGGTAGCCGCTACCTGAAGGGCAAGTGGAACTTCGTCGCACCAGGATCTTGTTGATGACGCCTGCTCTTTGGCGCGGAAAGCGGCGTTATAGTGATATAGAGTAGACCTGACAGAGTCTCGTTGATCTTGAACGGATTCTCGCGTGGGTCGGGGCCTCGTGGGGGGGCGCCTAGGCCGCGTGGGCGGCGGAGAACGAACCGTTTGCTCCGCTCTAGGTCTACTCGGCGACGGGGAGGCTGGTTGCTGCGGGTGCCTTTCGAGGGACCGCCTTGGCTGCGTCGGAGGCGGAGTAGGTGCTTGCTCTTCTCTAGGTCGTTTCGGTGATGGAGTGGGCGGCGGCTGCGTGTGTCTTTTAGGGGGGCGCCTTGGCTGCGTTCGGGGTGGAGTGGAAGGTGCTTGCTCTTCTCCAAGTCGTCTCGGGGATGGATTAGTTGGCGGTTGCGCTTGAGCGGTATATTTGTATTGAGCTTCACGGTGGCGGGTTCGGTCTTCAGCGCGCTGGCGGTCGATATCTTGCAAGACGCGGAGGATCTCGTCGTGGGGAACTCTGACAAGCGGTGAACGGCGCCGACGGGACCTGTGCGATTCAAGATCCCCCAAGGTGCGCCTAACCTCTTCGGGCGAAACCGTGACTGGCTGTTCTCGCGGCATCGTGCACGGGGACAAAAAAAAAGGAGCAGTTACCGGCGGCCGGCCGGGAGTAAGAATCCGGCGAGGAAGATATGGACCGGAGCGGGCAGCAGGAAGAAGGGGGCCCGGAGCGGGCCGCAGGTGGCGGTGAAAGTGGCTGGTGGGCACGGAGCGGCATGCGGTCCGTGCGTAGGGGGGGTGGAAGGTTTGCGGGGGAAAGAGGCGGAAGAAAGATCCTTTCGTCACGTCGTTCCTCGTTCCTCAAGGCATATATATATATATTACATATATATTTGGACCTGTGCGATTCAAGATCCCCCAAGGTGCGCCTAACCTCTTCGGGCGAAACCGTGACTGGCTGTTCTCGCGGCATCGTGCACGGGGACAAAAAAAAAGGAGCAGTTACCGGCGGCCGGCCGGGAGTAAGAATCCGGCGAGGAAGATATGGACCGGAGCGGGCAGCAGGAAGAAGGTGGGCCCGGAGCGGGCCGCAGGTGGCGGTGAAAGTGGCTGGTGGGCACGGAGCGGCATGCGGTCCGTGCGTAGGGGGGGTGGAAGGTTTGCGGGGGAAAGAGGCGGAAGAAAAGATCCTTTCGTCACGTCGTTCCTCGTTCCTCAAGGCATACAGGAGACCGGCCCCTTCCAGGGTCCGCCAATGCCTTGAGGAACGGGACGAGAGTTGGGCATAGCCGAGCGCGAGCATTCGGGTTGTTTTTATAAAAACAAGTCTGTTGGAGAAGAGAGGTGGTAGTGCGGCTGCTTGGACCCGCTACAGCACCTTACCTGTTCACAAATGAGCTTCAAATTGATTCAGCCTCTTCACACAAGCAACCTTCAACGAATTGGTCATCGGAATTAGGTCATCATGGCCCTTGAGTGCAATAGCTGCAAGAAGTCGCCGCCTGAAGTTGCCCTCCTCAAGAGGTGCGCGAAATGTTCCACCACGCCGTACTGCTCCAGGGATTGCCAGAAGGCAGACTGGAAGGTCCATAAGAAGGTTTGTGGCAAACAGGCCGACGCCACGACATCGTTCCAAGATGGGCCTACAACGGAAATTCATCGCCTCCGAAGGGGTTGGAACAGGGCGTCATCCGCCCTTCACGCGTCTTGAAAATCGCACTTGGCTGCATGATCGATCGGAAAGAGATGTCTACGGGCTGCTGATCGACGCCTACCGACTGCGCGTTGAGGACATGTACAACATTGAAGGCGAAGCAGACGCGGATAGCATATATGGTGGTGCCGCCAACGGGTTGCGTGGCTTCAAGCGTTTCCTGGAGCGCGTCGAGCGTTGTCCCGGTATACTGCCGCCGTGGTGGGATGCAAAGAAGAAAGAGTGTGAGACACTCGGTATGACCCCATCGCAATGGCACGACCTACGAAGCGCGGTGGAAAAGAGCGACATCATCGAGCAATATGGGGATTCCTGATTCCCGATGCAGCTTCGGATGTTTGCCGAGTCCGTGTACGGTCGAGCTCCGAGCGGGACAAGTGGGACGGCGATGAGTCAAATGATGGTCGCGATGGAGCAGGGTAAAGCAGAGGATGGAGTCGCATATGATGGACATGTCAGCAGCCATGCTTGGTCGGCGGTGAAGGGATACGCTTGGTTAGTCGACAGCACCGCAGATCGAGTAGAAGCTGGCCGATCGTGGCTACGACGTACGAAAGGGTCAAACTATCGGGATGGTTAGTATACTGCCACTACTTTTCGAAACCTTGGCCTCGTATAACCGTCTCGTTTCCGCGGCCAAGTTCTTGAGTCTCTGCATTCCATCAAGTATGGCCTGATCCAGCCCATTGCCAATGAAATCATGGTACCTCACGGGACCAAGAAGCTTGATGCCCCGAAGCGAGGTGCACCTGGACAGTTGCACATAGAGGCTCGTAAAATCGCACTTGGAGGGTTCACCATTGGTCACACGATTTCCACGCAGCTCCAACAGTACCTCCACGAAGGTTTTACCCTGGGCTTTGTAATCAGTGAGAACGAACGCCGGTACGACGGGCAATCCACGTCGCGTGCATCTTGCCGACAAGAATTTGAAGTGAGAGTTAGTCGAATCAAGTGTATGTGACATGGGGCGGATGAGAACCGTCCCCACCGGGAGGGAGGGTATCGCCAAGGCTTTCGTCTCCTCGGACTGCAGAAGAATACCGAGCGGCGGCCCGAAGTGGATGGTCACGTCATCCGCCAAGTGGTATCCTGGGTGATTGGGATCGAGTATTACGTCCACGGCAGTAAAGTCCGCCCCATTCACCACTTTCAAACCCGTGTAGATGTTTTTTCACAACCACAGGCATGCCCTGAGCGTAGAAGAAGACGCCGGGGACTTTGCAGGCAGAGTCGTCACCTTGTCCTATGGTTCGCGCTACGATGTTTGGAGAAAGCGTGCCGTTGCGCCAGGTGTGAGTCGAGACAAAGATACGGATATGCTGCCTGTTGAAGCGCGCCCAGCCCACGACGGCTTCCATGTTGAGGGCCCACCGGGTGCGGTTCAGCGGCGTTATAGCACGCAAACCGTCATGGAAGGTGATTTGGGAGCGTCCTACAATGTTGGCATTGAGCAAGCTCAGATCTTGCTGGGTCTGCCGGCCGTTACGGACTCGATCCAGGAGTGCGCGGAGTTGGGGATCGTTGCGTGCGCGGACTTGGTCTTCGAGGAGCACAACGGTTTTGAACATGTACCACAATCTGCAGCCGCTGTGGTGAGAGATGGTGGCTTGTCGCAGGGGGGTCTGTGTTCGGTCCGGCGGTCTGTTGATCAGGAGGCTTGTTTCCGCACGGGGCGAACTGGTAGAAGTCTCCCATCAGTAGAACGACAGGCATCCCACCAAACGGCTCGTCCGGACAGTCACGGAGTGCCTGCAGGTGACGACTGACGTTGTGCAGAGTGGCTCCTCCCAGCATACTGACCTCGTCAATCACGAGTACCAGCTTCAGTTTCCATATCCATTTCTTCGCCTCCGAGAAGGGGGGAGGCGGTTTGTTTGGATCGCGATGGGAATCTAACCCACAGGCCGAGTGGATCGTCGTGCCGCCAATCTGGGCCGCCGAACTGCCTGATGTGCCGGTTATCTGCAGAAGATGTGGCTGGTCTCTCGCCGCGAACACGCCCTTCAGGGCATCGATAATCCTTGACTTTCCCGTGCCTCCCGGCCCGCCGGTATATTGAAGATGCTGACCAGCTGAGTCCGGATCGGCAGTATACTTGTCCAGAAATACGCAAACGAGTTGAAGGGCCATGGTCTGTAGATAGTTCAGTGTAAAGCTAGCGGCGGTGGTGCGTCCCATCTCCACGAAGCTAGTGACCGGACTGACGTCGACAAGCATCCGAGGGCCTTGTTCATCGAGGTCACTACCCGGGAGCGCAGCGGCGGACTCCATATCGCCGTAACGAGCTAGGGTATCGTCAATGTCGGTGCCATTCGCGGACAGTACGGTGCGCTGAGAACCAGCCTCGATATCATCCAGCATCCGAAGATGCAATAGTCGTTGGGCTTTGGCCGCTGCTTGGACATCGTCTCGAGAGATTGGAAATTGGCACAAGGCGTCACCTTGATCATGGGGTATATTCCGGTATAGATCGTCCTGACGTAGCACAAAAGGCTGTTCTTCTTCAGCCGGGTTCTCTTCGCACAGGTCGCGTATTAAACCTCCAAGGACGGGGGAGTCTTTCGTGGCGTCTGTATCTTGCACGGCATTTCGCAAAATCTGGAGTAGAGCTCTGTAGGCCTGACGATGGGCCATCGCTGGAGGCTCCTCTTCGTAGCGGCCATCGTCAAGTGGGTACTCGACGTCAATTGTGTCGTCACCCTCCGATCGAGTGGCCCAGAGCTTCGCGTCTTTACGCGCGTCCTCGGCAGACTTTCTCAAAAGACAAATGTTGGAGACGTAGAAACGGAGGCGGGGACAAAGCCGCGCTCGATGCGTCGTCCATATGTCGGTTATATCGCCTTGGCTCTCAGAAATGAAGTTTTCCCAAGGGACGAATAACGCCAAATGTAGGACAGAATTTCTGCACAGGCCGTCAGACGGAGCCAAAACGGTGCCGGGGGGTTAGAGAGTACCGCTTAATATACACTGGGTGATCGTCGTCATGGTCGTCGCTGATGTATCCTTGGAAGATCGGGACGGCGTACTGGTCGGGCCGTCGAAGCTTTTGCATCCAGCCGTCACAGTCGGAATCCTGCCCATCGAGAAAATGTGAGATTCATCTTCACTCCGACCCTTTCGACGCACCAAATGAATCATCGACATGTAGTCATACAGGCATAAGTCCCGTAGAACATGGCCCCGGTAGGCGTACGCATCTAAGCATGAAGCGTTCGCCCTCCTTGCCTCAGAGGGATGGTCTCCGGGGGCTGTTCAGCGTCCGTCAGCTCGCCGGCCTGGTGGCGGAGATGTGCCCATAGCCGAAAGATTGTCCAGTAGAGGGCCGTCAAGTTCAGGAACGACCAATGCGGCACGTTGGTAAAGTCGGTGTCATATCCAAGGAGGTGGTAACAGACCTCGACGGCCGAGAGTTGTCGCTCGGAGAAGATCCGATTTGCCGTTCTCATCAGGAACTGACGGCTCTTGTTTAAAACTGCCTGCTGCCTGTCGTCGGGCAGGGTGGGACCTGGCGCGCGACACCTCGCACCACCGGCTTCGCGGAGTTGGCGGGCAACCTCGGTGAGAGCAATGCGCTTCCACATCGGCGTATCCAGTTTGGTGGCGTAGTTCGTGATGTAGTACACCATGGCCAGGCCCTTGGTTTTGGTCAAGATCATCGAGACGTCGTGATTATGACGAAGGCCGACCGCCAACGACTTGTTGTACCGGTTGACGAGTGGATGGTTGCGCCGGATCTGAAGCAAGCCATCCTCTGTGAAGCCTGTCTCCTCGAAGATCTTCCACGGTGCCTTGAAGCGGCAGGCTGTCCGTCTCTGTTGATCTGCCCCCTGTTCGATGACCCCTTTAGAGAATACTTAAGGCAGGTGTATGTGGGAGTGCACTTGGCAACAGTACGCGATGAAATTGGATTCGTCTTCAAAGGCCGAAGTGAGAGCCAAGGTGCTCCTCATGACCTCCTCCACGGGTTCGATGGGCTTCCTCTATTGTCGCACGGCTTTTCCGGCATCTTCATCTAGGCACTCATGAAAGACGGAGTCTATGTATCGGATCACCTGGGCACGATACGATTCTTCCGCGGGATTGGCCATGTCGCCCATCAGGTTCGGTAACCGCATGTTGCCGTCCAGCCAGAGGAGTCCATGCAAGTGGAGGCTGCCTCGCTCGTTCGTTTCCACCGTGGCGTAGTAGTGGCTGATCTTCCCGAAGATCGATTCCTGGCCTGTGTTCACGTATTTGTCAAAGAATAGAGATATTTCTCGGTGGAAGAAGATGGCCGAGCTGACCGGATCCATGGTGCTGAGGGCGATTCTGTCGTACCTTTCACGGAGATCGGCCAAAAGCTCCTTTGCAGACTCATAATCATGGAGCCTATGAATGGCAAGCTTCATCTTTACCGGATTATTTATGTCGTTGGGACTGATGGTAATCCAGATTGCAGGCATACCGGCCCAAATGTCCAGAGCTTGGATCTTCCTCCGCATAAGCAGACGGGATTCGTTGAGAGCGGCTGTGCATGACCAAAATCGACAGCTCGCGGAGCAAGAGCGATATGTCGGGGTCCGACGTAGTCCTTGTCTCCGCATCTCCGCCTCGGCCCTCTTCAGTCGGTCCTCGGTCAAGTTCGCATAGGCCTGCTCAAACCTGTTGAAGGAATCTTTAGCGACACGAACCATGCTGATGCGGCGGTTGGAGGAGCGGAGGAGGGTGTTGAATACTAAGAAACAAAAGACAGGATGGGTGGCGAACCGGCCTCCATGCCGTTGCAATACGTATTTGGCCCAGTAATTAAGCGAGTGATTCGGACGACGGTCGGCAGGGCCGCCTTGTCGTCTGTGACTCGAGTCGCACTTCGATTTCGGGCCGCCCCTTCCCACGGAAAAGCTTCGGAAATGTTCGAGGGAAGAAATCTTCGTGCAGGTTGTCTGCAAAATCCGCACCACGCTCTACTCGGACAAACGGCTGGTCTCCCGTAGTTTGGACCTGCATAACGCACAGCACAGAGTTGCCATGTCGATCCGGATTGGCGTTGACGATGTCGGCCAGAAACGACAGTTTATCGGACTCGGCGAAGGCAGCCGGACCATCGAGAGGAAACATGCCGGATGTAGACGTCTCACAGACAGTGTCCACTTCCTGGCCGATGGCAGCCGAGTCGGGGACAAGAGTCACCGGCTCACCAGGAGAGGGTTGAGTCTGCTCGGTCGACAGAGTACAGTTCAAATCGCAAGATTCGGCGATGAAAGTAGGATCGATCGAGTTCACCAGTTCATCGATGCTTCTAAAGCTGTTTTCCTGCAAGCCTCGATCGGTGTCCGGGACTATGTGGTCCGTTTGTGTCTTCTCAACAGTCGACGGTTCCTCTCTTCGCATGCGGTCCATGATGACGGTCGGAACAGTGGAGCCGTCGGCATACTGCCAGCCGTCCATCTCTGCTTGGTTGATTGCGATACCCTCATAAAGCGGGTTGTTCCTTTGTAGCCATGCCAAGGCAGCTGCCACTCGAGATTTGCGCACCTGAAGCAGGTTTCTGACGTCTGCGGAGCCAGGCTTAGCCGAACCGCTCCAAGAGACGTGAATGTTCTCGATGGCCTGCAGCAAGGGATGAGGAAGAACCGTGGCCACGAGATCGTCCACTTTGTTCGGAAAGACGACAATATGTCCTTTCACGTGCTTGCGGTAACTGATTCCCGAACGGGTCTTGTTGTCGACGGTGAACTTAGTGATATAGCCAAAAGGTGCATGCAGGGCAATGAGTCTCTCTTCGACGGGAGAGAGGTCATCAAGCTCTTCGGGGTACCGGTGCTCACAACCGATGGCCATGTTGTTGACCGAGCAGGCCTTAGGCAGCCGCCCACTGTCGAAGCTGGCGCGACACTCGCGGCACACGTCAACTCCGGCGCCCTCGTGCGACGGAAGGCACGCATCACACTCCTGGAGAGCCATGGCCGTCTGTAGCAGCAAGGGTGACAGACGACCCCTCCACTGCATGGTGGTGAGTTCGCAAGGCGATGTCTTCCTGTAGCAGAAGACGCAGTGGGAGACCGGCAACGTCCTCTCATCCGTAAACGCTTGGTAGAAAGACTTGGAGGCCTCAACCTGAAGGGCAAGTGGAACTTCGTGGCACCAGGATCGCGTTGATGACGCAAGCTCCTTGACGCGGAAACAGGCGTCATAGTGATGTAGAGTGGACTCGACAGAGTCCCGCTGGAGTTGAACGGTTTCTCGCATCGGCCGGGGCCTTTTGGGGCGCCTTGGCTGCGTGGGCGGTGGAGTGGGAAGCTTGCTCTTCTCTAGGTCGTTTTGGTGATGGAGTGGCTGGCGGCTGCGTGTGTGCGGCATATTGGTATTGAGCTTCACGGCGGCGGGTTTGGTCTTCGGCGCGCCGGCGATCCATATCGTGCAAGACACGGAGGATCTCGTCATGGGGAACTCTGACAGTCTGTGACCGGCGCTGATAGGACCGGCGCGATTCAAGATCCCTTAAGGTGCGGCGAACCTCTTCGGGTGAGACCGTGGCTGGGTGTTCTCGCGGCATGGTGCAAGGGGATGGTTCCGAACGAGTGCATGGAAGAAGGAAAGAAACAGTCTATTACTGGCACCTGGGAGCAAGACGGCGACCACGACATGTGATCGAGAAACTCAGCAAAGGTTTCGAATGCTCATGGACGGGGTAGTCTGCCGAAGCTCAGAGGTGCTTGCGTGAAGGATAGATGGGCAGACGGAGACGTCGGGTTCATGGCTCCGCTATCGCAGGGGATGGCGGCGGTTACGAAGTGAGGGGCTTAGGGTTAGAAGCATCCCGCAAAACGGGAGGGCCAATCATGTGTTGTACGGTTCTTGGCGGAGTGGATGGCGTCCTTGCCCATACGACAAGGGCCCCATGACGTCGATTTCTGGGGTAGACCGTCTCCCAGCACAGGATCCGTATCCAAATGGACAATCGGGGGGCCGGGCTGGACCATGGTCGAAGTAGGGCTCCGGCCCGGGTAGCGGGGCCGGGCAGCGGGGCCGGCGGGGCCGGAGCCGGAGCGGTCAACGCGGGCGGTGGAGGCGAGAACGGAAAAAGAGGGGGGGGAGAGGTTGTTGTGTGGCTCGGGAAAGGCATGAAGCCGAGTGGAAGGGGGCGGGGAAGGCTGGGGCAGCTCGCACGGGGCGCTAAGTGGCCCGAGCTTACGGAGGGGCGGAAGAAGGATCCTTTCGTCTCTTCGTTCCTCAAGGCACAAGGCACGGGGCGCTAAGTGGCCCAAGCTGACGGAGGTGGCGGAAGAAGGATCCTTTCGTCTCTTCGTTCCTCAAGGCACCTCAGCAGGACAGGAGACCGGCCCCTTTCAGGATCCGCCAATGCCTTGAGGAACGGGACTGAATTTGGTTCCACACTGGCAGGTCTGCTGAGACGATGAGGCTTGCTCCCGGTAGTGTGGCTGCTTGGACGCCATTTTACCCCGCCACAACAAGGTGGGTTGAGGGCGGGCGGGGTAAGAACGCGGAGGTAACTTGTGGGCCATCATCTCGAAGGGCAAAGGAGTCTGAACTGTTCGCGAATCATGCAGTAAAGTGTAACAGTTTGTTAAGAATCGACTCAATGCCTCCGATTGATTACTCAAAGTGGGACAACATCGACACCGATTCGGAGCCAGAGGCATCGCCCCAGCAAGCGCCAGCAGCAAAACCCACCCCGCCGCACGCATGCCTCGCCGCCGATGGGTACATCAGGTTTGAGGGAAACGCACAGCAAGTCGGGGCATGTCGAAGCTGTCATTGTCCGATGTGAGGCCGAGAAACGCAAGTTTCCCCTTTGGTCTGCCACTACAATCCCTGCGAATCATGTCGTGTTTTCGCAGTCGGTGCCGTCCGTCCCAGGGCTCATCGAGGTCCCGCTGGTCCTGGATCGGACGGGGACTCAGTCCGTCAACGAGGCAGACCTCGACAACCAGATTGCTACGTACCTCAATATTGATGCCAACTCCGGGTTTGCACCTCCAGACTGGCAGTCACAAGTTGGCACCGTCGTGGTCGCGCGCAAGGACAGGAAGCCATTTTATCCGCAGCATCTCGAAGGAGTGTGGATGTTCTGCGACCATATCCTGGACCTGTTCGGGAAGGAGACGGGCCGCCGAGGTGGCTTTACAGCCGCCAGGCGTTCGAGGAATGGTGGGTAAATTATTGTGAGGAGCAAAAGCGCTTACGTCCAGGGAAGGGAGGGCGAGATCCGGACGACTGGCGTGCGGTCCGGTCACCTTATGAAGTGTAGGACGTCTACGTGCCGCGTTACGACGTGCGAAAGGTCAAACTATAAGGATGGTTAGTATACTAGCACTACTTTTCGAAACCTTGGTCCTTGTATAACCGTCTCGTTTCCGCGGCCAAGTTCTTGAGTCTCTGCATTCCATCAAGAATGGCCTGATCGAGCCCATTGCCAATGAAGTCATGGTGTCTCACGGGATTAAGAAGCTTGATGCCCCGAAGCGAGGTGCACCTGGATAGTTGCACATAGAGGCTCGTAAAATCGCACTTGGAGGGTTCACCATTGGTCACACGATTTCCACGCAGCTCCAACAGTACTTCGACGAATGTTTTACCCTGGGCTTTGTAATCAGTGAGAACGAACGCTGGTACAGCGGGCAGTCCACGTCGCGTGCATCTTGCGGATAAGAACTTGAAGTGAGAGTTAGTCGAATCAAGTGTATGCGACATGGGCCGGATAAGTACTGTCCCCACCGGGAGGGACGGTATCGCCAAGGTCTTCGTCTCCTCGGACTGCAGAAGAATGCCGAGCGGCGGCCCGAAGTGGATGGTCACGTCATCTGCCAAGCAGTATCCCGGGTGATTGGGATCGATTATCACGTCCACGGCAGTAAAGTCAGCCCCATTCACCACCTTCAGGCCAGTGTAGATGTTCTTGTTCACAACCACGGGCATGCCCTGGGCGTAGAAGAAGACGCCGGGGACTTTGCAGGCAGAGTCGTCGCCTTGTCCGATGGTTCGCGCTATGAGGTTTGGAGACAGCGTGCCGTTGCGCCAGGTGTGAGTCGAGACAAAGATACGGATGTGCCGCTTGTTGAAGCGCGCCCAGCCCACAACAGCTTCCATGTTGAGGGCCCACCGGGTGCGGTTCAGCGGCGTTATAGCGCGCAAACCATCGTGGAAGGTGATTTGCGAGCGTCCTACAATGTTGGCATTGAGCAAGCTCAGATCTTCATGGGTCTGGCGCCCGTTACGAACTCGATCCAGGAGTGCACGGAGCTGGGGATCGTTGCGTGCGCGGACTTGGTCTTCGAGGAGCACCACGGTTTTGAACAGATGCCACAATCTGCAGCCGCTGTGGTGAGATATGGTCGCTTGTCGCAAGGGGGGTCTCTGTTCGGTCCGGCGGTCTGATGATCAGTAGGCTTGTCTCCCGCACGGGGGCGAACTGGTAGAAGTCTCCCATCAGTAGAACGACGGGCATGCCGCCAAACGGTTCGTCCGGACAGTCACGGAGTGCCTGCAGGTAATGACTGACGTTGTGCAGAGTGGCTCCTCCCAGCATACTGACCTCGTCAATGACGAGCACCAGCTTCTGTTTCCAGATCCACTTCTTCGCCTCCGAGAAGGGGGGGCGGTTTGTTTGGATCGCGATGGGAATCTAACCCACAGGCCGAGTGGATGGTCGTGCCGCCAATCTGGGCCGCCGAACTGCCCGACGTGCCGGTTATCTGCAGAAGATGCGGCTGGTTCCTCGCCGCGAACACGTCCTTCAGGGCATCGATAATCCTCGACTTTCCCGTGCCACCCGGCCCGCCGGTGTATTGAAGATGCTGACCCGCTGAGTCCGGATTGGCAGTATACTTGTCCAGAAACAGGCAAACGAGTTGAAGGGCCATGGTCTGTAGATAGTTCAGTGTAAAGCTGGCCGCGGCGGTGTGTCCCATCTCCGCGAAGCTAGTTGCCGGACTGACGTCGACAAGCATCCGAGGGCCTCGTTCATTGAGGTCGCTGCCCGGGAGCGCAGCAGGGGACTCCGTATCGCCGTAGCGAGCTAGCGTATCGTCGATGTCGGCGCCATCCGCGGAAAGCATGGTCCCCTGGGAACCACCCTCAATGTCGTCTAGCATCCGAAGATGCAATAGTTGTTGGGCCTTGGCCGCTGCCTGGACATCGTCTCGAGATATGGGAGTTGACACAAGGCGTCACCTTGATCATGGGGCATATTCCGGTACAGATCCTCTTGACGTTGGACAAAGGTTGCTCTTCTCCAGCCGGGTTCTCTTCGCACAGATCGTGTATTAAACCTCCAAGGACGGGTGAGTCTTTGTGGCGTCCGTGTCCTGCACGGCATTTCGCAAAATCTGGGTAGAGCTCTGTAGGCCTGACGATGAGCCATCGCTGGAGGCTCTTCTTCGTATCGGCCATCGTCAAGCGGGTACTCAACGTCAATTGTGTCGTCGCCCTCCGACCGACTGGCCCAGAGCTTCGCGTCCTTACGCGCGTCTTCGGCAGACTTTCTCAAAAGACAAATGTTAGAGACGTAGAAACGGAGGCGGGGACAAAGGCCCGCTCGATGCGTCGTCCATATGTCGGTTATATCACCTAGGCTCTCAGAAGTGAAGTTTTCCCAAGGGACGAATAACGCCAAATGTAGGACAGAGTTTCTACACAGAGTGTCAGACGGAGCCAAAACGGTGCCGGGGGTTAGAGCGTACCGCTTAATATAGACTGGGTGATCGTCCTCGTGGTCGTCGCTGATGTATCCTTGGAAGATCGGGACGGCGTACTGGTCGGGCCGTCGAAGCTTTTGCATCCAGCCTTCACAGTCTGAATCCTGGCCATCGAGAAAAATGTGAGAGTCATCTTCACTCCGACCATTTCGACGCACCAAGTGAATCATTGACATGTAGTCATACAGGCATAAGTCTTGTAGAACATGACCGCGGTAGGCGTACGCCTCCAGGCATAATAGGGTTCGCCCTCCTTGCCTCAGAGGATTGTCTCTGGGGCTGTTCGGCGTCCGTGAGCTCGCCGGCCTGATGGCGGAGATGCGCCCATAGCCGAAAGATTGTCCAGTATAGGGCCGTCAAGTTCAAGAAGGACCAATGCGGCACGTTGGTAAAGTCGGTGTCATATCCAGGAGGTGGTAACAAACCTCGACAGCCGAGAGTTGTCGCTCGGAGAAGATGCGATTTGCCGTTCTCATCAGGAATTGACGGCTTTCGTTCAATACCGCCTGGTGCCTCTCGTCGGGCAGGGCGGGACCTGGCGCGCGAGACGTCGGACGACCGGCCTCGCGAAGTTGGCGGGCAACCTCGGTGGCGAGCAATGCGCTTCCACATCGGCGTATCCAGCTTGGTGGCGTAGTTCGTGATGTAGTACACCATGGCCAGGCCCTTGGTCTTGGTCAAGATCATCGAGACGTCGTGGTTGTGGCGAAGGCCGACCGCCAACGACTTGTTATACCGGTTGACGAGTGGATGGTTGCGCCGAATCTGAAGCAAGCCATCCTCTGTGAATCCTGTCTGCTCGACGATCTTCCACGGTGCCTTGAAGCGGCAGGCTGTCCGTCTCTGTTGATCTGCCCCGGTCGATGACCCCTTCAAAGAATACTTAAGGCAGGGTGTGTGGAGTGCACCTGGCAACAGTATGCGATAAAATTGGATTCGTCTTCAAAAGCCGCAGTGAGAGCCGAGGTGCTGGTCATGACCTCCTCCACGGGATCGATGGGCTTCCTCTCCTGTCGCACGGCTTTTCCGGCATCTTCATCTAGACACTCATGAAAGACGGAGTCTATATATCGAATCACCTGGGCGCGATATGCTTCTTCCGCGGGATTGGCCATGTCGTCTATCAAGTTCGGTAAGCGCATGTTGCCGTCCAGCCAGAGGAGTCCATGCAAGTGGAGGCTGCCTCGCTCATTCGTTTCCACCGTCGCGTAGTAGTGGCTGATCTTCCCGAAGATCGATTCCCGGCCTGTATTCACATACTTTTCAAAGAATAGGGATATTTCTCGGTGGAAGAAGATGGCCGAGCTGACCGGATCCATGGTGCTCAGGGCGATCCTGTCGTACTTTTCACGGAGATCGGCCAAAAGCTCCTTCGCAGACTCGTAATCGTGGAGCCTATGAATGGCAAGCTTCATCTTTACCGGGTTATTAATGTCGTTGGGACTGATGGTAATCCAGATTGCAGGCATACCGGCGCGGATGTCTAGAGCTTGTATCTTCCTCCGCATAAGTAAACGGGATTCGTTCGAGAGCGGCTGTGCATGGCCAAAGATCGACAGCTCGCGAAGCAAGAGCGATATGTCGGGGTCCGACGTAGTCCTCGTCTCCCGCATCTCCACTTCGGCCCTCTTCAGTCGGTCCTCGGTCAAGTTTGCATAGGCCTGCTCAAGTCTGTGGAAGGAATCTTTAGCGACACGGACCATGCTGATGCGGCGGTTGGTGGAGCGAAGGAGGGTGTTGAATACTAAGAAACAAAACACAGGATGGGTGGCGAATCGGCCTCCATGCCGTTGCAATACGTATCTGGTCCAGTATTGAAGAGAGTGATTCGGACGACGGTCGGCAGCGTCGCTTTGTCGGCTACGACTCGAGTCGCCCTTCGATTTCGGGCCGCCCTTCCCACGGAAAAGCTTGGGAAATGTTCGAGGGAAGAAATCTTCGTGCAGGTTGTCTGCAAAGTCCGCACCACGTTCTACTCGGACAAACGGCTGATCTCCCGTAGTTTGGACCTGCATAACGCATGGTATAGAGCGGCCACGTGGATCCGGATTGGCGTTGGCCATGCCCGCCACAAACGACAGCTTATCGGTATCCGCAAAGGCAGCCGGTCCATCAAGAGGAACATGGCGGATGCAGACGTCTCACATATGGTTTCAACTTCCTGGCCGATGGCAGCCGAGTCGGGGACAAGAGTCGCCAGCTCACCAGGAGAGGTCGAGTCTGCTCAGTCGATAGAGTACAGTCCAAGTCGCGAGACTCGTCGACGAAGGTGCCATCGATCGAGCTCACAAGTTCATCGATGCTTCTGAAACTGTTTTCCTCCAAGCCTCGATCAGTGTCCGGGACTATGTGGTCAGTTTGAGTCCTCTCAACGGTCGACGGTTCCTCTCTGCATGCGGTCCATGATGACGGTCGGAACAGTGGAGCCGTCGGCATACCGCCAGCCATCCATCTCTGCCTGGTCGATTGCGATATTCTCGTAAAGTGGGTTGTTCCTTTGCAGCCATGCCAGGGCGGCCGCCACTCGAGATTTGCGCACCTGAAGCAGGTGTCTGACGTCTGCGGAGCCAGGCTTAGCCGAACCGCTCCAAGAGACGTGGATATTCTCAATGGTCTGCAGCAAGGGATGGGGAAGAACGGTGGTAACAAGATCGTCCACCTTGTTCGGAAAGACGACGATATGTCCTTTCACGTGCTTGCGGTAGCTGATTCCGGAACGGGTCTTGTTGTCGACCGTGAACTTGGTGATATAGCCAAAGGGCGCATGCAGGGCAATGAGTCTCTCCTCAACGGGAGAGAGGTCATCAAGCTCGCCAGGGTACCGATGTTCGCAACCGATGGCCATATTGTTGACCGAGCAGGCTTTGGGCAGCCGTCCACCGTCGAAGCTGGCGCGACACTCGCGGCATACGTCAACTCCCGCGCGCTCGTGCGGCGGAAGGCAAGCGCCACACTTCTGGATGGTCCTGGTCGCCTGCAGCAGGAGGGCGACAATCGACCCTCCACTGCATGGTTGAGAGCTCGCAAGGTGGGGTCTTTCTATAGCAGAAGACGCAGTGAGAAATGGGCAACGTCCTCTCGTCCGTAAACGCCTGGTAGAACGATCTAGGAGCTGCTACCTGAAGGGCACGTGGAACTTCGTTGCACCAGGATCTTGTTGACGATGCCTGCTCTTTAGAGCGGAAACGGGCGTCATGGTGATGTAGCGCAGACTCGACAGAGTCTCGCTGGAGTTGACGGTTTCTTGCGTAGGCCCGGGCCTCGTGGGAAGCGCCCCGTCCGTGTGGGCGATGAAGGGCGAAGCGGTTGTTCCGCCCTGGATCGACTCGGTGATGGAGAGGCCGGCGTCTGCGTGTGTCTTTTGGAGGAGCGCGTTGGCTGCGTGGGGGTGGTGGGAGGTGTCTCCTCTTCTCTGTGTCGTTTCGGCGATGGAGCGGCCGGCGGCTGCGCGTGTCTTTTGGAGGAGCGCCTTAGCCGCGTGGGAGGTGGAGTGGAGGGTGATAGCCCCTCTCTAGGTCGTCTCGGTGATGCAGTCGCTGGCAGCTGCGTTTGTCTTCTAGGGGAGTGTTTTGGCTGCGTTGGAGGTGGAGTGGAGGGCGCTTGCTCTTCTCGGGGTCGTCTCGGGGATGGGTTGTTCGGCTGTTGCGTGTGTGCGGTATATTGGAATTGAGCTTCACGGCGGCGGGATCGTTCTTCGGCGCGCTGGCGGTCCATATCGTGCAAGACGCGGAGGATCTCGTCGTGGGAACCCTGATAAGCGGTGAAGGTCGTTGATAGGAACGGCGCTGCTGGGATCTCTGCGATTCAAGATCACCCAAAGTGCGGCGAACCTCCTCGGGCGAGACCGTGACGGGGTGTTCTCGTGGCATGGTGCACGGTGATGGCTGTGAACAATCGGTACGAGAAAGGAGAGTTGGCCCCGGAGAGTGGGACCGGGGCGGGAGCGGGACGGGAACGGGCAGCTGGAACAGGAAGGTTGGTGGGGAAAAAGAACAGGTGGCGGTGAAGAGTGGCTGGTGGGCACGGAGCGGCATGCGGTCCGTGCGTAGGGGGTAGAGGATGTGGAGGTGTGGCGAAGGACGCGGAAGGAAGAACCTTTCGTTCCTCAAGGCATAACGAAAGGCTCTTCCTTCCGCCCCTTCCGTAAACACGGACCGCATGGTGCCCCGTGCGCTCCCCAGCCACTCTTCACTGCCACCTACTTCCGGCCAAACAGAGCCACTGCTTCCTGCTGCCCGCTCCGGCCCCTCTCCCCGGGCCGCCTGACCGCTCCGGCCATGCTCCGGCCGGTCGGCGGCTCGCCCCTCACTTCGTGACCGCCATTCTTCTACCAACCAGCGGGACCAAGGGTCTTGACCCTGACCTACGCACTCCGTGAGCCCTCTGATCTTCCAACGCCGGATTCTTGCTGGGCGCCATAGCAGATCATTCCCCTCCCACTTCGTCCCAGCTCTCGTTCGCAGCACCATGCCGCGAGAACACCCAGCCACTGTCGCACCCGAAGAGGTTCACCGCACCTTGAGGGATCTTGAATCGCAGGCGTCCTATCGGCGCCGGTCCTTACAACGCCCTTCACCGCTTGCCAGAGTCCCCCACGATGAGATCCTCCGTGTCTTGCGAGATATGGACCGCCAGCGCGCCGAAGACCGAACCCGCCGCCGTGAAGCTCAATCCCGATTTGCTGCACAGACGCCGCCGCCCGCCACTCCATCACCGAAACGACCTAGACAAGAGCAAGCGCCTCTCACTCCGCCGCCGACGCAGCCAAGGCGCTCCCCCCAAAAGACCCCGGCCGATGCGAGAAACCGTTCAACTTCAACGAGACTCTGTCGAATCCATACTGCATCACTACAACGCCACTTTCCGCGTCAAGGAGCAGGCATCATCGACAAGATCATGGTGCAACGAAGTTCCGGTTGCCCTCCAGGTAGAGGCTGCTAAATCTTTCTACCAAGCGTTTACCGAGGAACGGACGTTGCCGATTTCCCACTGCGTCTTCTGCTATAGGAAGACACCGCCTTGCGAACTCGCCACCATACAGTGGAGGGATCGCTTGTCGCCCTCCATGCTGCAGGCGACCAAGACTGTCCAAGAGTGTGGAGCGTGCCTTCCGTCACACGAGGGCGCCAGAGTTGACGTGTGCCGCGAGTGTCGCGCCGGCTTCGACAGTGGACGGCTGCCCAAAGCCTGCTCGGTCAACAACATGGCCATCGGTTGCGAACATCGGTACCCCGAAGAGCTTGATGACCTCTCCCCCGTTGAAGAGAGACTCATTGCCCTGCATGCACCTTTTGGCTATATCACCAAGTTCACGGTCGACAACGAGACCCGTTCGGGAATCAGCTACCGCAAGCACGTGAAAGGACACATCGTCGTCTTCCCGAACAAAGTGGATGATCTTGTGGCCACGGTTCTTCCTCATCCCTTACTGCAGGCCATTGAGAACATCCACGTCTCTTGGAGCGGTCCGGGCAAGCCTGGCTCCGCAGACGTCAGACACCTGCTTCAAGTGCGCAAATCTCGAGTGGCAGCTGCCCTGGCATGGCTGCAAAGGAACAACCCGCTCTACGAGGATATCGCAATTAACCAAGCAGAGATAGATGTCTGGCAGTATGCCGACGGCTCCAGTGTTCCGACCGTCATCATGGACCGCATGCGAAGGGAGGAACCGTCGACCGTTGAGAAGACACAAACGGACCACATAGTCCCGGACACTGATCGAGGCTTGGAGGAAAACAGCTTCAGAAGCATCGATGAACTGGTGAACTCGATCAACCCCACTTTTGCGGCTGAATCCTGCGATTTAGATCGTACTCTGTCGACCGAGCAGACTCAACCATCCCCTGGTGAGCCGGCGACTCTTGTCCCCGACTCGGCTGCCATCGGCCTGGAAGTTGACGCCGTCTGTGAGATGTCTGCTTCCGGCATGTTTCCTCTCAATGGACCGGCTGCCTTCGCCGAGTCCGATAAACTGTCGTTTCTGGCCGACATCGTCAACGCCAATCCGGATCGACATGGCAACTCTGTGCCGTGCGTTATGCAGGTCCAAACTGCGGGAGACCAGCCGTTTGTCCGAGTAGAGCGTGGTGCGGATTTTGCAGACAACCTGCACGAAGATTTCTTCCCTCGAACATTTCCGAAGCTTTTTCCGTGGGGAAGGGGCGGCCCGAAATCGAAGGGCGACTCGAGTCATAGCCGACAAAGCGACGCTCCCGACCATCGTCCGAACCACTCTCTTCAGTACTGGACCAGATACGTATTGCAACGGCATGGTGGCCGATTCGCCGCCCATTCTGTCTTTTGTTTCTTAGTATTCAACACCCTCCTTCGCTCCTCCAACCGCCGCATCAGCATGGTCCGTGTCGCTAAAGATTCCTTCCACAGACTTGAGCAAGCCTATGCGAACTTGACCGAGGACCGGCTGAAGAGGGCCGAGGCGGAGATGCGGGAGACAAGGACAACGTCGGACCCCGACATATCGCTCTTGCTTCGCGAGCTGTCGATCTTTGGCCATGCACAGCCGCTCTCGAACGAATCCCGTTTACTTATGCGGAGGAAGATACAAGCTCTAGACATCCGCGCCGGTATGCCTGCAATCTGGGTCCTAACGACATTAATAATCCGGTAAAGATGAAGCTTGCCATTAATAGGCTGCACGATTATGAGTCTGCAAAGGAACTTTTGGCCGATTTCCGTGAAAGGTACGACAGAATCGCCCTCAGCACCATAGATCCAGTTAGCTCGGCCATCTTCTTCCATCGGGAAGTATCCTTATTCTTTGAAAAGTACGTCAATGCGGGCCAGGAGACCATCTTCGGGAAGATTAGCCACTACTACGCCACGGTGGAAACGAACGCCCCGTAGAGGAGGTCATGGCTAGCACCTCGGCTCTCACTGCGGCCTTCGACGACGAATCCAACTTCATCGCGTACTGTTGCCAAGTGCACTCCCACACGTACACCTGCCTCAAGTATTCTCTCAAGGGGATCGTCGAACAGGGTACAGATCCACAGAGACGGACAGCCTGCCGCTTCAAAGCACCTTGGAAAATCGTCCACGAGACAGGGTTCACAGAGGACGGCCTGCTTCAGATCCGGCGCAACCACCCACTCGTCAATCGGTATAACAAGTCATTGGCGGTCGGCCTTCGCCATAATCACGACGTCTCGATGATCTTGACCAAAACCAAGGGCCTGGCCATGGTGTACTACATCACGAACTACGCCACCAAACTGGAAACGCCGATGTGGAAACGCATTGCTCTTGCCGCCGAGGTTGCCCGCCAACTTCGCGAAGCCGGTGGTACGAGGCTTCGCACGCCAGGTCCCACCCTACCCGACGACAGGCAGCAGGTAGTTTTGAATGAAAGCCGTCAGTTCCTGATGAGAACGGCAAATCGGATCTTCTCCGAGCGACAACTCTCGGCTGTGGAGGTCTGTTACCATCTACTTGGATATGACACCGACTTTACCAACGTGCCGCATTGGTCTTTCCTGAACCTGACGGCGCTCTACTGGACAATCTTTCGGCTATGGGCGCATCTCCGCCATCAGGCCGGCGAGCTCACGGACGCCGAACAGCCCCCGGAGACCATCCCTCTGAGGCAAGGAGGGCGAACCCTTCTATGCCTAGATGTGTACGCCTACCGCGGTCATGTTCTACAAGACTTATGCCTGTATGACTACATGTCAATGGTTCACTTGGTGCGTCGAAATGGTCCGAGTGGAGATGAGTCTCGCATTTTTCTCGATGGGCAGGGCTCCGACCGTGACGGCTGGATGCAAAAGCTTCGACGGCCCGACCAGTACGCCGTCCCGATCTTCCAAGGATACATCAGCGACGACCATGAGGACGATCACCCAGTGTATGTTAAGCGGTACGCTCTAACCCCGGCACCATTTTGGCTCCGTCTGACTACCTGTGCAGAAATTCTGTCCTACATTTGGCGTTATTCGTCCCTTGGGAAAACTTCATTTCTGAGAGCCAAGGCGATATAACCAGCATATGGACGAGGCATCGAGCGGGGCTTTGTCCTCGCCTCCGTTTCCATGTCTCCAATATTTGTCTTTTGAGAAAGTCTGCCGAGGATGCGCGCAAAGACGCGAAGCTCTGGGCCAGTCGATCGGAGGGCAACGACACAATTGACGTCGAGTACCCACTTGACGCTGGCCGCTGCGAAGAGGAGCCTCCAGCGATGGCTCATCGTCAGGCCTACAAAGCTCTACTCCAGATTTTGCGAAATGCCGTGCAGGATACAGACGCCACGAAAGACTCACCCGTCCTTGGAGGTTTAATACGCGATCTGTGCGAAGAGAACCCGGCTGAAGAGGAGCAACCTTTTGTGCAACGTCAGGAGGATTTGTACCGGAATATACCCCATGATCAAGGTGACGCCTTGTGCCAATTTCCAATATCTCGAGACGATGTCCAGGCAGCGGCCAAGGCCCAACAACTATTGCATCTTCGGATGCTAGACGACATTGAGGGTGGTTCTCAGGGGACCATCCTTTCCACGGACGGCGCCGACATCGACGATACCCTAGCTCGCTACGGCGATACGGAAACCACCATTGCGCACCCGGGAAGTGACCTCAATCAACAAGGGCCTCGAATGCTTGTCGACGTCAGTCCGGTGACTAGCTTCGCGGAGATGGGACACACCGCTGCAGCCACCTTCACACTGAACTATCTACAAACCGTGGCCCTTCAACTTGTTTGCGCATTTTTGGACAGGTATACCGCTAATCAGGACTCAGCCGGTCAACATCTTCAATATACCGGCGGGCCGGGTGGCACAGGAAAGTCGACGATTATCGATGCCCTGAAGGACGTGTTCGCGGCGAGGAACCAACCACATCTTCTGCAGATAACCGGCACATCGGGCAGTTCGGCGGTCCAGATTGGCGGCACGACGATCCACTCGGCCTGTGGGTTAGATTCCCATCGCGATCCAAACAAGCCGCCTCCCCCCTTTTCGGAGGCGAAGAAATGGATATGGAAACAGAAGCTGGTACTCGTGATTGACGAGGTCAGTATGCTGGGAGGAGCCACTCTGCACAACGTCAGTCGCCACCTGCAGGCACTCCGTGACTGTCCAGACGAGCCGTTTGGTGGGATGCCTGTCGTTCTACTGATGGGAGACTTCTACCAGTTCGCCCCCGTGCGGGAAACAAGCCTCCTGATCAACAGACCGCCGGACCGAACACAGACCCCCCTGCGACAAGCGACCATCTCTCACCACAGCGGCTGCAGATTGTGGCATCTGTTCAAAACCGTTGTGCTCCTCGAAGACCAAGTCCGCGCACGCAACGATCCCCAACTCCGCGCACTCCTGGATCGAGTCCGTAACGGCCGGCAGACCCAGCAAGATCTGAGCTTGCTCAATGCCAACATTGTAGGACGCTCCCAAATCACCTTCCATGACGGTTTGCGTGCTATAACGCCGCTGAACCGCACCCGCTGGCCCTCAACATGGAAGCCGTCGTGGGCTGGGCGCGCTTCAACAGGCAGCATATCCGTATCTTTGTCTCGACTCACACCTGGCGCAACGGCACGCTTTCTCCAAACATCGTAGCGCGAACCATAGGACAAGGTGACAACTCCGCTTGCAAGGTCCCCGGCGTCTTCTTCTACGCCCAGGGCATGCCTGTGGTTGTGAACAAGAACATCTACACTGGCTTGAAAGTTGTGAATGGGGCCGACTTTACTGCCGTGGACGTAATACTCGATCCCAATCACCCAGGATACCACTTGGCGGATGACGTGACCATCCACTTCGGGCCACCGCTCGGCATTCTTCTGCAGTCCGAGGAGACGAAGGCCTTGGCGATACCGTCCCTCCCGGTGGGGACGGTACTCATCCGCCCCATGTCACATACACTTGATTTGACTAACTCTCACTTCAAATTCTTGTCGGCAAGATGCACGCGACGTGGATTGCCCGTCGTACCAGCGTTCGTCCTCACCGATTACAAAGCCCAGGGTAAAACGTTCGTGGAAGTACTGTTGGAGCTGCGTGGAAATCGTGTGACCAATGGTGAACCCTCCAGGTGCGATTTTACGAGCCTCTATGTGCAACTGTCCAGGTGCACCTCGCTTCGGGGCATCAAGCTTCTTGGTCCTGTGAGACAGCATGATTTCATTGGCAATGGGCTGGATCCGGCCATAATTGATGGAATGCAGAGACTCAAGAACTTGGCCGCAGAAACGAGACGGTTATACGAGGACCAGGGTTTCGAAAAGTAGTGGTAGTATACTAACCATCCTGATAGTTTGACCTTTGCACGTCGTAACGCGGCAGGTAAACGTCCTACACTTCATAAGGTGACCGGACCGCACCCCAGTCGTCTGGATCTCGCTCCCCTCCCTTCCCAGGGCGTATGCGCTTTTGCTCCTTACAATAATTTACCCACCATTCCTCGAACGCGTGACGGCTATAAAGCCATCTCGGCGGCCCGTCTCCTCCCGAACAGGTCCAGGATGTGGTCGCAGAACATCCACACGCCTTCAAGATGCTGCGGATAAAATGGCCTCCTGTCCTTGCGCGCGACCACGACGGTGCCAACTTGTGACTGCCATTCTGGAGGTGCAAACCCGAGTCGGCATCAATATTAAGGTACGTAGCAATCTGGTTGTCGAGGTCTGCCTCGTTGGCGGACTGAGTCCCCGTCCGATAGAGGACCAGCGGGACCTCGATGAGCGCTGGGACGGAGGGCACCGACTGCGAAAACACATCATGATTCGCAGGGATTGCAGTGGCAGACCAAAGGGGAAACTTGCGTTTCTCTGCCTCGCATCGGACAATGACAGCTTCAACTTGCCCTGAGTTGCTGTGCATTTCCCTCAAACCTGATGTACCCAACGCCGGGAGGCATGCGTGGGCGGCGGGGTGGGTGTTGCCGCTGGCGCTTGCTGGGGCGATGCCTCTGGCTCCGAATCGGTGTCGATGTTGTCCCACCTTGAATAATCAATCGGAGGCATTGGGTCGATTCTTGACAAATTGTTCCACTTCACTGCATGATTCACGAACGGTTCGGACTCCTTCGCCATTCGAGATGAAGGCTGGCTCCTTAGACTTTCCTTTCCATTGCGTCCTTACCCCGCCCTCAACCCACCATGTTGTAGCGGGGTAAGATGGCGTCCAAGCAGCCACACTATCAGAGCAAGCCGCATCTTCTTCTCAACAGACCTGTCAGTGTGAAAACCAAACTGAATGCTCCAGTCCCGTTCCTCAAGGCATTGGCGGACCCTGAAAGGGGCCGGTCTCCTGTTATATTATATATATATCGCCCTTCCCCCTCCTATGCCTTGAGGAACGAAGAGACGAAAGGATCCTTCTTCCGCCCCCTCCGTAAGCTCGGGCCACTTAGCGCCCCGTGCGAGCTGCGCCAGCCTTCACCGCCACCTTCCACTCGGCTTCATGCCTTTCCCGAGCCACACAACAACTTCTCCCCTCCCTCTTTTTCCGTTCTCGCCTCCACCGCCCGCGTTGACCGCTCCGGCTCCGGCCCCGCCGGCCCCGCTGCCCGGCCCGAGACGGTCTACCCCAGAAATCGACGTCATGGGGCCCTTGTCGTATGGGCAAGGACGCCATCCACTCCGCCAAGAACTGTACAACACATGATTGGCCCTCCCGTTTTGCGGGATGCTTCTAACCCTAAGCCCCTCACTTCGTAACCGCCGCCATCCCCTGCGATAGCGGAGCCATGAACCCGACGTCTCCGTCTGCCCATCTATCCTTCACGCAAGCACCTCTGAGCTTCGGCAGACTACCCCGTCCATGAGCATTCGAAACCTTTGCTGAGTTTCTCGATCACATGTCGTGGTCGCCGTCTTGCTCCCAGGTGCCAGTAATAGACTGTTTCTTTCCTTCTTCCATGCACTCGTTCGGAACCATCCCCTTGCACCATGCCGCGAGAACACCCAGCCACGGTCTCACCCGAAGAGGTTCGCCGCACCTTAAGGGATCTTGAATCGCGCCGGTCCTATCAGCGCCGGTCACAGACTGTCAGAGTTCCCCATGACGAGATCCTCCGTGTCTTGCACGATATGGATCGCCGGCGCGCCGAAGACCAAACCCGCCGCCGTGAAGCTCAATACCAATATGCCGCACACACGCAGCCGCCAGCCACTCCATCACCAAAACGACCTAGAGAAGAGCAAGCACTTCCCACTCCACCGCCCACGCAGCCAAGGCGCCCCCCAAAAAGGCCCCGGCCGATGCGAGAAACCGTTCAACTCCAGCGGGACTCTGTCGAGTCCACTCTACATCACTATGACGCCTGTTTCCGCGTCAAGGAGCTTGCGTCATCAACGCGATCCTGGTGCCACGAAGTTCCACTTGCCCTTCAGGTTGAGGCCTCCAAGTCTTTCTACCAAGCGTTTACGGACGAGAGGACGTTGCCGGTCTCCCACTGCGTCTTCTGCTACAGGAAGACATCGCCTTGCGAACTCACCACCATGCAGTGGAGGGGTCGTCTGTCACCCTTGCTGCTACAGACGGCCATGGCTCTCCAGGAGTGTGATGCGTGCCTTCCGTCGCACGAGGGCGCCGGAGTTGACGTGTGCCGCGAGTGTCGCGCCAGCTTCGACAGTGGGCGGCTGCCTAAGGCCTGCTCGGTCAACAACATGGCCATCGGTTGTGAGCACCGGTACCCCGAAGAGCTTGATGACCTCTCTCCCGTCGAAGAGAGACTCATTGCCCTGCATGCACCTTTTGGCTATATCACTAAGTTCACCGTCGACAACAAGACCCGTTCGGGAATCAGTTACCGCAAGCACGTGAAAGGACATATTGTCGTCTTTCCGAACAAAGTGGACGATCTCGTGGCCACGGTTCTTCCTCATCCCTTGCTGCAGGCCATCGAGAACATTCACGTCTCTTGGAGCGGTTCGGCTAAGCCTGGCTCCGCAGACGTCAGAAACCTGCTTCAGGTGCGCAAATCTCGAGTGGCAGCTGCCTTGGCATGGCTACAAAGGAACAACCCGCTTTATGAGGGTATCGCAATCAACCAAGCAGAGATGGACGGCTGGCAGTATGCCGACGGCTCCACTGTTCCGACCGTCATCATGGACCGCATGCGAAGAGAGGAACCGTCGACTGTTGAGAAGACACAAACGGACCACATAGTCCCGGACACCGATCGAGGCTTGCAGGAAAACAGCTTTAGAAGCATCGATGAACTGGTGAACTCGATCGATCCTACTTTCATCGCCGAATCTTGCGATTTGAACTGTACTCTGTCGACCGAGCAGACTCAACCTCTCCTGGTGAGCCGGTGACTCTTGTCCCCGACTCGGCTGCCATCGGCCAGGAAGTGGACACTGTCTGTGAGACGTCTACATCCGGCATGTTTCCTCTCGATGGTCCGGCTGCCTTCGCCGAGTCCGATAAACTGTCGTTTCTGGCCGACATCGTCAACGCCAATCCGGATCGACATGGCAACTCTGTGCTGTGCGTTATGCAGGTCCAAACTACGGAGACCAGCCGTTTGTCCGAGTAGAGCGTGGTGCGGATTTTGCAGACAACCTGCACGAAGATTTCTTCCCTCGAACATTTCCGAAGCTTTTCCCGTGGGGAAGGGGCGGCCCGAAATCGAAGTGCGACTCGAGTCACAAACGACAAGGCGGCCCTGCCGACCGTCGTCCGAATCACTCGCTTAATTACTGGGCCAAATACGTATTGCAACGGCATGGAGGCCGGTTCGCCACCCATCCTGTCTTTTGTTTCTTAGTATTCAACACCCTCCTTCGCTCCTCCAACCGCCGCATCAGCATGGTTCGTGTCGCTAAAGATTCCTTCAACAGGTTTGAGCAGGCCTATGCGAACTTGACCGAGGACCGACTGAAGAGGGCCGAGGCGGAGATGCGGGAGACAAGGACTACGTCGGACCCCGACATATCGCTCTTGCTCCGCGAGCTGTCGATTTTGGTCATGCACAGCCGCTCTCCAACGAATCCCGTCTGCTTATGCGGAGGAAGATCCAAGCTCTGGACATTTGGGCCGGTATGCCTGCAATCTGGATTACCATCAGTCCCAACGACATAAATAATCCGGTAAAGATGAAGCTTGCCATTCATAGGCTCCATGATTATGAGTCTGCAAAGGAGCTTTTGGCCGATCTCCGTGAAAGGTACGACAGAATCGCCCTCAGCACCATGGATCCGGTCAGCTCGGCCATCTTCTTCCACCGAGAAATATCTCTATTCTTTGACAAATACGTGAACACAGGCCAGGAATCGATCTTCGGGAAGATCAGCCACTACTACGCCACGGTGGAAACGAACGAGCGAGGCAGCCTCCACTTGCATGGACTCCTCTGGCTGGACGGCAACATGCGGTTACCGAACCTGATGGACGACATGGCCAATCCCGCGGAAGAATCGTATCGTGCCCAGGTGATCCGGTATGTAGACTCTGTCTTTCACGAGTGTTTAGACGAAGATGCCGGAAAAGCCGTGCGACAACAGAGGAAGCCCATCGATCCCGTGGAGGAGGTCATGACCAGCTCCTCGGCTCTCACTGCGGCCTTCGAAGACGAATCCAACTTCATCGCGTACTGTTGCCAAGTGCACTCCACACGTACACCTGCCTCAAGTATTCTCTGAAGGGTATCGTCGAACAGGGTGCAGATCCACAGAGACGGACAGCCTGCCGCTTCAAGGCACCGTGGAAGATCGTCGAGGAGACAGGGTTCACAGAGGACGGTCTGCTTCAGATCCGGCGCAATCACCCACTCGTCAACCGGTATAACAAGTCATTGGCGGTCGGCCTTCGCCACAATCACGACGTCTCGATGATCTTGACCAAAACCAAGGGCCTGGCCATGGTGTACTACATCACGAACTACGCCACCAAACTGGATACGCCGATGTGGAAGCGCATTGCTCTCGCCGCCGAGGTTGCCCGCCAACTCCGCGAAGCCGGTCGTCCGACGTCTCGCGCACCAGATCCCGCCCTGCCCGACAACAGGCAGCAGGCAGTGTTGAACGAAAGCCGTCAATTCCTGATGAGAACGGCAAATCGGATCTTCTCCGAGCGACAACTCTCGGCCGTAGAGGTCTGTTACCACCTCCTTGGATATGATACCGACTTTACCAACGTGCCGCATTGGTCTTTCCTGAACCTGACGGCGCTCTATTGGGCAATCTTTCGGCTATGGGCACATCTCCGCCATCAGGCCGGCGAGCTGACGGACGCTGAACAGCCCGCGGAGACAATCCCTCTGAGGCAAGGAGGGCGAACCCTATTATGCCTGGAGGCGTACGCCTACCGCGGTCATGTTCTACAAGACTTATGCCTGTATGACTACATGTCAATGATTCATTTGGTGCGTCGAAAAGGTCGGAGTGAAGACGACTCAGATTTTTCTCGATGGCCAGGATTCCGACTGTGACGACTGGATGCAAAAGCTTCGACGGCCCGACCAGTACGCCACCCCGATCTTCCAAGGATACATCAGCGACGACCATGAGGACGATCACCCAGTCTATATTAAGCGGTACGCTCTAAACCCCCACCGTTTTGGCTCTATCTGATAGCCCGTGCAGAAATTCGGTCCTACACTTGGCGTTATTCGTCCCTTGGGAGAACTTTATTTCTGAGAGCCAAGGCGACATAACCGACATATGGACGACGCATCGATCTGGGCTTTGTCCCCGCCTCCGTTTCCATGTCTCCAACATTGGTCTTTTGAGAAAATCTGCCGAAGACGCGCGCAAGGACGCGAAGCTCTGGGCCAGTCGATCGGAAGGTGACGACACAATTGACGTCGAGTACCCACTTGACGATGGCCGCTACGAGGAGGAGCCTCCAGCGATGGCTCATCGTCAGGCCTACAGAGCTCTACTCCAGATTTTGCGAAATGCCGTGCAGCAAACGGACGCCACGAAAGACTCACCCGTCCTTGGAGGCCTAATACGCGATCTGTGCGAAGAGAACCCGGCGGAAGATGAGCAACCTTTGGTGCAACGTCAGGAGGATTCGTACCGGAATATACCCCATGATCAAGGTGATGCCTTGTGCCAATTTCCAATATCTCGAGACGATGTCCAAGCAGCGGCCAAGGCCCAACAGCTAATGCATCTTCGGATGCTTGACGACATTGAGTGGTTCTCAGGGGACCATGCTTTCCGCGGATGGCGCCGACGTCGACGATACCCTAGCTCGCTACGGCGATACGGAGTCCGCTGCTGCGCTCCCGGGCAGCGACCTCAATGAACAAGGCCCTCGGATGCTTGTCGACGTCAGTCCGGCAACTAGCTTCGCGGAGATGGGACGCACCACCGCGGCCAGCTTTACACTGAACTATCTACAGACCATGGCCCTTCAACTCGTTTGCCTGTTTCTGGACAAGTATACTGCCAATCCGGACTCAGCGGGTCAGCATCTTCAATACACCGGCGGGCCGGGTGGCACGGGAAAGTCGAGGATTATCGATGCCCTGAAGGACGTGTTCGCGGCGAGGAACCAGCCGCATCTTCTGCAGATAACCGGCACATCGGGCAGTTCGGCGGCCCAGATTGGCGGCACGACGATCCACTCGGCCTGTGGGTTAGATTCCCATCGCGATCCAAACAAACCGCCTCCCCCCTTCTCGGAGGCGAAGAAGTGGATCTGGAAACAGAAGCTGGTACTCGTGATTGACGAGGTCAGTATGCTTGGAGGAGCCACTCTGCACAACGTCAGTCGTCACCTGCAGGCACTCCGTGACTGCCCGGACGAACCATTTGGCGGGATGCCCGTCGTTCTACTGATGGGAGACTTCTACCAGTTCGCCCCCCGTGCGGGAAACAAGCCTACTAATCATCACACCGCCGGACCGAACAGAGACCCCCCCCTGCGACAAGCGACCATCTCTCACCACAGCGGCTGCAGATTGTGGCATCTGTTCAAAACCGTGGTGCTCCTCGAAGACCAAGTCCGCGCACGCAACGATCCCCAACTCCGTGCACTCCTGGATCGAGTTCGTAACGGGCGCCAGACCCATGAAGATCTGATCTTGCTCAATGCCAACATTGTAGGACGCTCGCAAATCACCTTCCACGATGGTTTGCGTGCTATAACGCCGCTGAACCGCACCCGGTGGGCCCTCAACATGGAAGCTGTCGTTGGCTGGGCGCGCTTCAACCAGCGGCATATCCGTATCTTTGTCTCGACTCACACCTGGCGTAGCGGCACGCTTTCTCCAGACATCGTGGCGCGAACCATCGGACAAGGCGACGACTCTGCCTGCAAAGTCCCCGGCGTCTTATTCTACGCCCAGGGCATACCCGTGGTTGTGAACAAGAACATCTACACTGGCCTGAAGGTTGTGAATGGGGCCGACTTTACTGCCGTGGATGTAATAATCGATCCCAATCACCCGGGATACTGCTTGGCAGATGACGTGACCATCCACTTCGGGCCACCGCTCGGCATTCTTCTGCAGTCCGAGGAGACGAAGGCCTTGGCGATACCGTCCCTCCCGGTGGGGACGGTACTCATCCGACCCATGTCGCATACGCTCGATTCGACTAACTCTCACTTCAAATTCTTGTCGGCAAGATGCACGCGACGTGGATTACCCGTTGCGCCAGCGTTCGTCCTCACTGACTATAAATCCCAGGGTAAAACGTTCGTGGAGGTACTCTTGGAGCTGCGTGGAAATCGTGTGACCAATGGTGAACCCTCCAAATGCGATTTCACGAGCCTCTATGTTCAACTGTCCAGGTGTACTACGCTCCATGGCATCAAACTCCTCAGTCCCGTGAGATACCAGGATTTTATTGACAATACGCTAGATCGAGCCATGCTTGATGGAATGCGCAAAATCACAAACTTGGCGGCGCAAACGAGACGGGCATATGAGGGTGGCGGTTCAGAAAAGCAGTGACAGTGGTCAATCCGATCGTTCATGTCGCCTTTTCGTGCGTACAAGAGTCACACCTGATAAGGTGACCGGGCCGCACGCCAATCGTCTGGATCTCGCTCCCCTCCCTTCCCAGGACGTAAGCGCTTTTGCTCCTCACAATAATTTACCCACCATTTCTCGAACGCCTGGCGGCTGTAAAGCCATCTCGGCGGCCCGTCTCCTTCCCCGAACAGGTCCAAGATGTGGTCGCAGAACATCCACACTCCTTCAAGATGCTGCGGATAAAATGGCCTCCTGTCCTTGCGCGCGACCACGACGGTGCCAACTTGTGACTGCCATTCTGGAGGTGCAAACCCGGAGTCGGCATCAATATTGAGGTACGTAGCAATCTGGTTGTCGAGGTCTGCCTCGTTGACGGACTGAGTCCCCGTCCGATAGAGGACCAGCGGGACCTCGATGAGCGCTGGGACGGAGGGCACCGACTGCGAAAACATATCATGATTCGCAGGGATTGTAGTGGCAGACCAGAGGGAAACTTGCGTTTCTCGGCCTCGCATCGGACAATGACAGCTTCGACATGCCCCGACTTGCTGTGCGTTTCCCTCAAACCTGACGTACCCATCGGCGGCGAGGCATGCGTGGCCGGCGGGTGGGTTTTGCCGCTGGCGCTTGCTGGGGCGATGTCTCTGGCTCCGAATCGGTGTCGATGTTGTCCCACTTTGAGTAATCAATCGGAGGCATTGGGTCGATTCTTGACAAATTGTTACCCTTTACTGCATAATTCGCAACGGTTCGGACTCCTTCGACCTTCAAGATGATGGCTCCTGAAAAGGCTCCATTACGTCCTTACCCCGCCCTAAGCCTATCGTGTTGTGGCGGGGTAAAACGGCGTCCAAGCAGCCACACTATCGGGAGCAAGCCTCATCTTTCCTTCCAACAGACTTGTCAGTGTCAAACCAAACCGATTGCTTCAGTCCCGTTCCTCAAGGCATTGGCGGACCCTGCAAGGGGCCGGTCTCCTGTGGAAGGGGCGGAAGGAGCGGAAGGAAGAGCCTTTCGTTCCTCAAGGCACATCGCATGCATTACATCCCCAACGTGTCTGCCGCGCCTGCCGGCGGTTGAGGGCATTGCCAGTCAAGTCAGCCAGAGCCGCCCTCTGGCCCCTTTTTTGCTGGCTTTGAGACCGTGTTTGGCCCAGCTTGAATCCTTGGCAGGCGAAGCGGCGAGACCATTTTCCCTGTTGATATGTTGATGCTGTGATATTGGCACGAATTCGTTGCCGGCGTTATATCGTTGCCTCGAGCTGCCGCTTTTTCCGTATCTTGCGATAATCTCGTCAACAAGCTGCTGCCGCCACTGGCCCTGTGAGAGGTAGGGCTTCCACTGAGGCTGGCCACGAGACTGAAGAATGAAGGTGTTGATAAGAACTGTGTCTAGAAGGAAGGTCCAGGCAAGAGCCTGCCAACCACCCCGACGAATGCGGTGAGAAAACCCGGAATAGCTTCGTAGCTGGTCTCCAACATCAACAGCGCCCATTTCATCATTATACGCAGCCGTGACTGTAGGCACAGAGACTTCCTTGATGTGTTCATCGCCGAACATTGACTTGACAGCTCGAGAACGTGGCTTTGTAGTATTTGGTCGCTTTCGAATGCGTTGTGATATCTCCTTGCCAGTAAAGACGCTAGAAAGAAGCAACACAAGGGCGTTATCTTTCCAGGCTATCTGGTTTACCTGATTATCTGGCGTAGGGACCGTTTTCATCGCGCCCCAAGTCCACTGAAGCTTTCCAGCTGTGTCGGTTGTCTTTGCTTCAACTAAGGACTTAGAGATGTGTTGACTTGATATGAGACATGGACCAAGACATGTTTAGGCAGCACTTACAAGTGGTGAGTCACTGGATAGTGGCACGGACGTGCCACTATGTATATATGTATGTTGAGAGCTGTCAGACAGAATTGAATAGAAGTAAGTTCAATCGCAACACAAATCAGCAGGGCCTCATCGCCGTAAAAACGAAGTACGAACCGTTGCATGACTCCCATGTCCATCCAGAATGATAAGCCTGGCCTCAGAGTCGTCGTCAGGTCGCGTCTGAGGCAAATAGACTTCCTCAAGCCATTCGACGGCAATGTGGTTGTCCGTCCATCCATTTGGTGAAGTTATGTAGTTCCAATCCGCAAATTCTCGAAACTCGTCCTTAAACCACTGTGCCTGGAGATCTTTGCCCTTAAATATGATGCCAGGAGTCAAGGCGCGCCCGTCGGCGGTGATGGCCTCTATAAAAGTGGTCCAGCTGCGGGACTGGGGTCCCTTGAGAAGAGTCTTCCGTTTAGGGTCCGAACTTCCAACCACCAGACTGTCCAGACCTAGCAAAGAAATTGTATTAGCTTATATCGCCTATGGAGAGTTGATTGCATACCAAAACCCGACATAATCCCCCCTTCATCAACATTCACCGTGTTCTCCGGCTTGATCCACCCGTACTCCTTCTCCTGACGTCAAAGTACCAGTGCACTGCTTTGGGAGTAAATGAGTCGAATCTGTTGGCTTCCTGACGCCTACCGACCTTGCTTCTAAGTTCCGGATGGCGTTGAATGAACTTTTCTTCCCAATGACGTCCCAATCTTGAGTCGCAGCCTTGCTGTTTCAGAACGGCAACAACGCAGGCGCGGATTTGACTCTGGGACGGAGCGTAACCCAGAGATTCTTGGCGAAGAGTCCATGCAACCAAGTTGGCCTCCTGGTCTCTGAATAGGAGTTTTCCAGGTTGTTCCTGGTCGGTTAATGCCGACTGACCTCGCATTCTGCTGGAAATAGTACTCTGGGGTATGCCCCATTTCTGAGAAGCCTGGTGCTGCGACAGACCGTTATCAGTGACATCGAGGATTGCCTCGGCCATCACGTTCTCTGTATAGATCGAACGAGGCCTTTTTGGAGCCATTTGTGACAGGTGGTGGAGGATGAGCAATAGTGGAAAGCAAAGGAGGCAGGAGGAGATTAGGGGTCGAAATTGCCATTTTGCGATGCCGGAGTGTCACGGGCCACGACACCTGTGGTCATCAGCTGACCTCACAAAAATGTAAGTTCAGTCATTTCTATACCCGCTACAGGTGACTGTTCGTCAAAAGCTTTAAAATTGAGTAGATTCTGTATAAGTGAAGTTGGTACAATTTGTATGGAGCGGCAACATTTTTGCGGAGCATAAGGGGGGGTTGAGCAGAAGGGGGGTAAGCATGGTACTAGTGGATTTCCCTTCAGACTGAAAAATGGCACTTCTTTCCCGTTCGGGCTGTAGCCAAGGCGCGATGGCTTTGGATCCTTGCTTAGCGCAACAATCCCTGCAATCTGACTGTCCGAACCTGACTGTCCGGAGCCATCCCGCAAGCAAGAGGTCGCGGTGATGATACTTGCAGTGCAGAAAATGTAGACCAGTGTGGCGGGGCATCGGCCAAGGGATGTCGAGGATTTTCCGGTGATCTGCCGGGCCACGGTTACTTCGTAACCTCGATTTAACAAGCCTGTCTTAACTGAACTCTTCTTGCCAGGGAGCAGAGAGCCTAACAGGAGCCCGCTACCCGCTCGCATTAAGCACGTCGTGCTGTAGAGCCGTCGTCGTCAGAGTATCATGCTTACCCCCGTTTGCTCACCCCTCCCCTTATGCTCAGCCAAATGACACTGGCCTCACCAAAAAATCCGAATTTTGAACTGCTTGGATTTCAACTAAAAACGGAGATAAAAATATAAAAGCTACATTATTTGAAAGAGAATCGAACACACTAATTTGTTCTTGGACTTTTTATGACGCGACCCTGTCGCGTGGTGCGCTGGGGAGGCCCAGGTACCTTGACTTCAATCACCGAAGCTGTCTCCGTCTCCGACTCCGCCTCATCCTCTGACGAGTCGCAATCCACCACAACAGCCTTCTTTGGACTCCCAATTTCGGAAACAATCTCATCAGCCACCAGAGCTTCGGCGAGACGCACGAAGCGTCTATTTGGGTTAAGGATGGCTTTTCTCTTTCTTCCTCTCTTCAGCCTGTCCACTTCCTCCTCCAGCCTAGCAATTTTACCATTTTGCACGCCCACACAATGTTACAACATCGCATTAGCGCAACATCAAAGGTGAAGCTTTTTCGCGATCAGAGACGGCCCCGACATCGTCAACCTGCCCCCTGTGAGACATTGTCGGAATTGGATGTTTCATTCATCGCAGCCTATTACTTCGGTCCCTATCCACAGTCATCTACCAAGGAGCCCATCATCCCCCCTCCGCCCTCCCCCACGCATAGCATTGCGGCACCGATATTCCAGGCGAGTGAGTGATGCTCGCGCACCGTCCTGGTCGGCATAATGTGAAGGCGTTGGTCGTGGCTCGATTGTTGTCCCCGCCCATCCCTCAGACACGGCGCTTCTTTCTCTTCTTCTTGCCTCTCATCTCGGCGCGACGAACGTTGCCCTTGCTATCCATCATGCCGTCCTGGGCATCGTTGGGTGCGCCCAAACTGCCGTCGGCTGCCTGCATCCTTGACGCTGCTGCTCCCCCCTCGGACGCGGCAAGGGCGCCGCTGGCGAGGCAAGCCGCGAGAATGGCTGCAAAGGCCTTCATCGTGTGAAGTTAGGAGGACTCGATGAAGATGGTACAAAGACGATTGAAAGGATTATACTGGGTTTGGGTGATTGGGAGGCACAAGAGAGGGCCTGGAGCCGAGATTTATAGTCGCGAGGTGCTCATCATCTTGGGCCAAGGGCATCGACTTTTTACTGCCGGCCATGTCATAATGACAGACCCAAGCTGGCTTCAGACATGTTCTCGGTCGCTGATGAATCCTAGACGGCGACTTGAGGTTGTCGCACCTCGGTGATTGTCCTGAAGCTAGCTACGAATATCCTTATAAGTATTCCGTACAGAGGTCTAAGGGGAAAGTGGTAGGGTGGTAGGTAAAAAGGGCTAAAGGGGTATAAGTAATGAAAATAAAGGGTAAATTAAGGATAAATATTATAAAAATATTACTTTTTAGGTGATCCCGGCCTTCCTTCTGCTCATTCCCTCCCTGTAGCTCAACGATCTTTTAGATATGCGTTAGAATACGCTCAATCCATCGTTGAATTTGCTCTTGAGGCAGCCCCCCTTTCCATGCTGCATTCCACGCTAAAATAGCTCATAGACAAGCGGCACAAGAAGAGGAGGCACAGAGTCAGGAATAAGGAGGTTCGCGACGAAGCTGGCCATATACGCCGCTGGCTTCGCAAGGTACGCTTCAACGTCAGGATTAGCATCACAGAGGCGAAAATTCGAGACATCAGAGGTCTCTGCGCCAGGGCGACAAGCGCGCACACCTCAATTGCAATGAGTGGATGTGCGCAAGCTACAGGATTCTCTGCGAGCTACACAACCGCGGCGTAGGGAAAAGGGCGATCATGTGGCCGGAGCCGAATTAGTGGTGATGGAGGCAAATAAGCGTACTATTTGCCGTCAGACGCTTTCCTTGGAAGCTGACGGCATCGAGATGCAATGAAGAGGAATCATAAGACGCGCTCGAGGCTGGGAAGGAAGAAGAAATCGATTAGAGCTCAATTCGATGCCAAAACACCAAAAACACCTCAAAGGCAGTATGGTGATGCATTTGCATTGCTATGACTAGCTTGCAATGAAGCGAACATGTGTTGCACTTATCGCGGGAAGAGAGTTACTTTTAAGTTCTAGCAAAATGGCGGGGCTCTTATGTACTTCTTTTTTTTTTCAGGTCAACAAGCTTTTTCTAGGTCAACCGCCCCCCAGTGGGGATTGGCCGACTTTGAGGCCTCCCTAGTAAGTGGGTCGTGGCACGAGTAATGCATTAGTGCCACGACGCAAACAATGGTCAATGCTCTCGACCGAGTTCAGGTACTTGGCCATGCCCACACATTTTCCTCCCACATTTCAAGCCAAGACCATAATCTGCTATTGTAATCCGTGTTCGAGGCATGTAACAGAGCTTGGGGGCCTGACAAACGACTTCGACTTTCCGTTTCACTTCGACTCAAAAAGTTTCGGGGTTCGCAACTATAGAGAGGGCATACGTGGCGCAAGTGCCAGCTTGAATGAAGTAATGCTTCTATCCTTATTTGTCTATGCAACATCTTATAGACCGGTCTTTTTCTCCGCTCTCAGCCGCCTCTCTCAATACTTTCAATCTTTTGCGTGAAGGTGACATGATACGGCTCCGTGAACAATACTCCCGTGCCAGGATTAGTGAAAATCAGAGGCGTAACGTTTCGGACATTCATACGCCTCACCGTCGCCGTCCCCGCACTCAAAAACCTTTTGCACACGCTTGGCAGCCAGATTGCTCTGGCCTGGGCGTCACTCCATAGACCCAGAAGAAGCCAGTTTGCACGAGGGATGTATCGTCCCATCCTGTATAGCAGCTCGCAGCCCCGAGATAGTGATTCTTCATGAGGGCCGGGTAGCGTATTGTCGAGAAGCAAACTCGCCACAGCAGTATGGCAGGCATGAAGAAGCCAATACTCGTGTTGCATCCCGAACGATGTGCGATAGTTCCATATAGTTGAAATGATACCCTCGCTGTGCGACTGGGAGAAACCGAGCTGTCTTCCCACCCCAAATTCCAAGAAAGACAGGCCCGTGAATGGCTCAAGGAGCTTGATAGAGACAACATGGTAGGACGCCCTGCTAGCAGTTAGTGTACTCTTCTTTGTCGCAATGCCGCTGCACCAGGCAAAAGTAGAATGCACACTCCAACAGGTGCGCCGATGCATTGGCTGATATGTCGTCTGTGTCGCTGTTCCGGTTGCAACTTTCTTCCAGTCATATCTTTCGTCCTGGATTATAGTTGTCGACCAGGGATTCTGGGCCTCGAGATAACGGCTTTCTCTCCAAACGAACATATATGTATGGCATGGGCGTACACAAGCAAACGGGTGGACTCACATCAAGCATACCCAAGCCGGTACAACGGATGTTTGACCCTGAAACCGTTGCGATTTTGACTCCTTCCATTGTAGCAAACGACGATATAATATCTTTGCACCAAGATAATCTGGTACTGGACTTAAGCGGTTGTCTTTGATAGCAGGCAGAATCTCGCGCGCTAACCAACTAAGCTCATGCTCGGCCTCAAGGGCGTCGTTATAGTACGACAGCTGTGGCTGTGTCGAAATCGGGTGAGGGATCCACAGCGCATCGATCATTTCTCCCTTTTTTGACAACGGGACTTCATCTCGAATGCTGTTGATCCAAGGGATCCGAGAGGGAGGCGTCGCAGGAGCCACGATTAGCTCCATCTTACTGCGGTGCGGCAAGTGTCATTAAAAGTACCCGGCGCTTGGAACTCTTCAATTGGCAATTTACACGTCCAAGTAATGGAATCCGTTGGAAATGAAGGCAATTGCTTGTTGAAGTTTGTTTGCTCTCGGGCTTCCGTAGTTGTCGTACGACAAAGGGACATCAAGAATCTCCGAGGTTGACCGTAAAGTGTACAGGGTGTCGAAAAAAGCTGACCCCTGAGCGGGTCGCCAAAGGCTTGCTCATAAATTGACATTATGGCAATTCCTTGCAGCAAGGGTAATTGCGCTGCATGATCTTGCGACGCAAAGAGTCGGAAAGCCTCGTCCGCGAAATCCCGATGGGTTGGAGGCTCGTCAAAGTCGGTACTCTTAAAAAAAAATCCCTAAAGAGAGGCGTGTCAATGTTACGTCTGTTTGATGTCAAGGTATGATTCACTGTTGTTGTTGAACCACATACCATAGAGACTGCTAGCATTGAGTTGATCAAAAAGTCTGAACAGAACTGTGCCTCAGCTTCCCTCGGCGCGCTTGAAGTGGCATCCCGCTCTGCAGACAAAGTGTCCAGAAGCAGCTCGCGATGCAATATCGTCGCAAGGGTGCTGTCCCAAGTCCAGAACATTGTGAAAAGATAGGTGAGAAGACTATCGTCATTGCTGATGTTCGTCCATCGAGAGAGGGGCAGTTTGACCAGTGGGGCAAAAGAAGGACGACAGTTGGGCATAGACTTGAACATGCTTTCATTCATTGCCGATGCGTGAAGCCCGTCTTGTCTTGACTCCAGTTGAGGATGATTTGTAGGTAACCGACAGCATGGGTATCCCATATTGGAACTGCTGGGCTTTGACTTGCTCTCATATGTTCTGCCGACTCCACAGCACTCTGCTTTGTGGTGTCACGCATTGCGTCAAAAGATTGCCTGATATCTTCAATCGCAACCTGTAACTCTTCGAGGTGTTGCCGCATGTTGGCTTCAGGGAGGCGATATGTACATTTCACCTTTGCCGTACTGCACGAACGACATGACGGGCTTCGACCGTCGCACTGCACTTTGTTAGCATGTCGTCTGTTCATGACGCCCTTCTGGGGGGTTAGTGTCGACCTTGGCCTTCCGCTTCCGACATCCTATTGAGGGATGACTTAGATATTTCTCCCCAGAGGTGCGATGAATGGCTTACTCTCGCAGGCCAACTTTACCTGCTGACGCTTCTGCCTTGCAAATATTTCAGATGGCTCAGTCGAAGCTGGGTTCAACGGTGCTTTGGGTAGAAGCTGCCTGCTGGGCAAATTCGACCTTGAGCGTCCATTTGGACGATGCATTGTAGTTGAAGTGAAAAGGCAGATCAGTAATGGGCGTTTTCTGACTTCTTTCTAGATTATGACATCAAGTGGATGTCACAGGTCTGGTTTTGGTGGGCGGTCAGAGGATTACCCCGCAGATTACCGCCGATTACCCGCCTTGCCCTTGACATCACCTCTGCCGGGTTGATGTCATCTTCGGAGCGCCATAAAGCGCGAAAGCCGGGACCGACGACGAGAAAAACTGTTCGACTGGATAGCCTGTGTTCGTGCGATCAGAATGCACCCTGTCTAAGGTCCTACATCCTGTCGGTTGCGAGGTCGCGGTGATTTGAAGCATTTTCTAGCCTTGACGCACTGGAGCTACAGCGGCGATAGCGAGATACACCCTATCTACAGGCCACTACCGCTAACTGTAACGACGTAGCCCTTGGCGGCCTGGGGGCACTTTCGCCGCCAAGGTCCTCGTCATTCTACCAGGCGGTGTTCAAATCCACTGCGCCATCGTCGTTTGCTCATTACTCATAGCAAAAGCCCTACAAAAGGCAGTGTGGCTAACAGACAGACTGTCTGAAGGTGGTCTGATAGACCGCATAACGACCGACCGCCAATTCTCATCAGACCGACCGACTGGACGGAACTGGTGTTCCTGTGATGCCATTGGTCCGTTCCGCCTAAGGTAGCACCTACCGGTAATGTCAACAAGTTACGCGTCTGCACTGCCAACTTTCGCGTCTTCCCATCCATCTACGATATCATTCGGTAAGGGAGCCAATTCCTTTGAGGGCGAAGCAAACAAAAATCCAGAGGCGTTCCTGCCGCCAATAATTATTTACCTTATATCAATCTCGACCCCGGCAATCCAAACCCGTCTGATTTTGTTGCTAATAGCCAAGTTCTCCAGTGGATTGCCATCTACAAGTAACAGATCCGCTCTGCAGCCCGGTTCAATACCTCCACGATCGCGCAACCCGAATAGTGCAGAAGGAACGCATGTTGCAGCCCGGATCACTTCGATATTGGATAACCCTGCCTCAGCGAGGAGCTGCAGCTCCTCATGCAGGCTCTGACCAAATGACACGGCCATGCCATCTTCCTCGTTCGCGGATGTCCCAGCACATATCCGAACCCCTGCCTTGTGAAGCTGCTTCACCGCAGCCATGGCATGAGCAAAGTCATAGTCCGTGTTATCTGCCATATGGACTGCTTTCTGGAGATAGGAGAGGGTGGGGACGACGCCAATGCTCTTTTGCGCAAATCCTCGTACTACTTCGGCGTCGAGCGCACGGTCCACAGGAACGGCCGTAACAATGTCAAAACCAGCGTCAAGCGCGAGCTTGTAAGCATCAGCGAGAGGCGTGCCCGATAGCCAGGCTCCCGTGCTGGTGAGCTGCCGTGACCGCAGCCGCAATTGTCTGGAAGTCTAAGCCGGGCTGGTCCACGATTATCTTGATGAAGCGTGCTCCACTTGAGGCAGAAACATTTTTTGCCACAACGATTTTCGCCTCTGCTGGAGTTGTAGCAATCTGGACAGCGCGGAAGGGGAACGTGCCCAGAAAACTGGCACCTCTAGGCCCAATAGCAGAACCGGTAGCGAAATAAGATGGGAGAGTTGGGTTCTCTGAGATAGCCAAGTGCATCGCCTGACTTTCGGCGTTTGTGCTTGTAGAATCGATGACAGTTGTGATGCCAAAGGCTGCAAAGGTGGAAAGCGCACCTGGCGACGCACCGACGTCTACTTTGGCATCAATGAGGCCGGGCATAAGGGTACATCCAGTGCCATCGACATAGACATCTGGATTCGATTGGGAGTGAGAATATCTCCAGGGCTCCCTTGGAAGCATTGATTGGGTACACGTTTGACGCAAAGCCCATCGAACACGTCAGCGTTCGTTATCGAAATAATTGGCATTGGGCCTAAATATATTGTCAAAAATCTGCGGGGTATTGTTCGACCTCGCCCTTGTTATAATGTTGTTCTGGTAGAATGATTTAATGCGGCACCCAGGCCCGCAGCGCTGATGTGTTGAACGGATTGCAAAACTGCATACAAGCATAAACAGGCGATCGTAATCTACAGGTTTCTCCACAAAGTTACCGCAGCATGGGTTTCCGTTGTCGTCGTCTACAGTGACTTCAGCTCGGAAGAGACTGGTTGTCTCTAGAAGATCCGTGGTCACGTAGGCCCCTGCCAGCTATGTCCATCTTGGCATTGCGAGCTTTCCCATACTCCCTTGAAGACCCATAGCATCACCCATAGCATCACCCGTATGTTATCGTGGGGCCGGGTGTGATGTTGAGGGCACGGCGTATCCGCAGGACATACTGTCAGACAGTGCACCGGGACGTATTTCCCCTGCTGTACACAGGTCCCCTGAACCCCCGATGCCTCTGTTTCTCTCTGTGGTGGATTCTCCCTTGTCCCCCCTGGTCTCTATAGGGTGGATCCCCCTTTGTTCTGGCATACATTCCTGTTGCCCCTTTGTCCTGGTATGCAGTCCCTCTCTGCTGTGTCCCCCTTTATTGGCCCCTCTTTGCTCTGGTATGCATTCCTGCTGCCTCTTTGTTGGTCTACATTCCTGTTTCCCTCATATATGCACTAGGCAATTGGGGGCTGCTGCTCTATAGAGACATTCGGGGTCTAGAGCCTTCTGCTCTCTCTTTTCCCCCTGTTCTCTGTTGCTTCTGCTTGCCCTCTTTCTCTCTATACAAAGCAGGTAGTCTCCCCTCCTTAGATAGAGAATCAAGAGCTTTTCTGTCTCGATCTCGCTGCTCACTTTATTCCCTTTGCTCATCAGATACAGCCACCTCAACTGGCGGCATCCAATGTTGCTGTTTTCTGTATAGCTCGCTGAAGATCATCTTCATTATATTTGTCTTCATCATTGCTGTTGGAGTGGCTCTGGTGGATTGAGCGGGTCTCCGGCGCCGAGCCCAACATGGCGGATTTGGGTGACTGCTTTGTCGCTCTGTCGTCCTTTCCACGTCCCATCGTGGTGCCAGTATGACCTTGGTGCTGTAAAACGGGACGGTGTCCATCTCGGCCATCAAGAGCCGCCGGGGAAGGACAACACCCAGTGTGTCCATCAACCAAGTAAAGCAGAAAATGACACCCTTACTTGACTTGGTTGAAGGATCCGTTTACTCGACTTGGTTTACTCGAAGAAATGGCTGTGCTTTACTTGGTTGGTTGACATTACTTGACTCCGGAGCCGATTTGCTTGAGTGATCTCTATATCTTGTCCGCCTGTGACCTTGGGACGAGGGGAAAAAAAGTGCTCCTCGAGCATGACTACGATAGCATGCCAGATCGAAGTAGGTGCTTTTGGCATTCGATAGCTGCCACGGTGTTGGAGCTGAGGCGATTCCGCTCATCCGTGATGACCTTTTGGTCTGAGAGAAAACCGCTCACATTCAGCACTCATTGCTGGACAAGTGAACAAGTCGAAAGCCATTTGCGACAGAACTGGGTAGTCTGCCGCATGACAGATCCACCATTGCAAGGGATCTTCGACTTCCGAATCAGCCTTGTTATTCCTAGCCATAAACTCGTCGAGCTCAAGTTAGTCTCGCTCTTTTCCTCCTTCCCTTGCCGGACGCCGCAAGCTCAGCCAGCATCTGTCGGCGTTTGCGAGCTTCCTGGAGTGGGTCAAGGGCGACGAGATCATCGCCAGCCTTATCAGCGACGACTTCTCCTAGGGCCAGCGACGAAGCCTCCTCATGGTCCGCAGCGTCCGCTTCCATGTATGCGTCTTCGTATTCTGCGAAAACTTCTTGAACCACGCTCTTTGCCTCACTGATCCACTGCTTGTTGTGACTCCACTCAAGTTCGAAGTAAGCAAACTTATTCGCCGGATGCAATGCGACAGCGCACCGATAAGCTGGGGTGGCATCGGTAAGGCCGAAGTACTCTTCTAGCTTGATGCGAGCAGCATCGATTGCGTGGGAATAATACGTTGAAACCACGTCGGGATGGTCATCGGCAAATCTTCCGGCCTCTTGGAGCTTTTGAAGAGGACATCGAATGATTCAATTGTTTCATGAAGGGAGCCATGTGATCCTTCCAGGCCAGCTTTGTTGGCTCGGCCCTCCATGCGTTTTGTCAGATCTTTGAAAGGCTTCAAGATGTCGAGAAAATGGTGCAAGTCAATCAATCTTGTGGGGTTAGTACGTCTTGCGAAATGTCGTACCCTACGCCACCGTAGCAATAGTTGAGGAAGAACAGATCAATCGCATGACGGAGCTTGACCGCCCTCTGAATCATTGCATATGCAGAGTTCCAGCGGATTCCGCCGTCGACCAGGACTCTAGTGTAGAGCAGTTCAATGCTGCCTTCCTCGTAAGCCTGCAAAATATACCGTTTCAGCTGCTCCCGCCTTTGGTCACTTCTGTTTACCCAAACACAGAAATTGTGAAGTTTACCGACGAAGCTATGCTTTCTCCAGATTTCAAAACGCTCCACTTCAGACGCGCCGCAAAGCTGTTTCTCCAACTTGCCGACACCCTGCCCAAAGAGAAGGGCTTTGACGATTAGGTTGAGCATATGGCCGACGCAGCGCAGGCGACTCTGAGGCTTGATGACAGGATAGCGCTTCGCCAGCTCTCGAATGCAAGTGTCGTTACTACTTGCGTTGTCCATCATGAAGAAACCAACGTTCTGACCGATCTCGTATGACCCCATGACCGCTGCAAGGACTTTGGCGATATTCTCGCCAGTGTGGGGGCCCTTCAAAACTGGCAAATCCAGCAAAGCCGTTTGCAGCTTGTATGCAGCGTCTAGAAAGTGAGAAACTATAGCCAAATAGTTGGTACCTTCTTCAGATGTCCAAGCATCTGTCGAGACGTGGATCTTGCTTTTGGACAGGCGGAGCTGTTCTTTCAGCCAGGCGCGCCTGCCGTTGTCACCGAACCATTTTTCGCTGACCCAACTGCTCAGCGCTGACGGGCTTTCGGCAAAACTTTGTCGATGTCTTCCAGGCACAATGCAAATATTTCATTTGTTCGTCGGTGAGTCGCTTGGCGGAAAGTCAAATCAAGATCAATGACCCAGTCGGCAAAATGACTTCGAAACTGGAGGTCATTGAACACCATGCGTCGGCTCCCCAAGTACGACGCGGCCTTGGTGGCTCCTTGAGAGATGCTGAAGGGGTCGGACCCTGCCACTTTGTAACCGAACTCGGCAAGTTTGTGGTGGTGCCTAAGGTGATAGATGATGCTCGTCGTACTCTCGCTGGCAAAGAGCGCTGTGTCGTGACGTCCGCTTACATGGCAATATTTGCAGAGCCAGTACTTGTTGTCGCCGTCTGTCGTGAGTTGCGCACCGTGTTTGTAGATTATCGATGGTTGCGCCTTCGAGTTCATTGCGCGCTTGTGAGGCTGACGATATCGTATGGTGGCCAACGGTTTTCTGTCGTAACGAATCTTCTCCCAAGATATAGGGAAAACGCATTGCGATGCCTTTGGCAAGTCCCTTTCATGGAGATGCTTGGCTCGTCGGGGACCGACTGGGAAGGCGTCTTGGGAGGCGTGACGTGCCCGAGATGATTGCAAGGATCGAAAGCTGAGTGAGAGGGCATTGCTGGCTTCCTCAGCGTTGAACAGTTTCTGCAGGATGTTGATGAATCAGGCACGAAGAAAGTAACTGTAATCACCAAGCTCAATCGGCGAGAGGAAAGGGTTCGTCCACTTTCATGACATGGGTATCACGAAATTGCCTGAAATCAACGCTAGTCAGGTACCGGTAACTCGGAGTAAACCCGAGTAATGCAGAAAGCTTTACTTTTGCTTGGTCGGAGAGATCGTTACTCGTGATTGACTGTTATGTAATCAACCAACTTCAAGCAACCAAGTCAAGTTACTTGATTGATGGACACACTGACAACACCCAGTAGCCTAGGGCCCTAGGCCAGGGTTACGGGAGCTGAACATCCAGCTGCCAGCTCGCAAGCGCTCATTGCCTCTCCAAACCTCAATGAGGTATACCCCGCAATTGACGCCTAATCCATCAGCCACAGCGCTCCTAATAGTGCAGACCGTTTAGCGCACTATTAGTGCACACTGCAGTTTGCACTGCTTAGTCAGCACACTGCCAGTGCAGTGTAACCGTTTGGCAACGCACTGCTGGTCCAGTGAGGCCTCCCCCTCCACACTGCTGGTTCAGTGAGGCTTCCCCGCCACACTGCTGGTTCAGTGCGGCTCCCGTCAAACTGCCCCATAGTTCAGTGCGAGCGTCGCGCACTATCAGTGTCACCATCAGTGTGACGAGTGTGACTTGTGTGATAGAGCTAAACTTGGACGTTTGACCATTAACGTAATTCCTGGCCTACTTACAACGAGTCAATCGCTGATTAAACGGCGGGATGCGTTCTTGCTCAATTTTACAAACCATCTAGCTCTTACGAGATATCAAAGTGTTGCCAGGGCAGAACGAGCCTCTGCGTAGCTTTCATCTCATGTCTTTAGGGTAGCATCTGGTCACACTTCCCATACTCTCTGCTAGGCAGAACTTGACGTTGAAGCCTTTCCTCAGTTCACCTTGCCCCCCGCCGACAAACACGAAACAGACGCGACAGGGTAAAAGCAGATCAGATGTGCAATATTTATTGCGCTCTCCAATCGCCAGACCGCTTCACGATCACTGAACTTTACCGCTCGACTAGTCTTGATGAAGCAAGCCACCGGCTTCCAATCATCCAACCTTGAGGATGTGATTGGACGTCAAGCTCATTCTGGGACGCCCGATTTTGGCCTTAATCTGACCAACTTGACCAATAGCGAGCCGGAACAAAGAGCTGCAGTCTCTTGAGCGCTTTACTGAACCGAATTCACGCTTGCATGCGTATGAATCGCGCCGTGACGCGCCAGACTATTTTATCAGGGCCTCGTCGCGCTTTGCAGTGTCACAATTTCTACGGCAATGACTCCCTGTTCCGTAGTTGCGGTCGTTCCCGTACCAAGATTGCCGACTTCGACACGCCCAAGACGTTTCTTCAGTATCTGATCGCCTCCAAGTTCGCGACATCATGGACAACTTCACTCAGGCGGATGCGGCCGACTGCGCAAGTGACACTGCCGCCTCATCATCGCCAACACCGTCCACTTTGTCCCCACTGAACAGTTGCCGCCAGCATATTTCGCCCGTTTGGCAATTTTGCCGAAGAGAGGAAGGGAAAAATTATGCGGCAGCTTGGACCGACGCAAACGGGACGAAATGGTGGCACTGTCAACCCTGCTGGAATAAGAAAAGAGCCAAAAAGTACAATTACTCTGGCGGTTCATCCGCCATTGTCAACCACTTGCGCAAGGAGCACCGAATCATGCTTCCCGGAAGACAAGAAAACAGGCGAGAAGTGACGCAAACTCGACTTGGTGACATCACCGCATTTTTGGCCGATGAGGCCCAGGTTTCCAAGAAACGCAAGGCGACAGTGGCTGAAAATGCCCTTGACCAGCCCATGTTTCGCGAGCTTTACTGTCGCTACGTTGTAGCCTGCAGCCTGCCATTCACCCATGTTGAGCAGCCAGCTTTTCGCGACTTGATACAGTACATTTGTCCGGCTGCGAATGATCTTCTTCCGACATCTGGGGATACCATTAGAAGCGATTTGCAAAGAGGCTACGATGGCAAACGGGAGTTTGTCAGACGTGCACTACAAAATGCTCTCTCGTCGATACACATTGTTCCAGACAACTGGACATCGCCGAATCATTTGGGCGTGATAGGATTCACGGTTCAGTTCGTCACCGAGGATCATGGTCTGCTGTCCTTGGTGGTCAGGATCAAAGAACTTCAAGGACAGCACAGTGGTGAGAATATGGCGGAAGCCATCATGGAGTTTGTGCGAGAGTATGGAATAGCCTCCAAGATTGGTTACTTCATGATGGATAACGCATCCAATATGAACACAATGATCGACAAAGTCAGCGACGACCTGGAACGTGAGTTCGACGTTTTCTACGACCCCCCTCCAGCATCGACTTCGCTGTTTCGGCCACATCATCAATCTGGCGGTGATGGAATTCCTCATAGGTAAGCGTCCACGCACGATCGAGTCCTATCACGGCCCATCCGAAGATGAGATCGAACAGTGGCGGACACGAGGGGCGATAGGGAAAGTACATAACATCGTTGTCTTCATCACATGGACTCCTCAACCAGTGTGTCCATCAATCAAGTAACTTGACTTGGTTGCTTGAAGTTGGTTGATTACATAACAGTCAATCACGAGTAACGATCTCTCCGACCAAGCAAAAGTAAAGCTTTCTGCATTACTCGGGTTTACTCCGAGTTACCGGTACCTGACTAGCGTTGATTTCAGGCAATTTCGTGATACCCATGTCATGAAAGTGGACGAACCCCTTTCCTCTCGCCGATTGAGCTTGGTGATTACAGTTACTTTCTTCGTGCCTGATTCATCAACATCCTGCAGAAACTGTTCAACGCTGAGGAAGCCAGCAATGCCCTCTCACTCAGCTTTCGATCCTTGCAATCATCTCGGGCACGTCACGCCTCCCAAGACGCCTTCCCAGTCGGTCCCCGACGAGCCAAGCATCTCCCATGAAAGGGACTTGCCAAAGGCATCGCAATGCGTTTTCCCTATATCTTGGGAGAAGATTCGTTACGACAGAAAACCGTTGGCCACCATACGATATCGTCAGCCTCACAAGCGCGCAATGAACTCGAAGGCGCAACCATCGATAATCTACAAACACGGTGCGCAACTCACGACAGACGGCGACAACAAGTACTGGCTCTGCAAATATTGCCATGTAAGCGGACGTCACGACACAGCGCTCTTTGCCAGCGAGAGTACGACGAGCATCATCTATCACCTTAGGCACCACCACAAACTTGCCGAGTTCGGTTACAAAGTGGCAGGGTCCGACCCCTTCAGCATCTCTCAAGGAGCCACCAAGGCCGCGTCGTACTTGGGGAGCCGACGCATGGTGTTCAATGACCTCCAGTTTCGAAGTCATTTTGCCGACTGGGTCATTGATCTTGATTTGACTTTCCGCCAAGCGACTCACCGACGAACAAATGAAATATTTGCATTGTGCCTGGAAGACATCGACAAAGTTTTGCCGAAAAGCCCGTCAGCGCTGAGCAGTTGGGTCAGCGAAAAATGGTTCGGTGACAACGGCAGGCGCGCCTGGCTGAAAGAACAGCTCCGCCTGTCCAAAAGCAAGATCCACGTCTCGACAGATGCTTGGACATCTGAAGAAGGTACCAACTATTTGGCTATAGTTTCTCACTTTCTAGACGCTGCATACAAGCTGCAAACGGCTTTGCTGGATTTGCCAGTTTTGAAGGGCCCCCACACTGGCGAGAATATCGCCAAAGTCCTTGCAGCGGTCATGGGGTCATACGAGATCGGTCAGAACGTTGGTTTCTTCATGATGGACAACGCAAGTAGTAACGACACTTGCATTCGAGAGCTGGCGAAGCGCTATCCTGTCATCAAGCCTCAGAGTCGCCTGCGCTGCGTCGGCCATATGCTCAACCTAATCGTCAAAGCCCTTCTCTTTGGGCAGGGTGTCGGCAAGTTGGAGAAACAGCTTTGCGGCGCGTCTGAAGTGGAGCGTTTTGAAATCTGGAGAAAGCATAGCTTCGTCGGTAAACTTCACAATTTCTGTGTTTGGGTAAACAGAAGTGACCAAAGGCGGGAGCAGCTGAAACGGTATATTTTGCAGGCTTACGAGGAAGGCAGCATTGAACTGCTCTACACTAGAGTCCTGGTCGACGGCGGAATCCGCTGGAACTCTGCATATGCAATGATTCAGAGGGCGGTCAAGCTCCGTCATGCGATTGATCTGTTCTTCCTCAACTATTGCTACGGTGGCGTAGGGTACGACATTTCGCAAGACGTACTAACCCCACAAGATTGGATTGACTTGCACCATTTTCTCGACATCTTGAAGCCTTTCAAAGATCTGACAAAACGCATGGAGGGCCGAGCCAACAAAGCTGGCCTGGAAGGATCACATGGCCCTTCATGAAACAATTGAATCATTCGATGTCCTCTTCAAAAAGCTCCAAGAGGCCGGAAGATTTGCCGATGACCATCCCGACGTGGTTTCAACGTATTATTCCCACGCAATCGATGCTGCTCGCATCAAGCTAGAAGAGTACTTCGGCCTTACCGATGCCACCCCAGCTTATCGGTGCGCTGTCGCATTGCATCCGGCGAATAAGTTTGCTTACTTCGAACTTGAGTGGAGTCACAACAAGCAGTGGATCAGTGAGGCAAAGAGCGTGGTTCAAGAAGTTTTCGCAGAATACGAAGACGCATACATGGAAGCGGACGCTGCGGACCATGAGGAGGCTTCGTCGCTGGCCCTAGGAGAAGTCGTCGCTGATAAGGCTGGCGATGATCTCGTCGCCCTTGACCCACTCCAGGAAGCTCGCAAACGCCGACAGATGCTGGCTGAGCTTGCGGCGTCCGGCAAGGGAAGGAGGAAAAGAGCGAGACTAACTTCTGAGCTCGACGAGTTTATGGCTAGGAATAACAAGGCTGATTCGGAAGTCGAAGATCCCTTGCAATGGTGGATCTGTCATGCGGCAGACTACCCAGTTCTGTCGCAAATGGCTTTCGACTTGTTCACTTGTCCAGCAATGAGTGCTGAATGTGAGCGGGTTTTCTCAGACCAAAAAGGTCATCACGGATGAGCGGAATCGCCTCAGCTCCAACACCGTGGCAGCTATCGAATGCCAAAAGCACCTACTTCGATCTGGCATGCTATCGTAGTCATGCTCGAGGAGCACTTTTTTTCCCCTCGTCCCAAGGTCACAGGCGGACAAGATATAGAGATCACTCAAGCAAATCGGCTCCCGGAGTCAAGTAATGTCAACCAACCAAGTAAAGCACAGCCATTTCTTCGAGTAAACCAAGTCGAGTAAACGGATCCTTCAACCAAGTCAAGTAAGGGTGTCATTTTCTGCTTTACTTGGTTGATGGACACACTGGCTATTGCGTTGCGAGGTCAGTAGTCCCACCCTAACCTTCGAACTAGAGGTGCCGAATCCAGTCACGACAAATAACTTGGCAAGGCAGAATGGGTACTTATGTCGCAAGGGCTGTCAGCCGCAGCGACGAGATTCACGACGTCGTCATTAGACGGAGCAACCCACCCGCATGCTACAAGTCTGAGTTCGCCTCGAGGGCCATAGATTCAGTGGAAATGGAGCAGGGGAGGACATCGTTTATAAGTTGGATTACGACTCCCCTCCGCTCATCCCAGAGCTTGTGCTAAGACTCATTCCGTCATACATTCGCCATCCTCTGGTTGAACAGCCCTGGACTACAAATATTCAGCCAATATGCCATTTCCGTTGCATCTCTTATGTGAACTCCTCAGTGAACTCGAAAGAAATCACACGAGGTCTTTCAGTATTCAGAAGACCCAGGACTTCGATGTGCGCAGTCTTGTTGGCTGGTTCGACAAACATGATACAGCCATCCCACGTCTAGGGTCAGAAGCCGTGGCATTCTTGTCATGCCTCTTTCCCGAACGCAGGCCGGACCGAGTTTTCGGCTTGTCAAAAATTCAGCTCGAAAGGATTGTCCAACAAGCACAATGTCTTGGATCGTCCCGAATGAAGGAGCTACAGATATGGCAAACCAGGAACGGCCCGGACTTCGCAACTTGTGTTGAGCGCGTTATGGCTATAACGGACTGCGAACCAAGGATGGGTCCGAAAGTGACTCTGCAAGAACTTGACGATGTGCTCGATCGGATTGCAGCCTTCTCACCTTTCTCGTCCGCTGATCTGCGAGAAGAAACTGAGCGGAAATACCGTCAACCCTGCAGCAGCTCGGACGATCTGCTCATCAGTTTGTTCCGAAGATTGAACAGCTTTGAGGCCAAATGGCTGGTTCGCATGCTATCCAAAAACTACAACCCGGCCTCTGTCCCAGAAAGACTGGCGATGGGCAGATTTCATCCGTTTTTGTGGAATCTCCTCCGTTTTCAGAATTCAATCCAAGTTGCCGTAAGTATCCTAGGGGACTTGAGATCCGGAATACACCCTACAGGCCGTGGTAAATCCTGGGAAGAGTTGAGGAAAGTCCTACAGCCGCAGGTTGGAGTCATGATTGAACGGCCAGCTTATGCGAAAGCAAGGAGCATCAAGCATTGCTGCCACTTGGCTGGCTCAAGACTAATGAGCGTGGGCGGAAATACGATGGAGAATACTGTCAACTTCATGTTGACTTAAGCAAACCCGGAGCCTGCATCAAAATATTCTCCAAGAGTGGGAGGGACTCTACCATCGACCGCATTGGCCTTCATCGCGCGTTACGAGAAAGCCTCGACCTTGGCACGGCAGGCTGCAGGATCAAGAAACAATGCATACTGGAGGGCGAGCTGCTGGTATGGAACGACGACAGTAGGGTAATCGAGCCCTTCCACAAAATTCGTAAACACGTCAGACGATCAGGACGGCTCCTTGGAGCGGCCCAAGACCCCCCATTCAATATGAATGAACATCTCATGATTATGTTCTACGATCTTCTGTTGCTGGACGACACGGTCTGCGCTAGAAAAAGCCATGCTAAGCGGCGACGACTACTTCGGTCTCTGGTTCGCCGGATCCCTGGTCTTGCCGAGGTCGGGTTCCGCGAAGTGGTTGCATTCTCCTCAGCCAATGCTGCTGAGCGGCTCACTGAACTATTCGCACGAGCCATTACACAACGGTGGGAGGGACTGGTGCTGAAAGGTTGCAACGACCCTTACTTCACCTCCGATTGCGACAAGTCATCCATCAAACTCAAGAAAGACTACATTCCAGGCCTCGGTGACTCTGCCGACTTCACTATTGTCGGTGGCAACCATAGCGCGGAGGACGAACAAGAGATTGGAATTGGCAAGCTCTGGTGGACGTCGTTTTTTATCGGATGCATGGAAAATAAAGATGAGGTCTGCCGTTATAATTCTAAGCCAAGACTTCGCATCATCGACATCATCGACAAACATGGCATCCCGAAAGACCATATGCAATATCTCAACCGACATGGATATTTCACACAAATACCCTTCATTGAGTCCACGCCAAATTTTGACGTGGTCTTGGACCCCGACCGTGGACTACGCCCAAAGGCGTTATTTCAGCATCCATTTATAGTAGAACTCGTGGGATCTGGCTTCGACAAGCCCGCAAATGCACGGTACTATACTCTACGGTTTCCACGAGTGTTGAAGATACATGGCGATCGCTCGTTCACTGCTACCACTAGCTTCGTCGAACTGCAGGAATGGCTCAAAAATGCTCAGAGATACCTGACAATTGCGAAGGGAAGAAAATTCTTGGCTAAGGAGGTTGCGAGGTCACAGGCACTGGCTTGGGTCATCAAGCCTTGGGACATCAAGGCGATCTCCTAGCGTCGATTCAGTTTCTTTGGACATTCAAGCCACCAGCCCAGATCAGAGGCAACAGGAAAATGGGGGGGAAGCGGTTGAGCTCCCGAGCCCTGATAATATTTTCATCGATTCATCGAAGAGAAGGGTGGATTCGGACAGTGCATGGCATAGTACAGTCAAACGCGTAAAACAGGACTAGAAAATATGTGTATGCATATTGAAGACTTACGCAATGGGTGGGTAATTATCAAGATTCGGCGTTTGGCAAGAGAGCAAAAGCACTGTGGCTGCCTTGTCCAACGGCGTTCGAACCCGGTGAGGCGATTTCTCGCAATAAAATGAGGGTAAGAGTCAATCTGTTCATTGTCGTCTATCTAAAATGAATGTGAGAAGTTCTGTCTCCTTATAGTCCTGAGGGAATATGACTGCCTTGCGGTGGCGAATTGCCACTTGCCACCCAGGGTGCTTTTGTAATGTTATCTAGAAAGTTCGATGACATCGCTTATCAACCGCGCATTTCATTATACGCATCCTGAATGCGACACGATTGCCTTGCTACTTGTACTGAAGCGCGCCCGCAAAAGACCCCGGCCGATGCGAGAACCCGTTAAGTTACAACAAGACTCTGTCGAGTCTACTCTGCATCACCATAACTCGGTAAGATATCCTCGAAGCATCTTCTCTATGGATGAGGCCATTCGACGGTTGGAGCTCATCTCTGCCAGCAATTGGCTCGCGTGGGCCATTATGGGCACTTTGGCGGCAGTCGGGGAGGGGGACACGTCTTGATAGGTGCTAAACCCGTCCACGCTTGAAACATCCGAGATGGTCGCCAAGGACAACTTTCTTGGTTGGAAGGTTGCGAGCCAGCCAAGGCCACAGAGTTGCATGTTGACTCAATTGTAAGCCATGCAAGGGCAGAGGCACAAACAAAATAGGGGACGAATGGGGAGACGCGTCTAAGGGTGAAGAGCCTGCTGTAGGACTGCGACAGGGTGAGGATAGAGTCCGCAGCCTGGAGACAGATTTCGCGGGGTCGGACGTCGGAATCAGCCAGGACAAGGTTGGCGAGAGGGCGGAACAGGCAGAGTAGGCAGAACTGATAGTACATGCTACATGCGGGCAGTCAGCCGGATGATGCTGTCTCTTCTCCCCTCTGTGTCTCTCGGCCCTCCCGAGTCCTGTGAGCCGGGTTCTTGTGTCTGTGTACATACTGGATAAAGAGTACAAAGGGGGTGTCACTGCCGCCGGTTTTGGGTAGGGAGAAGAATCCTTCGTACCAATCGAGACACTCGGTATACACTGCCATGACCTCGGCTGTGTCGAATCGTCCGTTTGGGGTACCGGTATGGGTTGCTGATGAGAGGAGCTTGTACACCCATTCCGTGAGCTGGAAGACTCTTGCTGGAATGAGCTGTAGATTGCGCAGTTGCGAGCCGCGTGCTTTCAGGGCAGGGTTTGCAGCCGTGTTACGGTGCGACTCCTGATTGGATACAATTCCTGGGTATACCTAACTTGATGCATTCACCTGGTGTAGTTCCGCTGCCGCACTGGCCGCCAAACAGGTACTCGGCACTGCAGGCGGATTGGTCTAGAAATATTGAGTCGTCTTGTAGCTTGCAACTCGTAGACATGGTGAAGACTTGGCCCGTCGTGAGACGAAGTATGCTGTGTGCGGAATCCCATCAGTTTATGCTTCGGAGGAGTCGGGAACAGGGGCTGCAAGCGGTTTACAGACCGAATCAGGGACACGGCGCCGCGGTACGAAGTAGCCCAAACTTTGGCATATTTCGGCCTCGGAGCCCATCAGGGGCTCTTGAGGACAAAGATTGACTATCCTAGCGGCAAAGGAGTCGGCAAGCGCTTGAGCTTCGGCCTCGCGCCCGCAGGTAATCTGGTAGAGCGAGAGAATCCCGATGGCCTGTATATCTGGGAGGTTGGCCGAGGGCCGGTTCTGCGGATAATGGCCTCGGCCTTGTCGAAAGTGGTTTGCTTCCGCACTTGAAGCCAGGCCCCGGGCTCTCCGCTTCGTCGCTGATCTCGTGGACCACCTGGGTTGCCAGCGCGATGAGCGCGTTTACCAGGGCAGAGGAGCAGTACCGGCTCGAGCCGCTGCAATAGTCTCGGAAGAAGGGTCCTTGCACATGAGGCAGAAGGGGAGGTAGTCCCAGGTGAGGAGGGCGTCGAGGATCTGCCGAACCGAAGCCACCGTACACCCGGCGCACGTCCACCTGTCGGTTTGCGCGTGTGATGCATCGTCAAAGGGCAATGACGGGAAACAGGAGCCGCCAGGGCCGGTGTCGAAGTCGCCTTGGGAGCCTCGGTCAGTGTGCTGAGGTCGCTCGAGCCCGAGGCAGAACGGTGCATGGTGGGCGACGGCAGTCGGCTCAGGCAGTGCGGGCAGACGGCTTCGTCGAGAATGGAGCTGGAAGAGCCCGCCGATGATTCCTGTTCACCTCCATCTGACGAGCCACGCCCGTTTTCACCGTTCAGGTGCGCCAGCTCCTGCAGAATGGCTTGGTGAGACTTGGTCCCCGACCAAGTCTTGTATAAAGGCATTGCTGACTTCGACGTCGTTGATTGAACATATTGCGCGGAGTAGTCGGTCATGCTCCTCGTTGTACCGCCGTAGACTATCGATCTCGGCCCGTAGATCGTCTTTGGACTTGCGTCGCGGGTGGTCGTATACGCGTCCTTCTCCGGCCTCGTCGCATCTTTTGCACGGTGCCTGGCCATCATCACACTAGAGAGCGAGAAACCAATCAGTGAAAGTATCCAGCTAGGCAGGATATGGGATGAGACAGACGACTGGGGCTCTTTGGGCTTTGGCTTCGGGTGGGCTATCGACTGACCTTTGCTCGTTTCTTGCGGCACCTCTGACAAGCCATTTCGTATCAGCATTCGACGGGGCATTGTCTTTGCTGCCAAGTGCAGTAGGGGCCCGTGGAAAGGAACCGCCTCCTTATGTAAGGTACGCCTATCGTGCCCGGGGCCAGTCGAGGTCAGACATTGAGGTATCAAGACAACATGGCTTAGGCGTCACGGCGAGATGGTGGTCAGGGCCGCGATCGCCACGTGCTGTCCATGGCAAGGTTTAACGTGCCGGCCCCGAGGCATGTTTGTGCATACGTACATGCATATATATCTTGTATTTATGTATGTATATATGTATGTACATATGGTTGCCCCGGTCTGCATGAGCTCGGAGTAGAGGGGAACAAGGTTTGGTGTTTGGGTCACTACAGCACCGACGTGCTGCAACACAACATCGCAGACGTCATGCCGACCTCGATGGCGCGCAGGTGGGTCGCTTTCTGTCACGTCGCGCCACATTTTGTCTTGCCTTGTCTCGTCTTTGTCCCCCCGTCATGTCGTGGCGGCCCAAACTAATTGGCAGGGGTAGTTCGAGCACGATCTCACTGCAGCCGATCATTAGCCCAAGGGCGGGGGGTCTTTAGACCCCCACTTGTAAGCTTACCCTTGACTCGTATTGTGTGCGACACACCGCCACTAGCTCGAGGCAACCCCAGGTACGGATACTCAGGATACTTTATGTATCTAGTCTTCTCTAGCCTAGCACGTCTTTTTGCTTTTTTGGAGATGTCCCAAACGGTAATCAATACTACTAAGTTACTAGTTATAGTAATTAAATCTCGCGATAACCTCACTTTCTGGATGCCAATTGCCTTTGCCTTATGTTACGAAAAGTTAGAGCTACTGTCTAATGATTCAGATGACACTAAGTATCTGGCTTCGCGACACCTCTATGTTATGTCAGACATGTTTGTCGATAGTGTAAGTGCGCCTCACCAATCGTGACTTACGACAGCGCCATTTCCAGAGGGGAAACGCGCATAGCTAAGTTACCGCTAGGTGTGAGGCGCCCTGCCTAATACGGCTAGACACATGGAAGATAAATATCGCGCATAGAACGATTAAGGGGTCCTGGTTTAGGCCATGCATAGGTGATGATTCGTTCAAGAAGGGTGCCCTGCACATGGAGATCGTTGGTCAGCAGCGTCCTGCATCTTTTGCTGCAGGTCATCAATCCTACCACCTGTTCTCGGATGGCTGCCGCCACAGCCCAGAAAGGATTAGTTAACCATGAAATTGCACTGCCGGCCGAATCGCGCTTCTGCTTCACCCGACATTCTCGAGATGGTTGCAATATGTACACAGCAATGACCTGACGTCTTCGTTCTACGAGCTGCTATGCCGCAGCCACAGTGTGCTTCCACCTCTCTTAGCACTTTTTCTGCCAGATTTTTGCGTTGTACCAGGCACTACGCCCTCTTCTTGAGATGGCTGCGTTTAGAGGCATATGGAGGGGGGAAACCCCGAAGGTGGGCGTAGTGGAGGGTCTCGTGGCAGCAGCTCGGTTGGAGCGCGATGAAGCGGGATAGTGCAGAAGTACTTTAAAGTAGAGCTAGAGAGAAGAGGAGTGAAGGCGAGGGTGGGAGATGTGGGGTCTCGGAGACGTATGCGAGAGAATGGTCAGGGGCCACAACTGCGTCACCAAACCGCGTCCTTTTGGGCGCATTTCAGCGACACTACTTCCAGGTACATGGGCACAAACCGCGATGATGACGTTCGAGGTGCGGCAAGGGGCTATTACCTACCCCAACCTCCAGAATTGCCGCTTTTGGCGGCTCCAACACTGTCTGTTGATCTGAAACGTGCTTGTGAACTACGCCCAGAAGAAGGTTAAGACATTTTTCGATTCTTCTGCGACATAGGCTTTTCCGGCTCTCCGCCCGCCGAGCCAAGAATATAGCGTCTAGATTGGGCAAAAGCAGGCTCAGGTAAGTCTGGTGGGCAACGGTCGTGGACATGCGCGAGTAGTTCATACTCCTGTGGAGCTAATGAGCGCCGAAGTGCTCCTTTATTGTCCTGACTGGCTTACTATGTAACATAGTGTACACTACAGTATTATTTCCGTTTGAGCTGGTCTTTTACCAGGAGGAGGCAGAATTCAGCCGGGCAGGAGGGGCTTTGCACAAACTTCATGCATGTTTCGAGAGACGGCGCACGTCTGGATGGCGTCATCTTGTCCTCTTAGTAGAAGCGATTTTGACCAATGAGAACTGGAGCTTAGAACATCAATAACTCTGGGCTGCGCGTATGATTGGTCAAGTGACGCCAAGCTGCATCAGAGGCTGTGCACCTGATGGCCGTTAGGACCTGCGGGACGGAACAGAGTGAGTCAGTCAGTCACAGATCGTGAGAGACAGGGGTCACACAACAAGGGCACGGTTGGTGTGGATGACTGAACAACGATCGGGAAGAAGATCCCTGTGTATCGGGCAACGAAAGACTCTTGATTCTCTATCTAAGTGATGGTGAAAAGTTGGCTTCTTATACTTGGAATTTTGGGCTGAGTGGCGATGTCGCCACATAGGCAGCATGTAACGGGCTAGGCCCTGCTGGACAAGGCAGTGCCTTGTCGGTCTAAGCACTGTTGCTCCAGTAACGGCTTAGTCTATTTTGTTGGTCTCGCGAAGAGAGGGTGCAAGTGATGAATAGATTTTGTTTCTTGTCCTTAGATTCTTCTTCCTCCCTAACAAAAAGTGACTTCTTATAGTTCTGTCACCTGTGGCTGCCTTGTGGTGGCGATGTCGCCACCCAGGCCGCCTAGATGACGTTGTCATCTAGAAGGTTCGATACCACCGCTTAACAACAACATTATTCATCCTTCTCAGTCACCTTTGCTAGAGTCAGCCCGACTAGGTAACCTCCGGACCTAGATCGTTAACCCGTTTTCACGACACACCCCCTTAGCTATAGCCTATCCCGATCGGGTGTAGCTAAAAGCCTTTAAGGGCAACGATCGAAGGGCCGATCGACCGGTGTGAATAGGAGATACGAATGCTTTACCTTCCCGGCGGCATAGGCTTCCTATGGTCTTTGATCTGGTCTCGGAGGTCTTCTAACCGGGCCTCTATGCGTAGCCGCTCCGTGAGATCTTCGAGCCCAATCATCCTTTGGAACTCGAAGAGTTTCTGCTTTGGCAGAGCTTTGGTCAAGCCATCGGCTCTCATATGTGCCGTGGGGACCCAACGGACCCGGATTCGGCCTTCCTGGCATTCCTGACGTAGCCAGTGTTGATGGATATCGACATGCCTTAGCCGTGTAGATAGCTTCGCGCTTCCCTCTTCGAGGAGCCTGATTGTCTGCGAGTTATCACACTCTACTAGCAACGGCAAGGGGATCTGAATCCGTAAAGACGTCAACAACCGGCTTAAGAAGATTGCTTCCTTTGAGGCTTCTGAAAGAGCTAGGAGCTCTGCCTCTGTGCTCGACGTTGTGACTGTGGCTTGCTTCGAGGCTTTCCACGCAATGGTTCCCCCGAATAGGGTCATAACGTAGCCTTGAGAGCTCTTTCTGTCGAGAGAATTGTCTGCAAATGATGCATCACTCGAACAAAGAAACAGTTCGACTTTCTTTGAGCCCCCAAACCTTATGCCGTACGAACGCGTGCCGCAGAGATAAAGGATGACTCTATCTACGGCTCGTTGGTGTGATTCGTCCGGGTTCTGGTTGTGGCGGGCTAGCCGGAGACTGCAAATGCAATATCCGGCCTCGTGGATATGGCTGAAAAGAGCACAGATCCGACCTTCTGGAGATATTGATGTATCTCCCTTTGGTTTGCTTGGCTAGAAGCCGGAAGGAGCTCTTCGTTCGTGACCATCGGAGTGTCTGGGAGCTTCGAAGGGCCTAGGCTTTCGGGAACGTACTTATGAGCTATCTTGTCGATATACGAATCCTGGGTCAGCCAGATCGTTCGATGGGGCCGATCCCGGAGGATGTGTATCCCTAGAAACCATTTAGGTTCCCTAGGAAGCTCATTTTATAGCGTTCTTCGAGCCTTTGTATGGCTTCCTTAGCTAAGCCTTCATCTTCCTTTCGGTAGGCCCAGATAATGTCGTCCACGTAGAAAAAGACGGTCACGGCACCCTTCATCATCACACAGGGTTCTTGAGGGACTTTCTTGAACCCCAGCTCTTCGAGGGAGTCTGTGAGATGCTGTTGCCAAAGAAGAGGGGATCGGCGTAGGCCGTAGAGAGCTTTCCGAAGCCGTAGCACCTTCCCGGGTTTCTGGAAGCCTGGCGGCATCCTCATAAAGACGACTTCTTCTTCTTCAAGAGGGCAATTGACGAATGCGTTGACGGCATCCATCTGATCAAGCTCGAGGTCATACTCGGCGGCAATGGCCATGAGGGTCCGGAAAGACATCCCGGCTAAGGTTGTGGCCCGGGTCGGAAGGTCCCCCTTTTTCTGTTGGTTGCCGCAAACGACGAGCCGGGCTTTGCATTTCTGAAGAAGTCCATGCTTATCTGTCTTATAGATGAATACCTACTTGCATCCGAGAACCTGGTGGCCGGCAACCCTTTTCCAAGAAATCTCTTCAAAGGAGCCCATTTCCTCATGTGAGGCAAGATGATCTTGTTGGGCTTGGGCGAATTCTCCTATAAGGGTGATTCTCGAGTTGTTTCTGGGTTTCTGGGGATCCGGGAGATCTCTTATGGACCTTGGTGGGCTTCTTTGTGGCCTGAAGAGCCTCCCTGCTGTAAATGCTCCGCGGCATCCGTCTTGGATGGGCGTAGGATTAAAGTCCGAAAATCGGTCCGATCGGTCGAAAACGGGTCTTCCTGTCCTATCCCTGTCTGATCAGACGCTTCATTGGCTTTGCAGAGCAAGGCCGAAAAACAGCCGCTGTAGGATTGTCCGGAAAGTGAGGTTTTTCCACCCCTCACGGAGGGCTGCTTTCCCTCCCACCCCTCAGGGGTAGCGACAGGAAGATGGACTGAAAAGACTGCCCTGGTTCGTCTTCTGAATCCGCTGTTGTGGGAGGCGTCAGAAGGCCAGCTTCTTCGAGAACTCTAGCCCTCTCGTAGTCTTCCTTTTCCTGTTCTTCGCTTTGGTCTTCTTCTTCTTGGGTCATTACGACGATCGTGCTTCCTGCAGTGCTTTCTGCGTCGAGGTCTTCGATATCGGTTTCTTCATCGGTTTCTTCATCGAGAGCTTCTTGGTTACCTCTCTGATCCTCCGGGATCTCTATCTTCTGGATAAGCTCTTCGATGCCTGATAGCAGCGATTGTTGCTCGAGCTTTCCGTCGAAGAAGGTATGTTCGTCGAAAACAACGTCTCTTGTCGAGACAACCCTCTTAAGATATGGAATCCAGATCCGGAAGATATTCGTAGAATTATAACCGACAAGATACCATGCCCCACCCCCCTTTCGGTAACACCCACCTTTCGGTAGCGCATTAGGAAATATCCCCACCAAAACCCATCAATTTCACTTACACCGATTCCAGCCAGCTTTGAAGATATTCACAAGCCGTCACTTGGAGTAGATAGAGGATTGATTGAATTCTACTTTTCGATGGTTGAATGTTTGTACAGGGGTCTGTGGCCTGTGCGTACCTTGCACGCGAAATTACCATCCAACCCCCTAATCTCCTTCCGCCTCCTGACGATGATTCTTCTCGTTATTCCTCCACCACATGACCAAAATGACCTTAAAGCGGCCTCGGAGTATTTATACGGAGGATATTATGGCTAATGCGATAATTGATGTCACAAAAAACGGCTTGTCGCAGTACCGCGCCGCCCAAAAGTATGACATACCTCAGCAGTCTATTTCCGACAGACTCAAAGGCCAGGTAGCCCTGGCTGATCAGATCCAGCCTCGTCAACTCTTGAGTAAGTCTCAGGAAGCTCGCTTGGTTTCTTGGATCCTCCGCCAAGAGTCTCTCGGCTATGCTCCTCCCACAGTCAGATCCGCGCATGTGTGGAGGCTCTTATGAAGCAACTGAACAACGAGCGGACAGTGGGGCGCAACTGGGTCTCTAAATTCATCAATCGCCATCCGGACATCAAGAACAAGCGTGGGAGACGTCAGGAAGCTAACCGATTTAATGCTTTTACGCCTCGTGCGGTTCACTGGTTCTTCGATATCAGGAAAAGGAGTATGGATGGATTAAACCAGAAAATACCGTGAATGTTGACGAAGGCGGTATTATGTCTGGCTTTGGTGAGTATTTGGCTTGTCTTTCATTACTTTTACTAACCAGACTCTTTTTGCCAGGTTTGGATAGTCTTGTGGTTGGGAGTGCAGACCCAAAACGGAAGGCCCTTCTGAAAGGGCCACAGTCCCGCAACTGGACCTCATTTATTGAAGCTATCACCGCGGACGGCCGTGTCCTTACCCTGGCATTATCTTTAAGGGCAAAGAACTTCAGAAACAGTGGTTCTTGACGGAATTCGGCAAAATAGCCGACTGGCATTACATAACGTCGCCCAACGGATGGACGGACAACCATATCGCTATTGAGTGGCTTGAGAGGGTCTATTTGCCCCAGACGCGACCAGCCGATGCCTCAGATGCTAGACTGATCATATTAGATGGACATGGAAGTCATGCAACGGTGCGTTTCTTTATCCACCTCTGTAGGAATTACCGTTAACCGGGACCAGGATGCATGGATGGCCACATGCTTTTTGAACAACGTTTATTGCTGTTACCTTCCTGCCCACTGCTCTCATGGCCTCCAGCCGTTAGATAACGGTGTATTCAATGCCTCCAAGGCAGCTTACCGGAAAGAACTTCAGAAATTGACCTGTTTGACCGATTCTGCGCCTGTTCATAAGGTCAATTTTATACGGGCATATGCTAAAGCGCGCGAGGTTGGAATGACGGCAAAGAATATATTGTCCGGCTGGAGGGTCACTGGGAATTGGCCGATCTCACGATCCAAGGCATTGCGGCATCCAGAAATTCACGCGGACATTGTAGAGACGTCTCCAAAGTCCGCGCCATTTTGGGTTCTGATGATACGCCAAGAAACAGCCGCCAGATTCGCGATTTCGGAAAGAACAAGACTCCTGGCACCCGGAGACGATACGCCGTGATAGCTAGAGGCTTTGAAGCCCAAGAACAGACGCTTGCCGAGCACAGCAACAGAATCGCGAAGCTAGAGGAAGAAGTGGCCCGGCTGCAGAGAGGCAAGAAGAGGAGAGCAATTCCGAACCCGAACAGACGGTTCATGACTCTCAGTGAAGCTTTGGTGGCTGAGGAAGCCATTCCCAAATTAAAAGCCAAGAGATAGCCGTTGTGCTGAATTCTGACACAGAGGAGGAGGCGGTCTCAGAGGTGGAGACAGCTTCAGTGATCGAAGTCAAGGTGGCACCCGAAGCCCTTCCAGTCACCACCAGATCCGGGCGAATGGTAAAAAAGCGCCGGTACATATAAGAGCGTCCATTTCTCTACGGAATGATATAATTTTTGTGTTTATAATGTTAAGTTCTGATCATATTTCATGTAGTTCAAATGGTAGACTTTTGGTGGAGAATTTTTCAATTGCGCTACCGAAAGGTGGGTGTTACCGAAAGGGGGGTGGGGCATGGTACCCAATATGAGCCCTCGGATCAAGCTTCCGCAGTTTGTCCCTTTTCAATTGGGCGTTTGCAGTCATCGCGTAGGCCCTGCAACCGTAAGCCCGAAGATGTGACAGTTGGGCATTCTTGCCTGTGAACAGCTCGATCGGGACTTCCATTCAAGTTCTTCTTCGGCCCCTGGCTTCGCGTCGGGCTCCGGAGCGTCGGACCCGGCGTTGATTTGGACCCTCGGCTCTCTTGGAGTTCGATTTCGAAGATAACATGCGGCTTCCACGATCTCTTTCCAGAGGTTATGCGGGAGCCTTGAAGCGATTCTCATCACCCTGCCTCTTTCTATAGAAAGGCCTCCCGATCTTTCGGCCCTCCATTCTGGGATTGGGTGTTTGAAGCCGATCTTTCCGCTGAAATGCCCTTCTTTCGTAACCATGCTGTGATCTTCTTCGTAAAGAGCTCCCCATCTGAGCGTACGACCTTCACTTCGAAGCCGTATCGGTCTTTCATCCAATGGACAAAATCCCTCAACACAGCCCAATTATGCTTCTCTTGGTAGGTCCGCATAAAATAGGGGAAAACCATTCCTGTAAAGGCGTCTGTGATAAACATCACACGGACGAAGTCTTCGTGGTCTGCGGAAAGGTCGGTCCAGTCGATCCAAATCTCGTGACAAGGGCGATTTCTTTCCCGGTCGGGGGTCTGCGGAAATTTGTTTCTGGCCTTCCCTGAGCACAGAATTCGCACTCCACAGTCTTTGGCCCTTGATTCGAACCCCGTTTCGAAGGCCTAGCTTGTGGAGGGCCAGTGGGCCCGGTGACCGAGGCGGGCGTGCCAGAGGTTGCCGTCTCCTTGGCTGGCCGGGCGAGGTCTTTGGTCCCGGCCCTTCGAGGTTTTGTTGCTTGGAAGACTGTGTCGAAATTCACGGTCTCCGCTTCTGCTGTTGGCCTGAACTCCAGGACGAATTGTTGGTATCTCCTTTGAAGAATCCCAATCGTCTGATTCCGCCGTACTAGCCTCGTAGGCTCCGAGAAGGTGTCCCAATAGATTCCTTCATCTCGTAGGGTTTGGAAGGAAATCAGGCTCGTTGAAAAGCTTGGGCAGTAAGCTACCTTTTTCAGCCGAAGTATTTGGAATGATCCGTCCGGTAAGGTCATCGTGAAATTAACCCTGCCGTACCCCTCAATCCGGACTTCTGATTCCCCTGTGATTAGGTAGTCTTTCTGGGCCTTTCTGAATGACCGGAATCGGCTGAGTGTATTACACACGTGAAGTGAAGCTCCTGAGTCAAGGATCGCGGATAGGCGGAGCGGGTATTCCGATGCTGCCACCGATGACCCGGCTGGGTAGACGAAAGCCGGATTGGCCGTCCCAACCATCCGTCCTCGAACCCGGGTCGCTGGTTGCTATTTCCCATCTTTCTGGATTTCGCGGATCTCCTCGACCTTCTTCCGTAGGTCGGGGTTGTCCTTGATAGCTTTCTGGGCTTTCTTGCACAGCCTTTCAGATCGATTGAAATGGCCTGGCCGTAATTCCTCGAAGACTTGCCAGCAACCCTCAAGTTCATGGCTGTCAAGACCACAAGCTGGGCAACGGTCTTTGTCAGATGCTTCCTTCCTCTTCTTCCGTGGCGTGGAATCTTCTTTCGGACTGGCCTGAAAGCCGGCTCCTCTTTTCACCGTTCCCGGGGCCGTTACTGGGTTCAATTCGACGATTTCCCTGACCTGGCGAGCTGCTTCCTGGTAGGTCCATCTTTCTTCTAGGTATTGTTTTGGTCGCTTTGGGGATTCTCGATGCAGTCCTGGCCTATGTGCTTGGTAGATCTTGAACTGGATGGCAGCGGCTTCTTCGTCAGCCTTTTGCTTCCGCGGATAAATATAGCCGAGAAGCCGTCGGAAAGGGGCTTAATCAGGCTAGCTATGTCTCGCAGCCATTGGCCGGTCACAGCCTCCACGAGGAAGTACTGTTCAGCTTCTCCCATGATTTCCTCCCATCTAGCGAGCCAGGTAGAGATATTCTTCGTCGGAAAAGCTCGAAGATGGATCGTATACTGGGCTCGGATACGTTCCATCATATAGCCCCTCGTTGGGGCTGTCGAGGCCTCGAGCTTTACAAACCACTCCCGAAGAGTCTCGTCGTCGTGAAGGGAGGTCAACTTCGCTTTGCTAATCGTCTCCGTAATCGTCGTACGGGCTGCTGTGACGAGCCTCGTCTCGTAGAGGTATTCCTTTCGGCGACCTTCGTAGTCCCTCGATGCTTCAGAATAAGCCTTCTGCTGGCCTGCATTCAGATCAGCAAATCTTTCAGCCTCAGCGTTGAAATCACTGAATTCGGGGCGTTCAGGTAGTTCAAGGGGGGTCTTGTCATGTTCGAAGATGAGCTTGTGGATGGTCTTGTCCACACGGGCCCGAAGCTCCTTTAGCCACTTATCCCAATCCTGAGGCTCCGTAAGAATCGTGCGCTGGATGGTGTCCTTCGACATCTTGGTTGAAGCAGAAAGGATGATTAAGGAGAGAAATGGGGCGTAGAGGTGTCTTAATCGACGATAAGTTCAATCGAGAGCGGTTGTGGAAGAATGCAGCAGCCGGAAGTTACAGAAACACTGTTTCTCCCGGGCTCATAACTCTCGCGAAGAGAGGGTGCAAGTGATGAATAGATTTTGTTTCTTGTCCTTAGATTCTTCTTCCTCCCTAACAAAAAGTGACTTCTTATAGTTCTGTCACCTGTGGCTGCCTTGTGGTGGCGATGTCGCCACCCAGGCCGCCTAGATGACGTTGTCATCTAGAAGGTTCGATACCACCGCTTAACAACAACATTATTCATCCTTCTCAGTCACCTTTGCTAGAGTCAGCCCGACTAGGTAACCTCCGGACCTAGATCGTTAACCCGTTTTCACGACAGTTGGAGGATTTCTGTCCTTCTATTTTCCTTTCCTTCTTCTTTCCTCAGCTCGAATGTAAAACGCACGAGGACTACATAGCTGTAATTTACACTATTAGAACCCATCACACAGCATAGATGACGATGTCACCTAGAAGGTTCGAATCCATCACTGTGAAAGGCCTCTAGTGAGTTGATACAACTAACTAGTCCCTATGCTGTTTACTATCAAGATAGAGAAGAAAGAAAGAAAGAAAGAGAATCTACTACATGAGAGCACAATAGCATTTTATAGCTTCGAGCCAATGGAAGGTTCTAGAAGCTAGGCGGCGCAGCCGCCGTTAAAGCGGCTTGCCCGTTACATTACCTCCTCCCTTCCAACGTTTCCTCTTCCGGGGTCGTGGCAATCTGTGGCAAGATGACTTGAGAAGGTGACACTCCTTTATGCTTCTTCCATTGCTTCCATGCATCGGTGTGTCGAATAGTAGTAAGGGGTTCCCACGTAGGCTGCGAGTAATCATGCCATTTTACGAGCACCTTCTTATGCGTACCTTCCATTCTTTCATCCAGAATTCTTTCAACAAGGTACATCTTTTCGCCGTCCACCAGCACCGGTGGGGCACTCTCTTGATCGAGTTTCTGCGAAGGCAATGGGTCTCCGGGGACTGGCCGGAGTAGGTCGACGTGAAAGACTGGATGGATGCGCCCAGGCACATCCAACCTGTAGGCATGTGGGCTAACTTCCGCGAGCACTTGATATTTGGCATGTAGCCAATCGAGCTTCTTGCAGGGTCGCGATGTTTTGACATTTCTAAAGTTGAGGTATACCCAATCCCCAGGCTCGTATCTCGGTGCGGCTGTCCTGTGCTTGTTGGCTTGCGCTTGCTGTATTTCCTGGGCCATAGCTATCGCTGCTTGCGCAAACTCCGTGGCGTCCTGTAGTCTCTGAATAAAATCCTCCGCTGTCGCTTCCCCCTGCGTCGTGTCTTCCGTTCTTCGATGCTCAACTAATTGGATTGGCTCGTTGTGGTAGCCGTGCATGAAGAAGAACGGACTCAGTCCGGTGGAGGTTGCTTCCTCTCGTTAATAGTCGCCATCGCGATTGGAAGCAAGTCTAACCAGTTCTCCTGCAGATAATTCGTCCATATCCGAAGAATCCTCTCTACCTCTTGGTTCATTCGTTCTGTTGCACCGTCGGTTTGTGGATGGTACGCCGTCGACAACCGCTGCTCGATCCCTAGCATCTGACAGAAACTTTTCCACATACCACTGACAAACTGGGGACCCTGATCACTGGTTATAGCCGTTGGGATGCCATGGACAGGGTAGTGTCGTTCGAAGAGTCTTCTTGCAACCGCTTCTGTGGAAATATCGTTCAATCCTTCGAGTTCGACGCCTTTGGTGAGTCGGTCCGTGACCACCATGCAGTTCGTCGCGCCATCTTTCCCCGACGGTGGGAGGTCAGTAATAAAGTCAATGGTAATTTCGCTCCATATGCGTTGCGGAATAGGGAGCGGCTTTAGGAGTCCTTTCTTTGTATCCTCCAGATGGTGTTTCGTCCGCAAACCTCGCAGTTGCGCACAAACCGACGTACATCGCTAGCGGCACCCGGCCAGAAGAAGCGTCTCGACAGAGTCGAGTACGTGAGGTCCCTTCCAGGATGTCCGGTGATATGAGAGTCGTGAGTTTCCTGGATGATCTTTGTACGTAGCGGCTCCGAACCGGGTATCCAGACGCGTTCTCTAAAGCACAGCAGGCCTCTATTGTCTAATGAGCATTCTGAAATGCTGACAACCTTCTCCTTCTGTAAGTCTGTTGGCACACTCTTCGCTCCATCTGCTACCAGCTTCGTGAGTTCTTGATAAAGCTTGTCTTCTTGCCGTGCGGCGTGCCACAGCTGCTGTAACTCCTCATCTTCAAATATCCTGATCTCTTTTCCGAAGTTGATTTCCTGGGCACCCTCGGTGTTGGTAGACAATGTCGATATTGGGACCCTTCTAAGGTGATCATTTTGGAATAGCCTCATAATGCGTCCCTTTAGTCGTTCATCGGAGTAGTTGGCCGGCATATCCTGGTCCCGTCGAGAGAGTGCGTCAGGCAATCCGCCCTTGCGGCCCGGCCTCCATTCGAGCTCGAATTGGAACCTGGACAGGAACTCCGACCACCGCACTTGTCTCTCTGTCAACCTCCTTTCCGAGTAGAAGTACCTCAGGTTCTTGTGGTCCGTTAGGATCTTGAAGTGCTCTACTGCCCGTAGCTCTGGTTCCCACTGCTCCAAACATCTGAGAATGGCGAGTAGCTCCTTGTCATGGATAGCGTAGTTCGCTTCGGCTGCCGAATGTTTCTTCGAGAAGTAAGTCCCTGCACATAGAAATGGGCACCCCCCTGTTTTGGGCACCCAAGATGGGTGCCCAACCTAAACGGCTGCGTCAACTTCAACAGCAAATTTCACCGCGGAAACGCATCCAATCTGCTAAAAAATTGACGCATGTGTCTTCAAGCCACTACTGATGAAATATACAGAGTCTGACATTCACAGCGCCCTTGAGGCAATCGCCAATGGCGGATCCGCCAAGAAGGCTGCTCGCGATTGGGGCGTCCTGAGGGCAACTCTTTACAATCGCATGCATGGTCACGAATGCAGAAAGGATGCATTTTCTGCTCTTCAGAGGCTTTCAGACACAGGAAAAGCAACTTACCGAATGGATTCTCATTCAGGACGCCTTGGGCCTTCCTCCCACTCACTCGCAGATCAGGCAGTTCGCGCAGCGCATGCTCGCCGTCAAAGGAGACCACACACCGCTCGGAAAACACTGGATGCAAGCATTTTTAAGACGAAATCCTGCAGTTCGGACCCAGAAGTGCCATCACAGAGACTCTGCGCGTGTCAACGGCGCTTCTACCGAGGTAATTCGGCCTTGGTTCAACAATTTCTTCCTTCCCGAGATTCTGGCTATTAAGCCGGAGAACAGGTACAACATGGATGAAGCAGGCATCATGGAAGGACTTGGGGAGAATGGCCTGGTCGTTGGCAGTGCTGAAAACGATCTGTACAAAAGAAGACGCCTGGTTCTCGGGTCTGGACGTCGTTCATCGAGTGCGTGTCCGCTGCCGGCACCTTCCTCCCTCCACTCGTCATTTTCAAGGGCAAATCGGTCCAGCAACAGTGGTTCCCAGAAGATCTCAGTACTTTTAGTGACTGGCAATTCACTGCGACAAAGAACGGCTGGACTTCGGACCAAACTGCGGTGGAGTGGCTCGAAAAGGTGTTCATTCCAAGAACCCAGCCACCCGACCCTTCGGAGCGAAGACTGCTAGTATTGGACGGCCACGGAAGTCACGAGACGGTTGACTTCATGTATCTATGCTACCAGCATCAGATTCACCTTCTTTCTTACCTCCCATACCTCTCATGTGCTGCAACCGCTCGATTTGTCTGTCTTCTCCGCTCTTAAGCACTACTACCGCAAACAGGTCGGATTTCAGCCTCCTGACCGATTCAAGCCCAGTCGGCAAGCAAAACTTTCTTTCCTGCTACCAGAAAGCACGCGAGCAAGCGCTCACTGTGTCAAACATCAAGGGTGGCTGGAAAGCGACGGGTTTGTGGCCGGTGTCGATGGCGAAGCCACTTTTGAGCCCTCTTCTGCTGGAGAACAGCAACAGACGCAAAAGAACGCGAAAAATGTGGCCAATGCATTCAATAGCCACTTACCCACCAGTGACTGGCAATCAGACACATCCCAGATTGCGTGGTCGACCCCGAGGCGCTCGCAAGATCTGAAGGTTCAGGTAGTTCAATTCAACCAGCTAGACGACGACGTGCCCACGAAGAGATTGCTGTTCAGGAAGATCACAAAGGGTTTGACGAGAAGGATGGCCTTTTAGCAAAAGCTCAATTGCAGATTCAGGCACTGGAAACACAATTGGCGGCCGTCAAGCCGAAAAAGGAAGAGGGTGGTCACGAGCCCGAATTCGAGGTTCGCCAATATTGAGGCAATACGACGGGCGCAGGAGGAGGTGAACGCAGCTGAGAATGAAGAATCTGATGAAACCGAAGCTGAGGTTTCAGAAATAGGTGACGATTGTATCGTAGTGCACGGTGGTGGGCAGTGAGAAGGGATTGAATTAATGGTGTTGAAAATGGTCGTGATTTTTTTGGGGTGCCCAAAACAGGGGGGTGCCCATTTCTATGTGCAGGGACTTATGCGACAGGTCGTACCAGTCCATCCTTATCATCTCTCTGCAAGAGCACGCCTCCCGACGCGAATCCTGAAGCGTCTGCTTCCACGATAGTCTCCCTTTCTGGATGGAAGTGTGCAAGGATCGGGGCCGTGATCAACAAGTCCTTGAGCTTCTCGAAGGCTTCTTCGCACAATTCATCCCAACGGAATGGCACGTCCTTCTTCGTTAGCCGCGTTAGCGGCTCCGCTATCACCGAGAACTCTGGCATAAACATCCTGTAGAAGTTCGCGAATCCAATAAAACTCCTCACGGACTTAACATTCGTCGGGTTGCCCATTCCTTCACAGCCTCAACCTTCTCAGGGTCGACTCGGATCCCACACTCCGCCTCGATGATAAACCCAAGGTATTTCACAGCCTTGACTTCGAATTCACTCTTGTTGATATCCAGTTGCAGCCCGGCGTCCATCAGTCGTTGGAGGACCTTGCCGACCTTGTCGCGGTGGTCTTGCAGGCTTCCAGAGGAGAAGATCAGGACATCGTCGATATATGCTGACACAAAATCGTCTAGGTAATCCTGGAGCGCGCTGTTAATGTACCGCTGAAAGGCTGCTGGTGCGCCTGTCAGGCCGAATGGAACTACCAGCCATTCGAAGGATCCATAGCGCGTTCTGAAAGTTGTCTTTCCTCGTCGCCGGGGCGACCCTGATCTTATGGAACGCTGCTATAACATCTACCTTGGTGAACCACCTTGCCTTGGCTATCGTTCGCAAGGTCTCGCTCAGTAAGGGCAAGGGATAGCGGTCCCTCTTCGTTATATGGTTCAAACCTCTGTAATCCACGCAGAAGCGGATGCCTCCGCCGGGCTTCTTCACCATAAGGACTGGTGCCGCGGCTGGCGAGCTGCTGACTCTAATAAATCCCTTGTCGAGTAGTTCTGTGAGAGTCTTCCGTAGTACCAATAGCTCCTCGCGGGACATGCTGTAAAGCGGTCCCCAGGGTAGGGCTTCTCTCGGCCATGCTCGTCTTTCAGCACTTCGATCTTCAGGTCCACACCTGGCCGATGAGGGGGCAGCTGGTCGGCCAGTTGCTGAGAGAAAGCTCGAGACCACTTGTGGTACTGTGGTGGCAGCTTCTCCATTACGTCAGTCTTCGGTTTCGGTCTTAGGGCCTTGTCAATATCCGCCATCGTGACCGAGTGAACTCCAATGCCGCCTTTGCGTTTGTCACGGCGTGCTTCTGCTAAAAGGTTGCGGCCATGACATTAGAGACATCTAGCTGTGGAGGCTGGTAACGTCGTCGGTCTCGTACTTGAACTCCATTGGACCCGATCTCGAGATATCCTTCCTTCGCATGGATGTGAACATCCTGGTCTTCCATCCATCGTTTACCCAGGATCATATCCCAGTTCAGATCGTCGATGACGTACATGAAAACACGATGCTGCTGATGTCCATCGAGGTCGATCGACACATACGTGATCTTGTCGATTTTGACCTCCTTGCCGTCTCCCGCTGCATTCTCCAAGATGCGCGGCTGGACGCGTATATGTGGCAACTGGAGAGAGTGAAATGTGCGCTTGCTAACCGCGCCGTAGCAGAGGCAGCCATAGTCGACAAGAGATGGCACGAAGTCTGTGCCGTTCACCCTGACGTCTGCTATGAACGGTTCTCCGTCCATTTTGCTTTTCCGCTCACATCCCATTCTCTCACAGCCGCCGCGTGTCCCTAGTCTGAATCTTCATCGTTATGAGAAGAAGTATCGTCTTCGGCGACCTCGGCTTTAGTGACCGCTGGTCGTGACGGGGTCACGGCATTGACCTGAGTGCGTCGGGTCGTGTTTGCGGGTCGGATAGGCGCAGCCAATGGACAGCGCTCGATTCTGCAGTTGTCTCTTCCACAACGGAGGCAACGCCCTTCACGGTAACGGGCGTCCATCTCGGCCTGGTCGACCCACTTGGCACGCTTGCCCAACAGCGCTTGGTCTTCTGGTCGCTTGGATTGGTAACCATATGTGTTCTTATCACTGCGGGTGCGCGCAGCGTTCACTTTCGCGGATGCTTGTAGAGTTGGTTCCCATTCCATCATATCCTCTCGTCTAACTTCGGTTTTCTGGCCAGGCTGTTTCTGGGCAGCCTGGCCTCCATGATTCTGGTGGTTGTCATAGTTGTCCGAACTCTTTGTGTTGCCTCGAGGCCTTTTCCACTGACCCAACAATTCCATCTGGCTGCTCAGCGAATCGCACCTCCTCGCCAGCCCAACATAGCTGCTGATGGCAGAGGGGTCAGAGCCTATGAGGGCTGCTTTCATTTTATCGTTTAGTGCCTCCTGGAGGTAGGAAATCTTGCTGTCATCTGGCCAATACTCGGCGTTGGCATTGGCGATCTCCCTCTCAAAGCGGGGGTAAAAGGACGTGAACGGTTCATTCTCTCCTTGCTTAATCGAATGCAGGTTGCGTGTAGCTCTCTGCTTGCGATCCCTCTCCCGTTCAGCAATTCGAGGCGGTTGAGTAGTTCAGCAACATTGAACGTTTTCTTCTCGGTTTGCATCTCCACAAATGTGGTCACGTTGTCTTTAGCCTTGCCTTCTAGGCTCATGAAGATGTACATAAAGTGGCCTTCTGCATCTCCAAGGGCTTCTTTGTCGACTCGTAGCTTTCCTTCGGTTTCTAGTTTCCAGCTTCGCCACTGGGCCTTGTCGCCGCCGAATTTCGGTATGTCTCGTAATTTGGGGCGCTTGGTTGGGTGAGGGTTGTGAGTGGCGACCACACGAGTGTCCTCAATGGGGACAGCCGGGGTGACAGATGGCGTTGGCTCTAGGAGTTCAGACGAACGGGCTTGCTGGTGTTGTTGGAGTTCCAGGGCAATAAAACGTTCTTCAAACTGGGTGTTTCTTCGGGAACTCTCTTCTCTCAGACTTCGTATCTCGGCAACCAGGGCGCTGAGGACGTCCGGCTGCATGTTGTTGTTATCTTCGGCCATCGCGACTTCGCTGAACGCTAATAGTTCGACGGGACTCAGTTTGGTGTCTTCAGTGTCTTCGGTGTCTTCGGTGTCTTCAGTGTCTTCGGTGTCTTCAGTGTCTTCAATGTCTTCAGTGATCTTGATAGTATGTGAAGGCCTCTAGTGAGTTGATACAACTAACTAGTCCCTATGCTGTTTACTATCAAGATAGAGAAGAAAGAAAGAAAGAAAGAGAATCTACTACATGAGAGCACAATAGCATTTTATAGCTTCGAGCCAATGGAAGGTTCTAGAAGCTAGGCGGCGCAGCCGCCGTTAAAGCGGCTTGCCCGTTACAATCACTAATATGGCATTACGAACTGCTTGCTGCCTTTTAGGCAGCACCGTGAATGAGCGTCTTGATCTTGACAGGGCGGTAGAAACCTTTCGCCAGAACGCAAGTACGGTACGGTCAAAGCCTTGAGATGTACCTACGGCAAGCAACTGCCAACTGGTAAGTTAATTTTCTCCTCGATGCGTGATACTGTAATTTCGCATCTCGAATTTTTGTTATTTGAAGAGTTCAAAGAGCATGAGAGGGGAGTATCTGCAGATTATGGAAGGGCCGGAAAAAATTACACGATATGTATTTCGCGCAGCATCGAAGACTGTGAAGCGTAGACTGGTACACCAGATTCCTAAATACGCTACAACTTGGCGACGCGTGTAAGCCAGGATATCACAAGTATTGCGGCAGCGAAAAATGCAGCGGCTGTACAATGTTCGTTCAACCGCTTGGCAGTGGCTTATTCGATGCTCCACACGCCGGAGCGGGCAACCCAGGGCAGCTCAGGGCAGCTCAGGACAGGCTCAGGCGGCTCAGGCAGCTCAGGGCAGATCAGGGTAGCTCAGCCCCTGCTCAGGGTAGCTCAGTCCCTGCTCAGGTTCGGCACGTACTTACTCAAGGTGGATCAGGTGGTGCTAATGGAAATACAATAGAGTGTGAACTTTCAAGGGTAGACCATGATTGCTTTGTCGCGCGGCTGGAATAGATCTGAGGAGCGTGTATCCTGAAGCTTCGGGAGGATTCTCGCGGCCAGCCCTTCATGGCAGACTGGTTGCTCGCTAGCTTGCTGGGAAAAGTAAGATAGCTGCGTGCCTCCCTAGGTAACTGTTAAAGGCACCACGATAGCCCAATTGACCTCCATTATGCCGTAAGAAGTAATGAGCAGGCAAACATTCGAGGAGCAAATTGACGTTTTTCAAGAATGCTCGTTCCTTAGTTACGTTGTGTTCTAGTCACATTGACGATCGATGCACTTCCCGCGACTGAGAGCCGATACGATGCCGCCCACGTGGTTGTCCTTGACAATTGGTTTGTTGCAAAGGACGCTGGACGCTCGATCATGCACGCCTTTTATCTAGGTGTGGATTTTTAGGTGGCCCGACGGCCGTTCAAGCGAAAGACAGAATTAATGTTTAACGACGATTACGCCAATACACATTGGAAGAGGTAGGAGCCAAGTACACAAGTTGTTATGAAGATCTAGAAGGTGCGGCCCAACGGTCCTATTTATGCCGTTGGGTAACTTCCATGGGCACCAAATTAGCCATACACGTGAGGTCACTATAGGTCCTGATACATGGCATTATAATGATCTTTCAGGTGGTCCTGATAACACCTAATAGCCTAACACTCCGACATTCCTCGTAAGAACGATTGGAACACTTCCACCGCAAAAGTTCCTCTATCACCACCGCGCGAAAATGGACGTCAACTAGAAGGCTGAAGCTCGAGGAACGTAAGTTCTCCTTGTCTCATACTAAAAGAAAGGATACTCTCCTGATTAGGAAGTCTGGTTGAGAACAAGGTGACTGCTTTAGCCACACACATAGATTTCGCGCGATGCAGGTTGACCGTGGAGATACCAAGCGATACATTCGATTTGCTACCTTGCAGACCAACAACTTCGATTGGTCAAAGGCATAGCTTAGGACACTGTTCCGTGTATTCGTAGAGCATGGTTCCGCAGATGCTCCATATGGTCCAGTGGCAAATCGCAGATCGAACATCTAATCTCATCGCCCTCGCGTAAATTCGACAAGTGCTTGCGTCGGAAGTGCTTGGACAGGTCTCCAGGAGTGTAAACTCGCGAATGAGAACCTCCACGGCCCCATCATCTGATGTCAAATCAAGGGCCTTGCCGACACAGACGAAGCATCTTCGAGGCCTGTCCGTGACTGTCTTAATGAAGGTGGACATCAGAGCCGTGTGTTGAGGGCTGTTGATAGGCGGTTCGTTCATGAGAGTAGGCCTAGTTGAGTCGACCGACGCTCGAGCGCCGCGGATCGTCTGCCCTTCCTCGACCATACAATAAGCTACGATGGCGGCGATAGCATTGTCTCTCCGTCGATATTGACCTTCGAGCGTGTTGCCAAGTGGAGCGGCGAGGGCCTCAACCAATCGCTTTTGAGCCGGTCGCTGAGGACAAATGGGAGTGTTCACAGTCGCTTGTTTGACAAACCCAATACCTTGCAATTGCCCCTCAATGTCGTCCACCGCCTGTCTGGCAGTCCATTCATCTCGAATCTTCTGCTTAAGCACCCTCTTCAATCTTTGCTTCTCGTTCCTCAGTCGACGGCGGAGTTCCATGTGCTTCTTTGAACCTGGGCGATGATGCCGAAGGTCTTGCTCTAGTCGCTTGATGATAGGATCAGTAGACACGGATGCTATTTGTTCAGCTGTGAGATCCGTGGGTCTCCGCTTGCTGATAGAGTGGCCGACGCTGCAGGCCTGCCTTATGAGCGCCTGCTGTGGTTTTTGTCGCCGGAGAATACCCCAAGTATCCGCGCAAACCTCCCGTCCCAGGTAGTGCTTCTGAAAGGGATTCGAATTGGCGTGATCTAGAGCAAGATTTCGCAGCGACTCGCTGATATCGGCTGAAGCTGGAGTAAGCAACAAGGCTATCGTGATTGGAGGACTTGACGAACCACTTCGATCGAACTCATTGGCCGCATTATAACGCAAGTTGTAGGGGATGGTGGGGTATTCCAACCCCAATATTTCGCCAACCCTTCTGATCCATTGTGCAATCATCTGGTAAGAAAGAGGCTTGTCCTGGGATAGCTCATAGCCGGTAAAGGTTTTCATAGCCCGTCGGAATATATATGTGTCTTTTAGATCGTCCTTGAGCGGCAGAGGTAGCTCCCGCTCCTCAGGGTGGATATCAAGATTGGCAAGCTGTGCGGGTGAATTGAGACTTGTTGCTCGGAACGCGCGATGGCGGAAAGAATGCCTAGCAGGAAGATGTGAGGATTGAGTAGCAAGGAAGGGTCGGCCAAGGTCTCTGGAAGAGGAAATGTTTTCCTAGATTCGCGTCAGTGCCATATCCTACGAGCAGATGAAGCACGGCGTTTCTGGCGTCCTTACGCATCTTTGATACCGAGGTACGTTTTCGTGAAGGCCAAGGTGAAGCGAATCAAAATATGGATTTTTTGTCGTGCTAATTGTCGTTTCGATTTGCTCCTTGAGATCTTCGATCGTCATGCATCGATTCGCTCGCCTCTGGTCGCTCAAGTCATGTTTTTTGGAGAGGTCTCGGAGAACCTGCAGGGTTACCTTGTGACCTATTATTCGGAGGGATCGGGCTGTACCTTGTGCATACGCCGATTTAGTTTCGGCTCGAGTTTGTCTCCAGTGGCTCTCTCGAAGACGAGTCGGAAGACTTTCCAGTATGTGCTCAAAGAGCTGCTCTTCCTCGTTCCTCGCCTTTTCCTGCCATCCTTACCGACCTTCTGGTTGAGGACCAGTCAAAAAATTATACAAAAGCCGCAGGAGCTGGACTCGGAGACAGACTCCAAACATTTTTGGGGGTCACAACCCAGCACCTCACAGTACCTGAGGGTAGGACCATTACATGTTAGAGGCTGGGAGTCATAAGGACATGATGTCGTTGGTGACGTACTGGCGCCATTGTGCGTCGCAGGCATCGAGGAGCAGTAGACTACCGTCGCTATAGTCTTGAGCTTCGTAGGCGGTCTCGTTGAATTTCTCAACGGCTTCCCGGTAGTACTCAGGTGGATGAACGTTGCCACCGAAGAGCTGGACTTGGTCTTCAACGTCAGCGTCGACGAATCCGTCTGCGTCATTGAAGTTCAAGTCCTCTACATCCGTTGCCTCCGCACACGTATCCGAGTGAAGGGCTCAACTTTGTCAAAGAGACCACCATCGTCAAATTCGTTCTGGGGGGAGTAAGACGCGTCCGAGTCGTAAGAGATGGCGGAATGGCGTGCTCGGCGCGTCATGGTTGACAATGGATCGTATAAGTCAGCGGGATGCGGCTTTCCGTGAGCTGGCAAGAGGAAAGAGTTTCCACAGTAAGTCCCTGCACATAGAAATGGGCACCCCCCTGTTTTGGGCACCCCAAAAAAATCACGACCATTTTCAACACCATTAATTCAATCCCTTCTCACTGCCCACCACCGTGCACTACGATACAATCGTCACCTATTTCTGAAACCTCAGCTTCGGTTTCATCAGATTCTTCATTCTCAGCTGCGTTCACCTCCTCCTGCGCCCGTCGTATTGCCTCAATATTGGCGAACCTCGAATTCGGGCTCGTGACCACCCTCTTCCTTTTTTTCGGCTTGACGGCCGCCAATTGTGTTTCAGTGCCTGAATCTGCAATTGAGCTTTTGCTAAAAGGCCATCCTTCTCGTCAAACCCTTTTGTGATCTTCCTGAACAGCAATCTCTTCGTGGGCACGTCGTCGTCTAGCTGGTTGAATTGAACTACCTGAACCTTCAGATCTTGCGAGCGCCTCGGGTCGACCACGCAATCTGGGATGTGTCTGATTGCCAGTCACTGGTGGGTAAGTGGCTATTGAATGCATTGGCCACATTTTTCGCGTTCTTTGCGTCTGTTGCTGTTCTCCAGCAGAAGAGGGCTCAAAAGTGGCTTCGCCATCGACACCGGCCACAAACCCGTCGCTTTCCAGCCACCCTTGATGTTTGACACAGTGAGCGCTTGCTCGCGTGCTTTCTGGTAGCAGGAAAGAAAGTTTTGCTTGCCGACTGGGCTTGAATCGGTCAGGAGGCTGAGAAATCCGACCTGTTTGCGGTAGTAGTGCTTAAGAGCGGAGAAGACAGACAAATCGAGCGGTTGCAACACATGAGAGGTAAGGGAGGTAAGAAAAGAAGGTGAATCTGATGCTGGTAGCATAGATACATGAAGTCAACCGTCTCGTGACTTCCGTGGCCGTCCAATACTAGCAGTCTTCGCTCCGAAGGGTCGGGTGGCTGGGTTCTTGGAATGAACACCTTTTCGAGCCACTCCACCGCAGTTTGGTCCGAAGTCCAGCCGTTCTTTGTCGCAGTGAATTGCCAGTCACTAAAAGTACTGAGATCTTCTGGGAACCACTGTTGCTGGACCGATTTGCCCTTGAAAATGACGAGTGGAGGAGGAAGGTGCCGGCAGCGGACACGCACTCGATGAACGACGTCCAGACCCGAGAACCAAGCGTCTTCTTTTGTACAGATCGTTTTCAGCACTGCCAACGACCAGGCCATTCTCCCAAGTCCTTCCATGATGCCTGCTTCATCCATGTTGTACCTGTTCTCCGGCTTAATAGCCAGAATCTCGGGAAGGAAGAAATTGTTGAACCAAGGCCGAATTACCTCGGTAGAAGCGCCGTTGACACGCGCAGAGTCTCTGTGATGGCACTTCTGGGTCCGAACTGCAGGATTTCGTCTTAAAAATGCTTGCATCCAGTGTTTTCCGAGCGGTGTGTGGTCTCCTTTGACGGCGAGCATGCGCTGCGCGAACTGCCTGATCTGCGAGTGAGTGGGAGGAAGGCCCAAGGCGTCCTGAATGAGAATCCATTCGGTAAGTTGCTTTTCCTGTGTCTGAAAAGCCTCTGAAGAGCAGAAAATGCATCCTTTCTGCATTCGTGACCATGCATGCGATTGTAAAGAGTTGCCCTCAGGACGCCCCAATCGCGAGCAGCCTTCTTGGCGGATCCGCCATTGGCGATTGCCTCAAGGGCGCTGTGAATGTCAGACTCTGTATATTTCATCAGTAGTGGCTTTAAGACACCTGCGGCAATTTTTAGCAGATTGGATGCGTTTCCGCGGTGATATTTGCTGTTGAAGTTGACGCAGCCGTTTAGGTTGGGCACCCATCTTGGGTGCCCAAAACAGGGGGGTGCCCATTTCTATGTGCAGGGACTTAATGCTTGGTTGTGTAATAGGTAAGATGCTACCAAAATTTGAGGCGGAGTAAGAGCTTCTTAAGTATGACCTATGCGACGCCACCGTTCTGAGCGCTTTGTGGCTCCTTCTTTTGAGGCTAGAAAGAGGTGTCGGAAAGGCACACAGCTTAAACGGGCCGCGGAGGCGTCCCGACGTGGCTCTGCGGGCTGAGCATGATGGGTGACATGCCAAGTACATCGGAGATACTTGGAGGGATGAGCCCGGCGATACATTTGTCCGTTCTCGCTCTGGATTCCTGGCAAATTGGCCGCCACCTTTAGTGGCAGAGACCGTCCAAACGGGTGGTAAATCCGCCGTCTCATAGTTTATTAGAGTATTTAAGTAGTATACTATAATTAGGTTCTAATAATATAACTTAGTCGTTTAAGTAGCGTTAATTAATTTTCTAGTAGTTTAGTTCTATACTTAGGTAGGGTTTTAAAAGTACTTATCTCTTAAACCTAACTAAGAAAGTATTATATTATGCCTTTATTTAAAAGTATATTATATAATCTAGGTAAATATATAATATCTATAAAATATACTTATATTACTTATAAGTAAGTAGTATTTATAGATCGTCTTTAAATTCTCCTTATAGTTACTATTCTTATTATAAAGCTATAAAGGTATTAATTATAGCGATAGCTATAGTATAATCTCCTTTATATAGTACCGGTTAATACTAAATTAATATAGCTTATTAGTTTTCTAAAAGAATTTAAGGTATCTATTAGGTTTTAATTTTAAGTATTTCTTTAAATTCTTTAAAGTATAGAGCGTATTCTTTAATTATAGTATTTTCCCTTAATAGTAAGGGTAGTAGTATAAGTTCGTTCTTATCTTCTATTTCTTTAAGTATTTCTTATTCTTTAAAGCTTATATTATCGATATTTCGTTATTCCTCTTTAGGTTATTATCTAAGTTTTATAAGTATAAGGGCTATATCTATATCTTCTTTATTATATTATTTATAGACTACCTATTATTATTATTGATTTTTATTTTATATATCTTCCTAGAATCGTTTACTATTTTTCTTAATCTAGTCTTAAAAGACTCCTTTAAGATAGGGGTATTTTAATTCTATAAATTTAACTTATTTTTATATTTTAAGATCCCTTTATTATATTATTATAAGGGTCTTCTTTAATAGCTTTAGGAACTATTTAATACTATTCTTATTACTTAAGTATACTCTATATTTATTATTATAGTATATAGTTTAACTAAGGAGTTTATACTTTAGTTCCTATTTATTAATAGCGTTTAAGTATTTCTTACCTTTTAAAGCTAGTACCTAGTAGGTTTTCTTCTCCTTATAAAGTTATCTATATTCTTTAAAGTAATATTTAAGTTTCTTATAGTTAAAATACTTTCCTTTACTTTTTTATATTATATCTAGATCTATCCTACCTAGGTTAATTATATATATATAGGTAATAGGAGTTTCGCGCTTCTTTTTATAGTTAGCGCGTTAGTTAAAGTTATTCTTATAAAAAGGGTTTTAGTTTCCTCTTTCTTATTTCTTTTCTTAGCGTTATATATACTATTTATCGTCGATTTATACTACTATAGTAATATAATCTAAGAGGTTATTAAGTCGATTTTCCTTATAAAGCTCGTCCTTAACCTTTTCTTTAAGCTTATTATAGAATTATAATATAAGAGGTTCGTTATCTTAGTTAAGCTTTAAGGTAACTTAATAGAACTTTATAGTATAATCTAATATTAAGATCCTTTATTAAAGTTCTTAAAGTTTTTATTTATTTTATTAGTTATTCTAAATACCTTTATAATAGCTTCTTTAAATCCTTAGAAACTAATAAAGACTTTATCTATCTTATTATCTTATCGCGCTAGTTAATTATCGAGAAAATCCCTTATAATAGGTTTAAACTAAGTAAGTACCGTTTTAGATAAATAATTTCCTATATAAAGTACTTTTTCGACTAGGTCTAAGAGTTTAGTAGGGTAAACCTAGTAGTAGGCCTTAAGTTAAGTAAGAAAGTCTTAAAGCGTGCTATAAATACTATCGAATAGTCCTAGCTATTTTAGTTTAACTACTTCTCTAAGGTCCCTAACCTATTTATTACCTCCTCCGTTCCTAAGTAACTATACCTTATATTAAAGGGTAATAATCTCGCGTATTATATCCTAAGGTAATATAGTAGCTCTAGAGTTAGTTAATTTAGCTTATTATATAAGTATATTAATAGTTATAATATTACTTAAAGTAACGCGGTATTATATTAAATAAGAGCTTTTAATATATAATAATTAGTATTATTCTTAAGGGATAAACCTATTAAGGGGTTTATATTAGTAGATATAATAGGGCGTGGTCTAAGTAATAATAAGTATATTACGTTAGTAATAAGTTAGAGGTTAAAGACTATAGACTATAACTAGGTAATTAAGTAATTAGAATTAAAGATAAGATTATAATAAAGATCGTAATAATTATAATATTAAAAGCTATTAAGCTATTTATTTAAAGGAGTAAAAGTAAGTAGCTATATATACTTACAGAGACTATCCTTAGATTATAAGCCTAGCTATAATCCCTAACGTTAGATTATATAAAGTATAGTAATCTTATTAATCCTAGATTACTTAGATCTCTATAATCCCCTTAATCCTATATCTATTAAATAGTTATACTAACTATTTATCCGTTAGACCGTATTACGTACTTAACGCGGTCGACCGTTAGCGGCTTAGTAGCCGTAGTCGTAATACTACCTATACCCTATTAAACTATACGCTTAAGATAAAGCCCGTAAGTTTATTATATACTACTTTTTCTATAGCGTTACTTAGCGCTTAGGCTAGTATTATATCGCTACTTTAAGTTTATTAACTCGCCTTATTAAGGTATATAAATTTAGGTAGCGTCT